TTTTATAGTGTGTCTTTCGAATTCTATGTGGTGATGTTACACTATTGTTTCAGATTGTCCTAAGTCAAGAACCTGATGTTCCGTGGTTGTCGTTTGTTGATGTGGTTCATAAGTGTCTCTCGTTTTTTATTTAGATTAGATCGTTGGTTTTCCTGTTTGAATGGTTTTACACTAGTCATTTTTGGGGCCCTTTTATAGCTTGCTATTTGTAGTGAGCCAAAGCTCTGTGTTAAAGGCCGTACTTTGACCTATAATGGTTTACTTTTACAAATTGTGACTTGGGTGGAGAGTTGTCTCATTGGCACTCATACCACATCTTATATCTATTAACCAGGAAAACTTAACAGGTCAGATGAACCCTGCAAGACAAACATGTACACCTTACAATCATTGCATGCTTTGAATATGGTTGACCTTCTGCATAAAGTATCTAAGAAACAAACTAAACCAGGAAAACTTAAGATTGACCAATGAACCATAAAAATGAGGTCATGGTCAGATGATAATTGCCAGAAAGACATATACATTTACAATCATTACATACACCAAATATACTTGACCTATTGCTAATAGTATCAGAAAAACAAACAAAAACATAGCGTTGAGCAATGAGCCGTAAAAATGAGCTCAAGGTCAATTAAACATGCCAGACTGACATGTACATCATAAAATATTTTCATACACCAAATATAGTTGACCTATTGCATAAGTATTAGAAAACAGACCAAAACACAAAAACTTAACTGTAACCACTGAACCATGAAAATGAGGTCAAGATCAGATGACATCTGCCAGTTGGACATGTACACCTTAAAATCATTCCATACACCAAACAAAGTAGACCTATTGCTTATAATATCTGAAATATGGACTTGACCACAAAAACTTGTTCACTGATCCATTAAATGAGGTTGAGGTCAAGTGAAAACTCTCTGACGGACATGAGCACCTTGCAAGATACGCACATACCAAATATACTATTACTCATAATAAGAGAGAAATTAAGAATTACTTTTTTTTCAAGTAGTTACTGAACCATGAAAATGAGGTCAAAGATAATGGACATATGACAGACGGAAACTTCATAACATAAGGTATCTATATATAAAGTATGAAAGAATCAGGTCTTCTACTTTCTGAAATATTAAGCTTTTAAGAAGTAATTTAACGCCGCCTGATCATTTTTCCTATGTCGAGCAGGCTCGACAAAAATCTTTAACCACAGACTGAACCTAAATGTTAACACCGCTGACGTCGATGCTGGAATTAAGGATCGCTTTGTCTCGTTTTCGCAACATAAATGTAGCATGTTCAATGAAAATGAAGCAGAAGAAACTAGAGACATCCAAACTCAAATGTAATCTGAAGATAAATTGACAAAGACATAGCAAAACACTTAAAGCTCAAGACAAACAACAGTCTAGAAAACACAAAAGTGAAAACTGTAAGTATATAAATTTACAGAGTGCAATTTGTTTTACAAGTTATTCACAACCTAACTTACTTCCTCTAAGTGTGTCATGTTTCTTTCTAGTTAATGTAGTAATAGATTTATAATAAATAATTCAACTTTAACCTATAATAGAATATTTTCAAATATTCCAGCTGCTTTAATTTCTACTGTTTCTGATTGTTCTGGTGGTGATGCTTGTCAGTTGTGTGTTGTTTTAGAAAAAGTGTAATTGCAAATGTGGTGCAACAAAGTTAAATGATGCTGCTATGAATAATTTTTTAGATATCGGAGTACCAAGGGTTGGAAGATTAGAGGTAACGCACCAATTGATGGACATTTTTGTTTTTGGGCTGCAAATGACCAACTTGACTTATTAAATGACCAGGTTAAAGAAGATGTCGATACATACAAACATGTGCAAATACAAGCATTGTTGATGGAGTATATAAAGAATCTATTGGCTCAATTTCTTAAAACATTTGTTAAAACAATGTTAAATGGAGATTATTTTCTACTAATGTCAACAATTTGATTTTAGACAATTAATTTGAGAATGAGCAAACACACCTTTTATTTTAAATAGTGGGAAATAGCAGTCAGATCCATAGATAACAGACTATACAAGTTTACAATGTATGAGAAGATGAGGATTGTTTATTGTTGTATTGCCCTTTAATACATGAATAAAATATGATAAACCAAGAGAATGAACTAAAGAATTTAAAAAACAAACAGTAAACCATGGTATTATGTAAAATAAAATTCTGAAGTTTTGATGATATAGGTGAAACTAAAATATGCTAAAATTAATATTTTCTGAACAGATTTCTCAATGTTGACCTAATTTTATCATTCAGCTATACTTCAATTATTTGTATTATGTAATTTATTTACTTATTGTCACTACCACTTCAATTAAATGTATAATTTGTTAAACACATGTAATTTACCTGAGACACATCACTTAAATGTTCATTTACAAACTATCGAGACACTTTACCTGTATAAAGCTATGTATTTCATCACTTAAAAAAAATATCAGGATTTCCTCTATCTTTTATAGTTTACAAGATAATAGGCAATTTTTTTATGTCAAAAACTTGTCATCCTAAAAGGGCAATAACTCCTATGAAATGCTGTCTAGCAGTTTTGATGAAGGTTTATAAGAAAATGGACAAAACTTGCATTTTACCCCATGTTCTATTTAGAGCCATCTCTGTCATGTGCTGGTTGGAAGGTGGAATCAGCAGACATATTTTTGTAAATTTTTTAATTAAACTACCAGTAGATACCTGAATAATGATTGAGGCTAAGTTTCATTTCGATTGGCCCAGTAGTTCAAGACAATTTTTTGTAAAAGTTAACAGAGGATGGCCGCTGATTAAAGACAAGAGTGCACACGCTGAAATGTCTTGCCTACTATACTGACCATTGATTTTATGTTGATAGTCCTACATATAAAGTTTTACTACAAGTATCACATTAACATTTATGATCCAAGAAAATGAGGTCAAGGTCAGATAAACCAAACTGAAACACATGTACACCTTTAATACAATCCCTCCATACACAGAATATAGATGACCTACTGCTTATAGTATAAAAGAAACAAGACCATACCATGGAAATTCTATACTGACCAATGAACCATGAAAATGAAGTCAAGGTCATTTGAACCCTGCCAGACAGACATGTACACCTTAGAATCATTCCATGCATCAAATATAGATGACCTATTGCTTAAGGTATCTAAGAAAAAAAGTTAACCAGGAAAACTGAACATTGACCAATCAACCATGAAAATGAGGTGAAGGTCAGATGATACCTGCCAGACAGACATATACACCTTACAATCATTCCATACACCAAATATAGTTGACCTATTGCTTAAAGTTTAAGAAAAACAGACCAAAACACAAAAACTTAACATAAGCAATGAACCATTAAAATGAGGTCAAGGTCAAGTGAAAACTGTCTGACTGGCATGAGGACGCAAGGTACGCATATACCAAATATAGTTATCCTATTAATCATAATAAGAGAGAAATTAACATTACAAAAAATCTTAACTTTTTTTTCAAGTAGTCACTGAACCATGAAAATGAGGTCAAGGACCATGGACAGACGGAAACTTCATATCATAAGGCAAATAAAACCTGCCAGACTGACATGTACATCATTAAATATTTCCATACACCAAATATAGTTGACCTACTGCATACAGTATTAGAAAAACAGACCAAAACACAAAAACTTAACATTGAGCAATGAACCATGAAAATGAGGTCAAGCTCAAATAAAACCTGCCAGACTGACATGAACATCGTAAAATATTTCCATACACCAAATATAGTTGACCTGTTGCATACAGTATTAGAAAAACAGACCAAAAACACAAAAACTAAACTATGACCACTGAACCATGGAAATGAGGTCAAGGTCAGATGACATGTGCACCTTACAATCATTACAAACCAAATATAGTAGACCTATTGCTTATAGTATCTCAGATATAGAGTTGACCACGAAAACTTAACCTTGTTCACTGATCCATGAAATGAGGTCGTGGTCAAGTGAAAACTGTCTGACAGGCATGAGGACCTTGCAAGGTAGGCACATACCAAATATAGTTATCCTATTACTCATAATAAGAGAGAAATTAACATTACAAAAAATCTTAACTTTTCTTTCAAGTAGTCACGGAACCATGAAAATGAGGTCAAGGAAAACGGACATATGACAGATGGAAACTTCATATCATAAAACATCTGTATAAAAAGTATGAAGCACCCAGGTCTTCTACCTTCTGAAATATTAAGCTTTTAAGAAGTTATTTAATGCCACCCCCGGATCACTATCCCTATGTCGCGCTTTCTGCGACAAAAGTCACAGGCTCGACAAAAATAACTCACTTGACATTTTGGCACAGGTGAGGCAAGCACACAGAACATCTTTTAGCTGAATTTTTTACCAAACTTCCTAATAAGAAGAATTCGTGTCTATGGATGAGCAGACAGATTCAGTGACCCATGGAATACCCAAAGAAGGGCATTTAATATATAACCTGTTGTAACTGACATTCATTTGAATTCCAAGTGACAATGAGTGAGGTATAAAGCAAGACTTACTAAAGTGTATAAAAATAATCGTTTATTTAAAAATCTCTTTCACTTCAGTCATTTCAGTACAAAACAATGTCACCTTGATCACTATTTTAATTTCCCATAATCACTTAACAAATTTCCTATGATCAATTAACTAACACCACTAGATCACTAATCTAATTTCCCATGATCACTCAACTTACTTTCCCATGATCAATCAAATAATTTCCCATGATCATTCAGCTTATTTCCCATGATCAATCAAATAATTTCCGATGATCATTCAGCTTATCCCATGATCAATCAAATAATTTCCCATGATCATTCAGCTTATTTCCCATGATCACTTATCAAATTTCCCATGACCACTCAAATAATTTCCCATGATCATTCAGCTAAATTTCCATGATCACTCATTTAATTTCCCATGATCACTCAAATAATCATTGATTTAATTTCCCGTCACTTCCTGCAGAACCCCCTTCATTGATGTAACATTAAGTTTCCTCCTTAGTCTATCAGCCAATGAGACTGGACTTTTCTCTTCAAATGTTAAATCTAATTTTGTTCCAAGTTTCATTACATTGTGATTTATCTCTGTATGAACATCTATAGTATTTTCCTTTTCCTGTAAACTCGGAGAGCAATCAAATATTTTCGATGAATCTTTGTCGACAAGAAAAGCACTAGAAAAGTTACAATCTTTTTCTTCTCGACTAGGAGTAGAAAGTTCATAGGTTGAATCAAGTGCTTTGTCCATGTTGTCCATATTAGGTAGATTAATATAATTTATACCAAATTCACTATCAATTCTGCCAGATTCTTTTCCCCTTTGATCACATGCTTCAAGTTCAAAATCTGAAAAGTATACATTGTCAGAGGGATTTAATTTTGTTATTGAATTTTCACATAAATCTTTAATTGTAGCATTACATTCTCTTTTGACAAAATTTTCTTTGTTTCTTTCCACAGACACTGCAGAAATGATTGGTTTCAAATTAATGCTAGCATCTGGTAAATCTGGTATATATTCAACTGCACTGGAACTCTTTTTAGATTTAATGTCATAACAACTTTCATCCAAATCCAGGACAGTCCGGCATTTACCATATTTAGGGGTTTCACAGGTGAGATCAATTACTGCACTATTTCCCATATGATTGCAAGGACTTTCGAAATCTGACTTACACATTTTTGAAGTTCCTTTCAATACATGCTGAAATAAGTTTCCCTGAAAAGGTATTAAGGGACTATTTTCATCAAAAGCCAGTTTGCTAACAATGTTTTTCTCTGCTGGTGTATGGATATTAGAATTCTCAATCCCATGATCCTTTTGTACCTTCATAAGAGGAGTTTGATCATTTTTTGGTTGTTCAAAATGAGGTGATGTTGTAATACTACCACCACTTGCAATGATTGACTTTAGTAGTGACGATTCAATCTGAAAATTGCCCAAATCTGACATAGATCCATTAATGGAAAATTTACTGATATTCAACGATTTTTCAGCACTAGACACCCCACCCATATGACCACTAAGGGGGCTTAAGAAATCATTTTTGCTTCCAACTTTGTTCAAGATCCTTTCTACCTGAAGTGGGCTGTTTAAAATACTTTTCAGTAAGGCAGCCTTTCTTAATTTAGAACTACTTGTTGGTGTTGATTCTAGTAGAGTTTGATAAAGAGAGGGAGACAAATTTTTCAATCTTGACATGTTAGGTGTATTCAGTTCAAAGTTCAATCTTCCAATATGGCTGAAATCTGACACATCATATATTTTCATACTACTGTCTTCTACTAAATCTGGTTGACATCTTGCTGAAACTCTTTTACAATCTTTTTCTTTTTCTGGTGTTAAAACAGATAAATCTATAAATTTAACGGCACTTTTTACATTTGTGTCAGGTGTGCAGCTGAGACAGTTTTCCTTTTGATAATTAAATTTTGACTCAACATCACAGTCAGAAATTTGGTCTTTTACTTCAATATTTGGGTTCAAATGTGAAATTGCAGGCGAACTCAAATCAATTTCACTTTCATTCTCGGAGTCAACAAAATCAGTGATTTGTTTTTGATCGGAGTGAAGATTTTTCAAATTGAAATCACATTCTGATTTTAGGTCAATAGAAGCACTAGTCTTCCTAGTCAAACGCGATCTTAAGCTCAAGTTTTCTTCAGCGTAAGAAACTTCAATTTCACTAGTATCTTCAAATGAAGATGAAGATTTATCTTCAAACTTAAGTGCTACAGATGTTTCCAGCCCCGTCAAGTTTTCCTCTTCACCCTCACAAGGCTCATTTGATAAAACATCCCCAATTCCAGTTATTTTCCCTGTTGTCATTGATTTCAACTGTAAATTATTCCTTTTTGACGAAATGTGTTCTTCTGGAGTTATCTTCCTTGTTTCTAATGGTTTCAATTGTAAACTGTCCAACTTGTCTGTTAAGACATCAACATCTGTTTGTTCACGTTGCATGTCAACATTTTCTGCATCCTGTACCTTCTTCTTTCTTCCTAAAATTTAGATTTCTATATTTTATTACAAAAGCCTAGGAATTAAATAATGTGCCATCTTTGTTAAATCACCTTCTTATCAAGATTGGGGTTGATTTAGATCATGATGTACAGTATAAGGGTCTTGATGGGGTTTCCAGAATAGATAATATTGGCAAAAACATACAGAATAATGGGCAAAATAAATCGACTAGAGAAAAATGGACCAAAATAAAGAATAGAAAATTACTGAGTGTCAAAATATAAGATCAAATAAAGAATAGAGAATACTTGAGTGAGAAAATACAAGATCAAATAAAGAATAGCAAATAATTGGCAAAATAAATAAAGAAGAATGGAGAAAAATGTTCTAAAATTCTAAGAATACCACCAGAATGGATACTATTGATGAAAACTGTATGTGAATAGATTCAAGTTTTGTTGTGTTGCTTGATTCCTGTCTTATTGACCTCAGCTATATTAACTTTCATTCATACAAATCAATTGACCTAAACTTTATAATGTACATATTCATGAATATAGCAATACAGCTGAATTTTAAATAAGAGGTGCAAATAATTTAAAAACAAAAAGCAGTTATATTGAATTCATTTGCAAACTTTAAATGCAACCATCCCCACTTCAGGTAACACAATACATTTTGTATCAAAATCTCACCTACCACGACTTTCATCAGGATTAGGCAAGGCAATAATATCAATTATTTTTACTGTAAGAAGTATGAAAATATTCAGTAAAATATGACAAAACAGGTTAAATGGCATCTCAAATTTCTTTTCAAGGGAGATCACAGTTTATGATTTAATATTTTAATTTAATGTCCACATTTTACCTTTTGATTTTGATTTTTTCTTAGCTGCCTCAATTTCAAATTCTTCTATGAGTTGATGAAAACATTGTGAAAATAATTCTCGGTCTTCTATGGTTACATAGTAATCTGTCTGACAAATGTGATCATCAGCTGTAAAGATTGATAAAATTATATATAGTATATAAAAACAATATGGTCTACATAAACTGGATCCTCTTCCTTTCAGCTTTATCCTAACAATTAAGCTAGTTTGCTGGCATATTTTTCTTTTGATAAACCTTACTTAATTCCACAATTTCATATTCATGAGTTCTGGTCTCAGTTGTACTTGGAGATGTTACTTTTTACTAATTTCAGACCAGGCATTCAAATTTATATATAACCTGCATGAAAATAACAGTGTTTAAAATTTATGTAAGCATATTTTAAAGCCAGTGAAAGCTACAAAATTTTTTAAATTAATCGACTTTCCAATTTTAATTTAAATTATATTTATCAGACAAAGCAGCATCTCACAGACCAAAACACAGTATGTTTTTACTTCTTCAATATTCTGGGTTCCTGACACAATATTATCAATAGCGTAAGCCAACTTCCACTTCAAATATAGCGTCAGGCCACCAGCACTGAATTCCGATCACAATTTTGATAGAATGACGCCATATCAAAGGTTCATCAATGTAAATTCGAGAATTATCAAGAGAAGTTTTGAAAAAAAATTGGCGATGAGTGTTAACCAATCCAGATTTGATGGGAGCGCTGGTGACCTTGTGTTACATGTATATATGAAGTTAAGCTTGCAAAATTGAAAACATTTTACCAGGATTCCAGGTTGCTTCTTTAGTTCTTGTGCTCCTTACCACTAGTAACAAAAAGCCAAAAAAAAAAAAAAAATTTTAAACAAACAATGTTTTATGTCAGATATGCAGAATCTCTGTTAACATTGTTAAGGAAGACAATAGTACAGTTTGAATAGTTATTTTAGCATTTTTAATAAAGATATTTTAACATTACAACACAATTTTCCTATTCCATTTTTTTCTTTTGAAAATTAAGGTAGAATGACTACTGATAGATGTTTACAGAGATTTATAATTTAATAGGTGGACTGGATGAGTCAGGTAATTCAAACTGCCACTGAAAACCAAATCGAAATACAAGGTAAAAATTAAAAATGGAGAACAATGTGTGACATGGACAGAGATGAGGATGATGACAACAGAAGAGATCCTTATGCATTGCCACAGCCGGATGTTATCAGGCAACACAGCAATAAATAAAACAGTTTCATTCATTTTGGAATTCAGAAAATACGTATCATTGAATTTTGATTCCTTGGAACTGGAGTGTCTGGAACTTTACCTTAATTTAGAATATAAGACTGATGTATAGTATTAAATACCTTGTTTGTGCCATTCCACCTCCACACTTGGTATCCCATGTCTTACTCTAGCTTTCACTATTCTGTAAGTAACAAGTGAATCTGTTAGCTACTGCTCACTAATGATACCCCCGCCCGCTGAAAGTATAAGGTAAACAGGAAGTTGAGTGATGAATCTGAAATCGCATCACACGGTACAGCTGACTCATATAAACCCTGACACCAAATTTCAGAAATCCTTGTAATGTACTTCCTGAGAAAGATGCGACGAAAAATATTCATGGGACGGACTGACTGACGGACAGACAGAGATAAAACAGAATACCCCCACTTTTTTAAAGCGGGGGTATATTTAGACAGAAGAACTTAAATACTGTTTAGAAACATCAAACTAAAACTAAGATGATAAAATAATAATGTAAAGTGCTTTTTCAAATAGAACAAGAAGGAAAACATTTTTCCGAAACGCTAAGGGGGTCTCAAAAGTCTAATTAACCAGACAATGATGTGTCCATCATTCACTTGCATATATCAAACAATGCTCTGCTTTACATTCAGTTGTAAAGACCTCTTAGGGGTTATCAGGATTTGTTGTAAAGATAAAACCATAACAGACTGATTTGTTGTAAAGATAATGCCATACCTGGACTGCGTTCAATACCATAGCTGCTACCTAGGGCTACGTAGATTTTGACTCCTGAACGAATAGCTAACTTAGCCACTAAATAGATTTAGATGGCCCACAAATTTCATGAGAATTTCTAGAGAATCAAAAATAGCATTAGATAGATTATTACTAAAGAAATCATTTTGATAGGCTAGCTACATAGCATATCGTTCAAACAAAATAGATATCTGAGACATAGCAGCTATACTAGCTGCTACTATACTGAATACAAATGTCAAGGCGGAAATTCATTGGTTGACATGATCATCAGAGTATAAAGTTGTATGAGGCATGCCAGATCCTTGTTAGTGAAGTTTTGACACAGAATCTTGATTTTAATGAAAATAAATGGATGAAATCAGGAAATATAATGACAGACTCTACAGGAAAAGAACAAGTATGAGTATTGTCGAAGGCCAAACGGTGACCTATAGTTGTTAACTTCTATGTCATTTGGTCTCTGGTGGAGAGTTGTCTCAATGGCAATCATACCACATCTTCTTATTTTTTATAAACAAACACCAACTATCATCTTCTTTCATTAGAGTAACCCTACCTGCTGTCTATATATTTTTATTCCCAATTTTTAAATTCTAAGAGGGTTTGAATCTGGAATGGTGTAACGAATCAAACCTTTACATTGAAAAAAGTCAACTATTTACAAAACAGGAGATTGAAGTTCATCCAACAAAGATCAGCATATTTTGTGTTTTGAATCCTGGATACACAATTTATTTTGAAGCATCACTTTGAAATACAATTCATAGATATTTGGAAGTCAACACTGGAAAAAATTCACAGAAACTGAACTTCAATAGATCATATTTATAACTATACATGCAAAATTACTGTTAAATTATCATCCAAACTGAAACAGCTATTGAACTATCTAACCCCAAAAGGTATTCTCAATCATAAATGGCAAACAAATTATTTTTCTTATTCTGCCAAGGTAATCAGAAGTGCGTTAGATAAATGTGTGTAATTACCTATATGGTACAAGATGACCATGTTGTCCGCCTTTTGAAATGTCTGTCATATCCCAGAGTGTAATGAGAGGTAATAATTTGTCTTGTGTGTATTCCTCTGGCCATTCTAGCTTACAAAGTGAAAATGTCTGAAAATATAAATGCCAATTAGCATAACCTTAGATCAATTGCTTCTTAGTTTACAATGTTTATATATAGTATGGCCCAAAAAGAATTTTACCTTTATCAATTAAAACATCATTCTCATATCCTGTGGGAAATTTCCCATGAGCAAGAACTATTGGCTCATAAATTTTACGAGATTATATTGTTCTTGAAAGTTATTTTTCCCATGAGCAAGAACTATTGGCTCATAAATTTTACGAGATTATATTGTTCTTGAAAGTTTTAAGTCCCATTATTATAATTATTATCTTTTTTCATATTCAATCAATCTCAAGGCACCAAAACATTGTTAATTTAAATGCCTTTCAACTGCTCCTCTCCTAATGAAAATTTAACAAATGAAACATATGAAATTTTTTTTTCAAAATATGTACCTGCAGCAGAACCAGCTTTGGTCGATTCCATTTGAAATGTCTTGATGGCAGATGATCTTTTGGTATCATAAACTCGTCAATAATCTGTGTTGTAAAAAAAAAGTATACCTACTTATACATTTATCACAATACATGCAATATAAAAATATATGCGATATTGCTTTCAGTGCAAAAAATGCATTTCGTAATTTCTTGAAAAGATGTAGAGACAAATGTATAAAATGTTTGGAAGCATCATATCCATATTCAAATGATTAAAACTTAAATTCTATTAAACACTAATGAAAATCAATAATGTTTAAGTAACTGTATCAAATACATAATATCAATCATAAGGTACACAGTCAAAAACCCATCAGAATGGGGATATTAAATCTGATGCCCAGACTCAGATCCCAGAATTTTGAAAATGGGAGGACCCCAAACTTGGCAATATTAGAAGCAGAACATGTAAAAAGTCTATGCATTAACCATATATGTAGCTCTGCAAGGTGGGCCCTTCCCCCTAAATTCCACCTCTGAGTATATTGAAGGATTAGCAGCTAATAACCCTAGCAGCAATTATATAAAAGAATCTGCAAGTCTGTTACAGGGCAAAAGTCTACCTCAACCAGTATACCTTCTTTTTGAGGTTGTTCATCCCTATCAAACCACTTTGAAAAGACTAATAAGTGTTTGATTTCTTCCTGAACAGATTGACTGGTGGAAGGGACAAAAACAGTATACCCTCTGCAATTTTGTTGTGTGAGATATTACTTTTTTTTAAAACTAGCATTCCTGAAAAATAAGTCAATCACTGGGATTTGATAAAAAGAATATTTCTAATAACATTTCAGGATCCCTTTCTTTCACTAGCAATAGGCTATAAATTTTCACCAGTAAATCCATTTGAACTGTAACTGTAAACGTTGGCCATTTTATAACAATTACTGGCAGATCCTATTGTATGACTACAATGATACTCTGGTGTTAGGTACTGTTTCCAAGATCAAAGAATTCTAAAATTAAAGAACTTTAGTGAGCGTGCTCACATACCCCACGTCCCCACATTGTCACTGGAGAAATAAAATAACTGCAAGAAAAAAAAAATTGAATCATAATTTCCTGTCGATATGCACATCTACATAGTATGTCCTTATTATCTACAAAGTTTCATGAAATTCTGTTGTGTGGTTTCAGAGGGGTTGCGATGACAAACTGTTGCAGAGGTATATTGAAGCAAATAAGTTCAAAGGGGCACAACTCCTAGAAAAAAAATTGAATCATAATTTCCTGTCGATATGCACATCTACCTAGTATGTCCTTATTATCTACAAAGTTTCATGAAATTCTGTTGTGTGGTTTCAGAGGAGTTGCGATGACAAACTGTTGCAGAGGTATATTGAAGCAAATAAGTTCAAAGGGGCGTAACTCCTAGAAAAAAAAATGAATCGTAATTTCCTGTCGATATGCACATCTACGTAGTATGTCCTTATTACCTGAAAAGGTTTCATGAAATTCTGTTGTGTGGTTTGAGAGGAGTTGAGATGACAAAAGGTTGCAGTAGTATATTGGGCAAATAAGTTCAAAGGGGCGTAACTCCTGGAAAAAAAATTGAATCGTAATTTCCTGTCGATATGCACATCTACGTAGTATGTCCTTATTATCTACAAAGTTTCATGAAATTTTGTTGTGTGGTTTCAGAGGAGTTGAGATGACAAACTGTTGCAGTAGTACATTAAAGTAAATAAGTTCAAAGGAGCGCAACTCCTAGAAAAAAAATTGAATCGTAATTTCCTGTCGATATGCACAACTACATAGTATGTCCTTATTATCTAAAAAGGTTTCGTGAAATTCTGTTGTGTGGTTTGAGAGGAGTTGCGATGACAAGAAACAGGACTGACGGACTGACGGACCGATGGGTCAAAAACATTATACTCTCCGCAACTCGTTGCGTGGGGTATAAATATCACCCAGTATTGCATTTAGATTATTTTGAAGAAAATTAAAAGGAAATATGTGGTACCATTTTATAATGTGTCTTACTGGATATATTCTTTTTGAATGAGCATATATGACCATACCCTTTTCTGTGGAAAATCTGATACTAAAGCAGCTTTCCTTTTTATCTGAACTTCTATGGCATCCAAACATTCAGCATCAGACAATCTTTTCCAGCTTTTAAATCTGAAATATAGAGAGAAAGTATTGAACCACTTTATTTAGGTCAAGGTTCAGTAAAATTTAATTAATTCCATCAGTAGAAAAGAAAATATGAGTAAGAGACTCAAATGGCCAGTTTATATAGAATGATTTAAATCCCTTAGTATCACATCCTGCGACTTTCTCTGCATACAAAAACCCTTGAAGATGACCTTCAGATTTACTGAATAAATATTTTTTCTGATGTTGATGAAATGAGGGTCAGCCATACTGATTATAAGCCTGAAATCTTTGATCACTTTTTACATGGGGTCAATACCACAGCTAGGGTTTGTTTCATACCAAAGGGTATCACCAGTCCAGTAAGTAGTCTGCATTCCTGAGCTCACATGATATCACTGATGCAGTTATTTTGATTTTTTAAGATTTCAACTCCCTTAGTCAAAGTTGACCTTAGATGGATTTTGATTATTATATTTAGGTCCTTTTTGGTAATAAAGCTCTTCAAATATTCTTATACATCCCCGTCGTGGCTTTGAGCTTTCCTGATGAAGGTTAATCCAGAAAAGGGCTTCTCATGCATGGAATTTATTGAGTGTTGTTTTCATTTTTTAAGTAAATTCTTGTTTATTAAAAGTAAAAAAAAAATCAGTCCAAACACTAAGTTTTCTGTCTCCAGCTATAGATATTTGTCTATGTCTTTAACTTCAAAACTGACATTGCCTACCAAATATTTAATTTGAGTGCCAATGATGATTCTATTCAAGACAAAACACATCTCCGGCATATTCTTTTATAAAAGTAGTATCTATGATGACTTTTCACTAACCTTCGAAGAGGACTGATATCTTTATAACCAGCCAATAATTTACTGGCCTTCTCTATCCCTACTCCTGGTACACCTTTTGGTACATAGTCACATCCAACTAATAGTGCAAGTGCTACCATTTTTTCTCTGTTAAGATCAAGCTTCTGTTCAATATCACATATACTGTATATCTCAACTTGAGGATCCTGAAAATATTTATTAACTTTATCTTTGTAAATTAGAAGATTTTTAGGATGTACAAATAAACAGCTGTGCCATGAGCGCATGATATGCCCGTCACGTTTTCAAAGAATAAAGTTCAATGACTTCTCAATGTCATATCAGAAATTTATGAAAAACTAAAGGGAGGTTATCTTAATAGATATAAATCAGTCACCAAAGTTTCATAAACACTGATCAAAGCACTTTAAAGATATTGTCCGAAAACTGGAAAATCACCCCTTTTTTATGAATAAAATCCCATAACTTGGAAACGTAAAATCTCAAATTTATGAAAATCGAAAGGGAACTTAAGTCAATAGATATAAACAATTCACCAAAGTTTCATGAAAACTGCTGAAAGCATTTTTGAGTAATTGTCCGAAAACTGGAAAATCCCCCTTTTTTTAATGAATAAAACCCCATAACTAGGAAATGTAAAATCTAAAATTTATAAAAATTGAAAGGGAGCTCACGTCAATAGATATAAACAACAATGAACAATTCTCCAAAGTTTCTTGTAAATTGGTGAAAGTGTTTTTGAGTTATTGTCCCAAAACTTGAAAATCCCCCTTTTTTATTGAATAAAACCCCATAACTTGGACACGTAAAATCTAAAATTTATTAAAAACGAAAGGGAGCTCATGTCAATAGATATAAACAATTCACCAAAGTTTCATGCAAATTGGTTAAAGCGTTTTTTGAGTTATTGTCCGACATGTTGACGACAGACGGGTGGACAGACAAAGGTATACCATAATACGTCCAGTTAACAAGCATATAAAAAGTATAGTTCTAGACTAGTATTATTGTCCTCCTAAATGGATTAATAATTGATTGTTGTTGTTTAACACCAATTTCAGCACACTTCGCTTTATCATGGTGGTCAGTTTGTATAGATGGAGGAAGTCGAAGTGCCCTGAGAACCACTGACCTTTGGCAAGAAACCTAGCAATCATTATAAATTAAGATCGACTTCAAACACCCCTGCCTTGAGCTGGGTTCAATTTCACCTGTGTTGACAGGCTAGCAATTACTATAGAAAAACTATATAGACCACATAAGGAATATTATTGCCTTGTTTACATCTGATGAATTTCTTCTTGTTTCATATTTAAACCCTTTTTAACAAATGATTGATTACTTGCTGTCACTTTCTATAGATCAATATACTATCATGGCTATCAGCTTTAATGACAGAGAAAACTTTTGCTCAGCAGGAACCCAATTCCTGGCCTGACTCAAATGACAACAATTATAACAGACAGTTGCAAGTCAGGAGCACCCTTTTGTATGGTTAAAAATCATATTAAAAAATAATGTATTATCACCACATCTATATGTATCCATTGTATGTTAATTAGGTACCTTAGAGGTTATTGAGAAATTCCTAAACACAGTTTTAGCTCCATACAAAAACACATCCCCATCATTGGTGATGCATCCATCAACAATCTGAAATATAAAAAAATTTGTTTACCCTCAAAATTAAAGGTGAGGTAACAATAAATATAAATATAATTGATCATAGGAGACATTTATTTAGCAGGAAAAAGATTTTAAAGTTGTTCAATTTTTAAGTACATGTAAACTTATTTTCTAAACATTAGTTGGTCTATAAGAGTTAAATAGGTAGATTTAGTCTCTTGATTTGTGTCTTTGGGTAAGATGATATTTCCTTTTATTATTACAAGTCCTCCTCTACTCCAAAAAAGTACCCCATTTCAGACTATAAAACTCATCCACTATTTTGATTAGTGGAATCTTTCATCCACATTTCAAGAGGATCCAACAAAAAATGAAGATGTGACATGGCCACAACAAAGTGATGACAGATGATAGACTGAGAGGTCATAAAACATTAAACTCTCTGCAACTTTGTTACACAAAGTATAAAAATAGTCATTTCAATACTTTTGACAGTCAAGTCCAGATAAATTTAAGACATATTTTGATTGTGTAGACACTTGAGTATTATAGAAGACCCTATGGCCTCCAGACGTCTTTCATTTACTGTCTCACTGACTTATACCCCCAATCTCCATTTATCATTTAACATAGTTCAATTAACATTTCTCATTAGAATTCCATTTTCTTTGCTGTTGTAAGATAACTCACCCCGGCAGCATTTAATAATCCACATAGAGCTTCTGCTTCACCTCGTGACTGTATATAGGGCACACCAAGGTAATCCAACATTTCACAACACTATAATTTAAACGTAAAATTATCAGTATGATTTAAAATACAAATTCTAAATTTTCAAGTTGTTCAGTGTTTAATTTTTAGTTCACGTGATTCCCTCAGGTTTTGTTTTTACCTTCAATTGTATGTTCTGAATGCATTTATATGAGATTTGAACAGCAATAAACTAATGTCACGTTCAATTTTATCTCAAAGACAAACATTCCAGTTAAAAAAAACTTCAATTGTGATATAGTTACCAAGTAGGGATACGTTTCAATAGTAAGATGTTTAACTTTCAATTTGTTGAATGATAAGTGTAAGACCAGTTTTTATTGGCATAGGAAGTCAGATTATCAGAAGAGAACCACAGACCTTCTGTCAATCCTAGTCAATGCAATTGCCAAGGTCATGTTCAAACTCACAGCCTCGATGATGATAGTCTAGTGACCAATGTAGATCAGCTACTGACACCACTCTGCCATCAAGGCCCTTCAATTTGTACATATTTAGTATTGAAGAAAATTTTGAATTTTACAAATTTGATTCTTTTTTTTTTTACAATCAAAATTGTGCCTAAACATGCTAAAGGGGAATAATTCTCAATTTTAAAGTGCATGTTTTGAGTTCTTTTTCCAATCAAATTCTTATAACTGAACACAGTTCCTGAGTGATTAAACATTTGGTGTTTTAAGCACATATTTTGTACTCCAAGCACTGAGTAAAGTCTTATGACCGTAGGCCCAGTTCCTGTGTAATTAATCATTTTCATAATTTTGACACATTACAGTAAAGTACTGAGTTATTTCCCATTAGGCTTCAATGGCCTGTAACACTAAATTGCTGTTATCCAACCTTATCCAACCTTTTAGCCAGTGAGCAAAAAAATCTTTTCAAAACATATTATATTATATCATAAATTAAGACAAGGGAAATAAAATCTATAATTTAAAATTGCTGGCATACCTTAGTTACAGACCAATAGGCCTTGGAATTTACCATCTCAAAATATCTTGACAACAAACCAGAGCAATGAAAATCATTGTTACTAAAGAAATACATTAGAATTTGGCTTTTTAACCTACTCCACCTAAAAATGAGTTGAATTCCCTGCATAATTTCATCTACTTTGTGCACAATTTCCCTGCTGCAGAAGTCTGTGTAAGTTTTTTTAGTTTCTTTATATGGTTAAATAGGAGCTGAAGATTATTAAAAGTGTGAAGACAAGGAAGACAATGCTGAGGTGTGAAGACAACATGGAAGTGACATGGCTGTTTTCCCCGAGTATGTTTTTTTTTCTTCATCCTATACGTATATCATGATGATTATGTTGATGGATGGCTGTTGAACAGCCATTTTTACATGAAAGTCAGTGTATTACCTCTCTCAATTTTGCATTGAAATGTGATCTGCTCTTCTTTCTGTTTGGTGGCCCCTTTCTCTTCCCTGGATATTGGACTTCCTGTCGTCTGCTCATGGTCTCCTGCTTCAAATCTGGAGCTTCTCCTTCTACAGCAAAGATCAAGTTTATACCTAACTGTAAAAGGCAACTTATTCGGAAATATAGATTTCTGAAAAGGAAGCATAAAATATTTAGTATTTACTGAATCTTAAATAATAATTGATAAATAGGGTTGATATGCGAGGAGAAGTAGCATGGACTCTTAATTCATAGAAATCATGTGCAAAATTCATGGTGAACTGGATGTTTTAAAAGTGTCAGTTACTTACTGTCCGGTGGCAATATTCAAATATGAACACATGAAGAACACGCAAAGTGATTAGGTTAAAGACACTCTTGAATGCGGCTAATTTTTGAAGATTTACTAAAAAAAATTTCTGTATATATATATATATCAAATTCTCTAAGGTACTATGTGAAAGTGTTGAATTTTTTATTATATTTCAAATTATGTCATTTCATCTGAAATGATCAGCCTTTTTAAATTGAAATAAAAAATGAAGTAATCATGCCTTTGAAATGGTTAAAAATTTTATTTCTTAAAATTTAAACTATTTCAAAAAAATTATGGTAAGTCATGTAAGTTGCTAGCACATTCTCACCTGTTTACAAATTTAACAAAATGCAGTCTTTTATTTCCTTTTTCAAATTAGTAGTTATCCTGTTGGTATTGCACTGTGAAAGTTTTTAACAATGTATAATTTAATTTTATGACATAAATGGTATAGAAAGGTAAGGGGAGGTTTAGCACACACAAAGACTGGTTTAACCCAACCACATGTTGTGCCTTTACCAAGTCAGGGTATTTGGATCATGTTTTGTTTGTTGTTGTCTTTGTAAGTCTAATTTTTGGAAGACTCTTTGCTGGTGATTGATAGTGTCTGTTGTCAGTTTGTACTGTCCATATTTTTGGTAAAACCTGTTATTCTTTTTTATCAATGTATAATATCAAGTACAGATTAGCTATTCTTACTACAATTTTGATTAAAAGATGTTACTGTATACACAAATATCACTGGATCACTAGATTTTGGATTGCAAAAGAATGTTAAATTTGGAATACACAATAAAATCATGTTTTCTCTTCTTTGGAATGCAAAAAAAATAAATTTATAACAGTAAAAAGTCCCTTCCAATAGATGTGAAAGGAAATAAAGTACAGTGAAAATTTATTTTTACCCATTTCCCTTGAAAAGGCGGTCTTTTTGCTGTTTTAACCTAATCAATTCTCTTTTTATTTAAAATTTCAACTTTAGTTGTAGATAAGCTTATGTTAACATGGTTAAGACAAACCTGAGATATGGCCGTGTGACTACTCCTTGCATCTGTTTAACGCACTGATTTTCACAAACCCAAATACTCAAGTCAATGGCTACAGTCTGACCTTTAAGAGAAGATAATGGCTTATGCTGTTGGATCGGAGACAAAATCTGCCATAAATTTGTAACACCCATCTCTGAAACATAAAAGCATTCTTTAAAAAAAAAAGAGGCTGAAAACAGCATACCAATGCATAATGCAAGACCATTGATTGAGGAAGCATGATCAATAATAATCAGAATTTTTTAGAAATTATTTTTTGTATACCGAATTCAGCCCTGTATTGTCCCCAGGTTTTACTCCAAAATAAAAATTGCCAGGCAGAGGTGCAGATTATAGAGCACTTTATATATATATAATCAGAAATAGGGAAAAAACTTTATTTCACAATGTTCGTTTGTGTTCTGCATGTTTGTTATTGAAATTGTAGAGGGCAACCTTATTTTTTTTTCAAAACAAATAATTTACCTAATATAAAAATAAGTAGATGTGGTATGATTGCCAATGAGACAACTCTCCACAAGAGACCAAATGACACAGAAATTAACAACTATAGGTCACCGTATGGCCTTCAACAATGAGTAAAACCCATACCCAGGGCTTCCAAAATTATTTTTAGCCAGCTGGACATTTTATATATGATTCTGATTTTAATCCCTTAAGAGAAGACTAAATAAACAAAAGGCCATTATGGTAATCAGTTGTCGAGTTGACCATCCCAATGATTGACATTAAACAAAAATGATATTAAACTTTCTTTGATTCAAATTCGAAGTTCTGACGTAAATTGTTAAATTGGCAGTGCATCATTCGAAGTGTGCAACATTAGCGTACTTATGTCTGCCTTAGATTCTTTATTTGTGCAAAATATAACGTTGTCAAAAACTTTACTTTCGTTTTTACCGGATGTTATCTTGACAATGGTAAAACATGGACCAGAGACGGATACGTAAATTCCGTGTACGTTTGCAAAGCATGAATGAGTGTAAGCAGCTCTTTCTACATTATTTCTTCAAGAAAATATTCAAAATAAACGTGAGATAAAGGTATCAATGACAATTTAAGCATTTTTGAAGAAATTAGGATGCATAATTAAATTACACACCTGCGCACATGCGCACACATGTACTAGTTCAAACAGAGACATGTCTCTGGTTCAAACAACGTGGTTATGACGATTTTTCATTTTCACCTTTTTAGTTTTTTCATCAAATCATATTTGTAAACATATTTCTGATAATTTAAATCTTTTTGACTAAATTAATAAGATGCAAACTGCTGATATGTAAGAAAATAACTTTGAATAGACCGATAAATGTCCGGTTTAAAATAGTCACCTGAACAGGTAAATTTCAGCTGTTCCACAACTAATTAGCCTTGATTAAAATGAGAAGGTATTAAAGTAGGGGTTGTTTAGATAGTACTTAATGATCATGTCACTTTTATGACCGGAAATGTGTGGCTGTTAAAGGCAAAAGGTTGGGTCAAAAAGATCGCGAATTATGTTAAAATGACCGTCTCTTAAGAAAGCCTTGAAAATAAAAAAATAGATGACCGTTTCATGCTTTGCCCAGCCGGACTTTTACGGGACATTATACAAATGTCCGGAATATATGACCGTTTTGGAAGCCTTGCCCATACCCCATTGTCAACTATAAAAGGCCCCAAAATGACAAATGTAAAACAATTAAAACGAGAAAACTAACGGCCTAATTTATGTACAAAATAATGAACCAAAAACAAATATGATATACATCAACAAACGACAAACCACTGAATTACAGATGCCTGACTTGGAACAGGCACATACATAATGTGGCGGGGTTAAACTAGTTTGAAAGAGCGCCAACCCTCCTTCTAACCTGGGACAGTGGTGTAACAGTACAACATAAGAACAAACTATAACAAGAATGTGTCCATAGTACACGGATGCCACACTCGCACTATCATTTTTTATGTTCAGTGGACCGTGAAATTGGGGTCAAAACTCTAATTTGGCATTAAAGTTAGAAAGATCATATCATAGGGAACATGTGTAGTATTGTGTACTAAGTTTCAAGTTGATTGGACTTCAACTTCATCAAAAACTACCTTGACCAAAAACTTTAACCTGAAGTGGGACAGACGGATGAACGGACGGACAAACAAACAAACGGACGCACAGACCCAAACTGTCGTAGGTGGGGCATAAAAATCAGTTGAAAAGGGCTTAACTCATCAGATTGATACATAGCAGTAATACTTCTAACAAAAACACAGAGTGGACATGGCAGGGTACTTATACATCCCCACAACAAAAAGTCACTAAGTACAGATCTGAGAGTACTTGCAGTTACTAATCCATATATAAATATGGAATTCTCATTTTAAAATCCAATATTTACTGATTCTTAACAAATGCTTCCTTGCAAGTTTCTTATTTTATAGCATTGCATAACTTAAACAGAAATCCGCTTGTTCACGCTACGAAAAAAGTGAAGAAGTCAGCCGGGAACCAGCTTATGCATGAGGATGTATAAACTACAAAACGTGCTCGGTTATTCGTTCCATTTTGGTGTTTCAAACTGCTGCATGTGTTTTGTTTAAGCTTAAAATCATTCAAACATAAACATGATGAATATATCTGACAACATTTCACTAAAGGACCGAACTATTTTAGTTTCAAAGTTGTATTTTTTAGTGATATCTATTATGTACGGCTTTTCCACATTCTCATCGTATTTGTTTGTGATTAACATGTTCTATTCTGATTTCCAGTTGATGTCAAACACTTTTACAATTGTTTTTCTTGTGATTTGGCTTATCTTAACGTTACCACACATCATGCTCCTGAAGCCTTCTAGAATATTACAAGCAATTTCAACTTCTTCTTAATGACAGAAAACAGGATTTTCTATGATAATAATGCAAAGGATCACACACACTTTAAAGTTACCGGAGTTTCACTAAACGTTTTCAACAAGTGACAAAAAAGTTTTTTTCCTAAATCTTTGTAGCCAAAAGGGTGGTGCATAACGTACCTGTGCAGACTTTACAAGGCCGATTACCATAATAAAAAATGCTTACTGATTAATTGTTTGGGTTTTACCCACTTTTAGCACTTCTGGCTATATCTTGTCTGCCAAATTGTTTTGGTAAAGGAAGCTAGAGTCTCCAGAGAGTACTACAGACCTTCTGCAGGAAAACTGGCAATCCTAGTTCTTTAAGATAGTTGAACACACCTGCAGGGTTCGAACTCACAACCCCAAGTGTTAACAGGCTAGAGATAACTGCAGAAGAACTTCTAAGACCACTCGCCCAACTTTAGGGAAAACAAGAATGTGTCCATAGTACATGGATGCACCACCCGCACTTTGTTCAGTGGACCGTGAAAAAGGGGTCAAAACTCTAATTTGGCATTAAAATTAGAAAGATCATATCATAGGGAACATGTGTACTAAGTTTCAAGTTGATTGGACTTCAACTTCATCAAAAACTATCTTGACCAAAAACTTTTACCTGAAGCGGGACAGACGGACGGACGGACAGACGAACAACCGAACGAACGAACGGACGCACAGATCGAATAACATAATACCCCTCTACTATCGTATGTGGGGCATAAAAATAACTGTTTTCCGATGATTTTGTCGTGTAAAGAAATCATTAGATTATTAATTTCTGTGAGATAATAAATTAAGCATTGTGACAGAAAGACATAAACTGTTATATTCTTGAATACACAAGTTTGCTATCACGAAAAATGTTGTAGTGCTTAATACCAGAGACAAATAAAAGGTATTTACAGTTAGTATATCTTTGTTAATACATTTATGCCCAAGGGTCCAGAAAGTCATATTTGCCAGTCGTTACCGAAACGGAAAGCTATTTGTCTGAAATGGTAGGTTGGGATTTAGGTCAAATATTTCTTTTTACAGAAATAATTTCGGTCATTTCATTGAGATTGGGTTTCTTAATTGGCATTTTGTACTTGTTTTTGTTTTGTAATTCTTTTCTGGTAATAAAATTGCCACTCCAGTATAGTAGTATAATCCTAAGGGCCCTCCTAATTACCATTTTAATGCTCCCAGGAGATATTGGCTAAGGCGAATGATCGTTAATCATTTTTTACCTGTGTTTTTAATTCACACACAACAGTGATCACAAGCTCAGAACTACATGTAGTTTTATAAAGAACTTAAAATTCCATGACAACTTTCTTCATTATCTAATTAATTTTCAGCAAAGACAATCGTCAATTCTGATTTAAAAATTAAAACTTGATTAAATTTATGTAGAAAAAAGCAATTTTTCATGAGTCAAACGTGTGCTTTATTTACTATGTAATATGCATGCGTTTAAATGTCTACACCAGATTAGGCACTTAATCATGTTAATCGTCAAACGCAAAATGATTTCAAGCTAAATTAAATGAGTGCAACTATAACCTGCTATATTCAAACATTTTTAAAGGACTTAAAAGGTAATAAAATTAAAAATCCTGTGATTTCTTGTCAATATAGTACACAAAAAATCCCAGAAATGAATCTGGAATCATTCGTAGTTTAGTATTAACGTGAAACTTCCTGTTTCATTTTGTCTTCATATTAGAAAGAAGCGTTGTCGATTCCGGAGAAATTTACCGTTTGAGTCATTAATGTAATTTCAATTTTAAACTGCTGCATTCCATAAATTGTTCTTGAACGTTTTTAGTAAAAATAGTAAGCAAATTCCTGAAGTAAGTGGGACGAAACTGTCAATACAAGTTGGTTGATGCTATGAATCTTGTGTGAATAATTTCAACAATTTGAAAAAAAGGCTCAAACTTTTAAGTCACCTCAAAATGACCAAAATTGTGTGAAATAAATTCTGGATCCTTGGTTATGCCATTGGATAAGTTTATTTATTCCTGAACGATTAACCATGGAGTGTGTCAGGAGTGATTCACTCCTTGGGCTGCTTCAAACACCTTACTGCTAAAAATTTGTCACAATTACTGGACATCACAGTGTCACGAAATAGAAGTTCCTTCATAATATAAGTTCCAAATGGAAAATGTATTCTGGAATATTATTTCCAGCGGAATAAATATAACAGTATATGTTCCTAACGGAATAAATGGTATAGAATATTTGTTCCAACAGGAACAGATATTATGGCAAAGTTTCTAGTGTAACATCTGTTAGGCGGAACAAATATATGTTGACAACAGAAGTTCCCATAAAATGTTGACGTCATTAGAGAAAATGTCTGCTGCCACAAGGAAAAGTGAATGTTGTATGACGTCAATAGTTAGAGTCTCAAATTTCTCATGTCAAAAATCTGCGCCGGTTGACCAGAGAATCTGCACCGCTTGAACTTTTGACGTCATACAACAATCACTTTTCCATTGTGGCGTCAGATATTTTCTATTGAGGTCAAAATTTATACGGTAACCTTTGTGATGTCCAGTAATGGTGGACAAATAGCCATAAGGTGTATTGTCAAATGGGAGAACAAGAAAATGGTTTACATCATATCCTATGACATGCTAATTTTTTGCTATGTTATGTAGGATTATTTATCTAATAAATATCTTGCCTTAAAGACAGCAGTTATTTTTATATGATGACAGCTGTTTCATCCAACATCAGTACTGTTGGGATCCCTCGTATTTACCATGCTTCAGTAAAGTATCCAACAGTTACTTATTTTTAAGATCTTAAATTTAATAGTTTTTCTCCAAAAAAAATTTCATGACACCTTTTTTATGTTTGTCAGTTCGGTTTGGAAAGTGATGAACTCAGACAATATATAAATGTGTCTTTTGTTTATAATCTCATACTAATGTGGACCATAACAGACTTGCATGTCCTTAAATTGAATGTTTAAGATGTGTATTAACTCATTGAACTTCAGCTGTTCCATTGCATAGGGGAAATAACTCAGTTCGAAATAACGCGCCCTTTTTGTAAATCACGTCATGACGTTACATTTACTTTTTTTAAATATGAGATTTATTATTATCGATTAACCTGCTGATTCAGTTAAAAAAGGAATTATTAAGTTAATGCTTTGCGTGGATTTATGTTTAACGTGCATTTAGAAAAGAAAAATTACCATTGATCATGTGACTTTCTAGATATTTTGCTTCCGCTAGAACCCGCCAGATTTCAAATGGTGTAAATTAAAGGCGGTATTTTATGGAATTCTGTAATAATGCCACTGTTAGGAAAGAAACCATTCGTTTGTTCGAAACCCCTATCAGATATTCAACCAGATGAGACCATATATATAATCCCACACACCAAAGAACAGTTCAAATCTAAGCAGTATCCTTGCTAAACAATCACCTGTCCAATTCAATATGGCGGCGTACATAAATCGCGAAGTTTGCATAAAGATGTATTAATGTTCATATTCAAACACAATGAAAATAATATTAAAACGATCAATTTCACTACTTATTCTGGCAGTCAGAATACAGAAATGTTAGTTGTACTGGAAGTTGTCATGTTGTTTACAGGTTTTTGGCGCAAAACCATGAAAACATTTAAAAGCATTTTCACACTTTCAGTTTCACATTCTTTATCAAGTTTATGTATTGTTTTATTACACAAAAGATAATTGTAAATAGGGGTTTATATAGATGGGATCTTTTTCATAAAGTATTTGATATAGTACTAGTAGATTTAGGTACAGTACATGCAGGGTCAGGGGATTCATTTGTTTCGAAGAGTCGAGGGCCAATACAGCTGATCAAGAATCTATAACAGGGCCAATTCAGAAACAGCCAGTTCATAAAACGTGTATTTAATCAGTGCAGGGATTTTGCCAGCGCTCCTCATTTACAAATGACAAAAGTTTTTCTGATCTCACTAAAATTTGGAAAAGTAAAAAAAAATATTTGTACTTTTTTACAATTTTACCTGGCGACATATGTATGACAAGTTTACGACCTAAAACTAATCAAGGGTCACAACAGGTGTCATAATTTGTTGTTATAAATAATCTGCCTATCAGATAGAAAAATATGATCCTCAAAATTATTGAATTTGTAAATAGAATTGGTCAGTCGGTATTTTCGATTTTATCGTGCAATCACTAATTGCAATGTTTACTGTAGTTTCATGATACAAATGTAATAAACTGAAAGACGAAAACTGTAATGTCGGAACTCATTAGGAAACATTATCTTGTAATCCATTCTAATTTTTAATATCAGATGTGTTTCTATCCATTTCTGATTTTAGAATAGATGCCATTCAGATTTATTTATTTCTACTGTGTATAAGCCTCTGACGGTAGGAGCACCTCTGTTCCAGGAAAGATAACTTAAATTTACCCTTTTCTCAATACTGATAGACCAACTCAAGATCTGTCTCCATCCTACTACAATTAAGGCTTAAACCAAATGTAGGTCTTTACAGTCATTGTGCAAGGATAAGGAGGTCTTTGAAGGGGGTCTGCATTTGGTATTCTTTATTTTTTATGGCATTTTTCTTCATCTTAATTCATTTTGACAATGATTTTCAATTTTGTATATATTAGCACCCTGTAACCTCCCTTTTCTTTATTTTTTTTTGTCCCCTTTTAGCTCACCTGGCCCTAAGGGCCAAGTGAGCTTTTCTCATCACTTGGGGTCCGTCGTCGTCATCGTTAACTTTTACATTTTGAACTTCTTCTAGAGAACCACTAAATGGAATGAAATCAAACATGGCATGAATGTTCCTTATGAGGTGCTGACCAAGTGTTGTTACTTTGAAGCCGACCCATCATCCAAGATGGCTGCCAGCGGGGGACTTAGTTTAACATAGGACCCTAAGGGAAATACATACAAATGTCTTCTTTTGAGAACCACTGAATGGATTGAAACCAAACATCGCAGGAATGTTTCTTATGAGGTGCTGACCAAGTGTTGTTACTTTGAAGCCGATCCATCATCCAAGATGGCTGCCAGCCGGGGACTTACTTTAACATAGGACCCAATGGGAAATGCATACAAATGTCTTCTTTTAGAGAACCACTGAATGGAATGAAACCAAACATGGCATGAATGTTCCTTATGAGTTGCTGACCAAGTGTTGTTACTTTGAAGCCCATCCATAATCCAAGATGGCCGCTGGTGGGGGACTTAGTTTAACATAGGACCCTATGGGAAATATTTACAAATGTCTTCTTTTAGAGAACCGCTGAATGGAATGAAACCAAACATGGCATGAATGTTCCTTTTGAGGTGCTGACGAAGTGTTGTTACTTTGAAGCCTATCCATCATCCAAGATGGCCGCCAGCGGGGGACTTAGTTTAACATAGGACCCTATGGGAAATACATACAAATGTCTTCTTTTAGAGAACCACTGAATGGAATGAAACCAAACCTGGCAAGAATGTTCCTTTTGAGGTGCTGACCAAGTGTTGTTACTTTGAAGCCCATCCATAATCCAAGATGGCCGTCAGGAGGGGACTTAGTTTAACATAGGACCCTATGGGAAATACATACAAATGTCTTCTTTTAGAGAACCACTGAATGGAATGAAACCAAACATGGCATGAATGTTCCTTATGAAGTGCTGACCAAGTGTTGTTACTTTGAAGCCGATCCATCATCCCAAGATGGCCACCAGCTGGGGACAATACATACAAATGTCTTCTTTTAGAGAACCACTGAATGGATTGAAACCAAACATGGCATGAATGTTCCTTATGAGGTGCTGACTATGTGTTGTTACTTTGAACCTGATCCTTCATCCATGATGGCTGCCAGCGGGGGACTTCCTTTAACATAAGACCCTATGGGAAATACATACAAATGCTTCTTCTAGAGGTGCACTGAATGGAATGAAACCAAACATGGCATAAATGTTCCTTATGAGGTGCTGATGAAGTGTTGCTACTTTGTTGCTGATTTACTGTTCAAGATGGCCACCAGGATTTTTTTATTAAAATACAAGGCCAATATTAAACCAAATTTAGCCTCACTCATTATTAGGGTATCTATTATGATTTTAATCTATTTTTATATGATTTCCAAAAACCAAAGTAGCATCAGGTGAGCGACACAGGCTCTTGAGAGCCTCTAGTTTGTATTCTTTGTTATTTAGATATAGGAAGATAACCCATTATCATTATTCTGTAAACCACACCCAGACCTTCAGCTGACATGGCTAAGGACAAGAAACTTAATTCTTACTATTTAGATCTCTCAGGTGTATTCTGTAGGGACTTGTCTCAGATCAAATATGCTAGCAGTTCTATTTTCAGGCAAATAGTAGATATTTTATGTTAACAATACAGGGCCTAATCTAGGATTTTGAAGAGGGAGAAGTGACTTCTCCTTCCATGAGAGAGAAGGGAGAAGTGGTCAATTTCTTGGAGAAGTGAGATTCCATTACCGTTTCGGTTGCATCGTGTTTTCATGATTATCACTAAGGAAATTGTTTTAATTCAATAAAAGATATACTTGCAGTTTTTTGATATGTTATTGTATATAAAAAAAGTTCTTAATAAAAGGTTAAGACAATATATAGTTGTGATTTATTTATTGATACTATTGTGTTCTAAATAAAATTTGTTGATTGGGACATGAGGGAATAGCCTAGTAATATTATCATGATTATGATGCATTAAATTCATGTGCATCTGCCTCAATTTATTTTTAAAACTCCAGAAAAATATGACTCCCAGTTTACCTGATGAATTTCACATGACTGGGAATTTAATTTATATCACCACTTGTCATTATTTTGTAAAACATTATTGAATGTCAAGGACATTGTTAGTTGTAAATTGAGATTATCGTTAAAGATTGTAAGTCTATAAATGAAAATATCTTTCAATCACATATTAATTATCCGATAAAGAGCTAATTTCTATCATTTTTTTAAAATATCATCCATATCAACGAAGTGGTCATGAGAAAAAATCCACTGCTGATCACAATCTGGTCGAGTGTCGTACGTTTGCAATCACATTATTAGCTGATTATCCATCAGCTGTCTTTCTACCTTTTATATTTCAATTTTTATTCAATGAATATAATAAATCTACCGTTAATTTCCACCTTAACCCTACCGAATAGTAAAATTGATCGACTAGTGTAAGTAATAAAAATAAAACAAATCAGCTGAGTGATTACGCAACATCCTCAGGTGAAAATCATCGTAAAATGATAACTTAAACAGACGGTCAGTTTTCCGTTTGAACAGTTTTGAAAGTTATATCCGAGGATGTTCAAAGTCGCCGTTGTACTTGCTTAATTTGATCGTAAACAGTATTAGTCCTGCGTCGTTTCGAAAATCTCGATTTTCCTTGTCAGCCGCCATTTTTTTTACCTGTGAGACTTGTCAATCGCAGGTTGTCTCCCTTTTACCGATTTTGATAGCGATTTGACTTCGCTATGAAGTCAGTCGGCCGGCGAGATTTAGCGATTTTCAAAATTCTTTGGCGACTTAAATCGTCATTTCGCCGGCAAGATTATGGCCTGACAATAGTAGCTATTTAAGATGTTAAAAAAGCTATTTTTTAAATGTGATGTGCATTTTTGTTAACATAACTGTTTGTTATGTTTAAATCTTTATAAGTTGATTTATACATGTTATTTGTATTCTCCTGAAATGCTGAAAAAGAAAAAGAAAATTCACATTGAGCATTTTTTTTTGCATGTATTAAATGAAGCCCATGTAAAATCTGCCCTAGATTTATGCTGTTACCCAAATAAGGTCAGTTTCGCGAAAGTGACTAAAGCCCCCAGAAGCCTATTCCTAGCTTAAACCCTGTATATAATGATTAATTCTTTGGTCAAACCAAGAAACTTATCTTGAAGAAGATACAGGAATTCATATTTGAAATTGTCTTTTCCCAGTCACGATGCATTTTTGTCAACATTGATGAAATTTCTCTTCCAGTGTACTTAATCTATGCCATTTCAATTCATTTTATCTAGGCAAATAAAAGGTATCTTGGAAGAATAAATCAATATTTTAACCATTCTTACTCTTTAATTGTCTGCTATCTGATGATTGATCTTTGGAAATGAAAAGGTGATAAAATCTTTTGAATATATAAGAAATGCAGTTTGTTTGTACATGAGCATTTGTAACTTCCAATCATGAACATTGTGTTATAGATTTCACCACTGCAACAAGTGGGTTACGATATTTCTCCACTCCAGACAGTTAAATTTTAATATTCTTGCCGAGCTTTTTAAATATTAAAACTTAACTGTTGAGAGTGGAGAAATATCGTAATACACAAGTTATAGTGGTGGAATCTGTTTCTCTAATGATTTTTATCATTCCTTTTTCAAAGATTTGCAGAAAGTTGTGTTCTTTATATGTGACGTCATCAGACATGGTCGCCTTTTTTCATGACGTCACAATAGGAAATTCAGAAGAAACCAAGAAAATTTAACGTCATAATTAAATTTCGACCAATCATTTGCCGAGAACAGATATTTCACTAGTGAGGAGAAATATTTTCATATACAGCGATCAAGAATTGTGAAAATAGCACAAAAATTAGAGATATTGTCTTTTATAACAGTCAAAAGTAACTTAATTAAGTTTTGTCATCTATGTCTGATGTCTTTTGATACCATCCTTGAAAATACCCTGAGTTTATTAGTCGTGTTGTTGTTTATTAGGCTGTCAAATGTTTGTTCAATTTCAAATTTGTCATATCACATTGTTTAAACAAGAAAATACACTCCTTAACAGATTTCAGAGAATATGAGAAGCGATTATCATGGTATAAACAACCAATTTGGACTTGCAGATGTACAGGCCACGTTAATCTCACTCACCAAGCAGCATGGGAATCAGAAAAAGCTATCAAGAAATCGTTGAAAGATAATTTCCCCAAAGTTCATGAAAAGTCTGTACTAGAACTAGTGCACCACAGTAAGTTAAAGTTATAATTTGTTTTTTTATCAATCAGCTTATGTGTATTTTGTCTTTTCAACCTACCAATTCAAGGAATCGGCAAAGTATAGGGCAAACTTCAACAAAGTCTGTCTGAACAAGGAGTTATTTGAATGTGGAATACTTTTTGAGTTCTGAAAAACTGATGAGAGATTTATGATGAAAACACCCAACTAAATAGGTTTACTTTTATAAATTTTGACTTGGATGGAGAGTTGTCTCTTTGGCACTCATATAAAGATAGTGAAGAGTCAGAGCCAAGGAGTCATGAAAAAAAAATCATTGAAAAGACAGACAAAACTCAGAAAAATGTTATAAAAAAAAATATCGAACTTGAAGAGTTGGTAAACTGGACCTGCCACTGCTCATACATAAATGCTCTCTAAGGTTTGGACTCACAATTTCCAGTTTGCACCAAAATCTTCTCCAACTATCAGTCCAAAGACCAAAATTCCAACATTTTTCTTATGGATCTAAGCAAAGTTTTGCAAATACTTATTAGTTCAAATAAGATTTTACTAGTCTGGGGCATCAGACTAGTGGCTAATGGCATAGACTTACCAAAAGCGATGACTCCCAGGAATCACCATGAAAAAATCCTAAGTTCTTCTTGTTGCCGAATCCCTGAATTTCTTTTGTATAATTGTAATTGTAATTTGTGCACTTTGAAAATAAAAAATATTGTTTAAAATGAAAAATCCTGGTGAGAACCCTGGAAAAAAAGAATTCTTCATTAATTTCTTGAAGATTCAACAATACTGACCCTGCTATTTCTGTCACCCTATAGCATGTATAACTGCAGTTGAAAAAATGTATTGCAATTTCATTGATTTTCATCTTTACCAGGTACAGCAGTGCTGGACACTTTAGTTGACCAGGGATGGCTGAAAGTACAACAAGTTTTGTCTATAAATGAAAAGGTCTCCTTGAAAGTCAAGGCAGAGGGTAAAACGTAAGTGTCTTAAGAATGTAGTTAGGTGAAATTAAAAAAATCTAGAATTTGAAATTGATACTGTAAGTCAGAAAACCATTAGTTAAGGAACAAAATAAGCTAAAAATATTGATAGCTATAGGTTATGGAACTCCTTTTTGAGATATTTGACTATTACCTTATTTTTAGCACTGTCATTTTTTGGGTCTCAAATCGAAAGAAAAAAATCAAGAATCTGCTGAAATTTTTGTAATGACCTTTTTATGACCAAAAGAAAAGTGGGTGATATAGGGCAAAATATTTTACCTTATATCGTAGGGAAAAAAAACCAAGGAGTCTGAACATCTGACTAAACCTGACCTGAGTACATCCTTAAATATGAAATGTTTCAACATGTACAATGGGTTCAATACATGCCTCTGGAAGTTCACAAGACAAAAAACTTTGAATGTCAAAATGATTGGGAATAGAAGCTTCAAATCATAAAAGCATAAAGAGAATAGTTTTTTTTTAGTTCAGTCAAACTAGCTGTAAAGGTTACCTCTTTTTAACAAACAAAAATCTTTTTTGTCAGGCTACCCTCTTGTCCTGCTGTAGTAATAACTTCATTTTGAACCAATTCAACAGTCATCTCTCTTATAAGGTCAGTTGTCTCTGCTCCCAAAGGTGACCTATGTATACATGTTTGACATTTGTTGACTTTTTACAACAGAAAATATATTATTTAAAATTTAAAAAAAAAAATAGATTTATTTTCAAAACTTATTCTTCTGCTTATTGATAGAAGCCTAATTAAAGCAAAAGGAAAAAAAATGTCTTGAAATATCATGAAAGTCTTGCAACTCCAACTCAGAAATTGGGAAAGTTTGCAGTGAAATTTTCATCACCATTTCTAAGTTTTTCTTTGAAAAAAGGCATAATATATAGTCTAAAAACTTTTGTCTATCACATGGAATAATATATTATTGGTAGCTCAAAGATTATTAACTTTGAGCATGATCTAGATTTTAGAAAATTACCTTGGTGCAAAGAAGATGAGAGCTTAATGTTGAGATAGAGTTTACTTGGTGCTGATATGTACATATATTCACTATAAACACGACTAATACATGTATATATATCTATTCTACAGAATCAGTGGTAAAGTTGTGAAAATTGACAAGGCTGGAGTTGAGGTAAGATAGCATTATGAGAGCATGTAGACTTACAATATGAATAAAAGGAGATGTGAGTAATTCATCAATAAGAAAGCAACCCATCAATTAAGATAACTAAAAGAAATCTAGAGGGCAACATAGAGTCTTCGAAAAATATACATAAATTTAATAGAAACTAAGATATGTCATACAACGATCTTTATGGGAAAATTGAACTGTCACATATTATGAAAGTTTTAGATTATCACAAGTTGATAAATATCATGATCAAGAGACTATTGTAGTAGAATCTATTGAACAAGTCATGAGTGCATACATAATGATTCCCCGTATATGTAATAGTTCATTAAAAGGTAAATTTACTACAGTACACTTAAGGGCTATTTCATTAAAATGTATGTGGGAGGGTAGGAAGGGAAGTTTAATTATTGAATGTGGGTCATGGGTATTTTTTCAGTATGCGTCTATTACCATTATGCAAAATTATCTTAAAAAATGGTTCTTGGTTGTAGGGATATTTTGAAAGTCCCTTCCTACCCTCCCACATACATTTTAATGGAATAGCCCTAATTGTAAATCTTGTGATACGGTCATTGTTAATAACTAAATTGCATTAGATAATGGAAAAATCTGCTACAAATATCTTTCTATGAATTTTCATTCATTATCTTGTTTTTGAAATTTTATCTTTTTTGGTGTGTTTAATAATTATTTACTCTTATCCTTAGGCAAATCCAACCAGTAATTGCAGCTCACCATCTAGTGACAAAGAGAATTCTACAACAGAAGTTAACAGAGACAGTTCACCTAAAAAATGGGTACCTCCTAAAGTAAGATCATTTATTTGAATGAATGTACTTGTAGTAAATCACAGAGTATACTTTGTAAAAAATCACAATGAGTATACTTTGTTTAAAATCACAATGAGTATACTTTTTATCAAAATACAATGAGTATACTTTTTATCTAAATACAATGAGTGTGCACTTTTGAATATTTAATAAAATTTTGGATTATTGAAAAGAATTATTTTTAAGATGAATGGGTACTTTTATGGCACCCTGTGAGAATTTTAGAAAAAAATAGGAAATCTAAATATAAATTTAAAGAGTAATGGTCATTAGTTTGCAATTAATTAAAGTTTAATATTTCTATATTTTCAGTTATTACATTACAAATACAGTGTAGAGCTGGAAGATGGAAAAGTTATCAATTCTGTCCCAGCAGATGATCTTGTGTAAGTTTTGTTATAAGCAGTGATCTAGCTATAGATAAAGGGCAGAGGGGCACAGTTTTTAAGATGAAGTGTATGGTAGCACAATTGCCTTAAAAGGGGCGACTTGATCATGTTAATGTATAAAGAAATTGAAATGATTAAATAAGTTAATGTATTTTTACTGGATTTATAGGTCCTTAGGGTTAGTAAAAATCCTTTTCCCATGGATAAAATGATTGTTTGCATTGAAAAGTATTTACATTCCTTTAGAAACCAAAGATACATATGGCTGAGCTATAAGGACAGAGGAGTGCAAACCTAAATAGGAGAGATAGAGCCATATAAGGGATGGACATTGGCCATTCTGTATGCATTATAACTTTGAAAATACTGATTTGCTTATTGGGAGAAACTCAGAATGCCTGTGAAGCACTTAAAAAGTTTGGCTTGTTTAATTTTCATAAAATTTTGACAAAATATTTACTTTGACCCTTTGGCAAAAATATAAGAATTTCAAAAAAACTTGAACCACACAATTTATCGGAAAAATTTCATTGGATATATAGCAGTTTGACAAACACTAATTTTTATCATTGAGAAGCTTAATATTTCCTTAACAATATAACGTGATTAAAACGTTCAGCTGATTTTTAAAGAGTTATCTCCCTGTACAGTGATTTTGCTAGCGCTCGTCACTTTCGTAATTTACGAAACTGTTTTCAAAATGACGAAAGTATTTCAAATCAATTTCGTCACTTAAATTTGGAAAGTGTAAAAATATTTTCGCATGAAAATACTATAATTCTACCTGTCTACATGTTTCTGACAAGTTTATGACCCTCAGCTAATTAACATTTACAGGTGTTATAAAGTTGTGATTACAACATATCCGCTTATCGTCATCGGATGGGTCACTAATCTGGTTAATTATTTTCCCCAGTAAAATTAGTCTGTCTGCATTTTAATTTCAATATTTCTCAAGGCCAACGACCACAATTTGCAGTTCGTTTGTCATAGTTTCGTCATTTGAACAAAATTGTTTCCCCCCGGACAGTTCGCTTTTTAATTTCAATATTTCTTAAACAATCATAATTTGCAATTAGTTTGTTGTAGTTTCATCAAATGATCGTATTTTCGTCATCTTTGATATAAAACGTTCAATTTCGATTAAAAAGATAGAACTTTATTCAAAACGTTTAAAAATGTTTTCATGTTAAAAACTTCCATCATCATCAACGAGTCAAACAGGTGCTTCCTTTACGATATACGGCGCATGCGTGAAAGTATTCCTATGAATTTAAAGACACTAAAATGTAAAATACGAAATAAATTTAGTGCCAAAATAAATGAGAGAGACAAATATAGTTCTTACTAAGCAAATTGAAATATAAAAATTATAATTTCCTGCCTTTTTTTAAACACGAACCAATCCGTAGATGAATCCGGATTCATTCTGAATTTATTATCTACTTGTCACTTCCCGTTTACATTTCAATTGAAATCGAAAGTAAAAGTGATCAATTCTAGATTAATTTACAATTTACAGTTATTGGAATCGTTCCATGTGAATTTGTACAAATCCTTGGTTCCAACTTTATAGAAATTAATTCAAAATATTGATTTAAACGTTTTATAAGGATAATGATTATGCAGTGTAATAGTCTTACAAAGTTCAACAAGTTCATTTATACTGTGATTCTTGGTTTTAAAAAAAGGAACCCAACTTTTGTTGAGGGCTATTCCAGAAAAAAATGTATGGGAGGGTTGGACGGCAGTTTGTCTTTTTTTGCATGGGTTGTGATGGTTGGAGCAAATGTAATTCTGTGGGTAGTTGTTCTTCTTCACAACTTAATTAGATGGGTGGTTGTACATTAACTTATTAAGATTTGGAAGCTTTTGTATATAAATAAAATAAAATATAGCTTTATAAAAGGTGATGAAACAGTAATGAATCTCTGAAATATTTTTATGTTTTTTTATTTTTTATGTGGAGTTATTTCCCCTTAAAATGGATTTTCTTTAAAATCCGTTTTACTGATTATTGAAATACACAAAAAATTTATTTTACTTTTCAACTGCAAGAGAATGATGTTTTAATGAAAAAGATTCCAGCTTTGAATTTTTTGTTTTAAAAAACTTCATTTTATTGAAAAAAAATATTTCTTAATAGACCATTATTTTAGATTTGAATATTGTAATTATAAAAAATATACCAACTTGCTAATAGTTTTACACATACTATTCCCGCAATGCCTTAGTAAATTATTTCATGGAATTTTTGTTAATTTGGTGGGGGGGAATTTTAACACAAACGTGGTGATTTCTGGATGTTTGGCTTAGAAACTCCTAACCCTTTTTACAGTTGAAAAAGCCATACCACAGTTGGAATCTACCCTTTATATTTTGATATAGATTATATAAAAGTACAAAAGGAGATCTGAAGATTGAAATTTTCAGCCTTAGTATCCTAATTCTACAATGGTTGTGTTGAAAGTCATTAAGACATACATACTTAAAAAATATACTAGTTTTTAAGTAGACCATATCAATTTCTTACACTGCTGTATTGACTTTCTTTTTTTTTTTTTTTTTGAATTAGATGGCTGGTGGTATCAAACCTCTATTTAATCGTTTGGGTTATGGGTCGCCAAAAAAATCAAATTGTATGGGTCATGGGCATTAAAAAAAAGTGCCTTCCAACCCCCCCATACATTTTTTTCTGGAATAGCCCTGATCAGGAATGTCCCCTGAAACTAATTGAAGTAAAATTTTGAACTAGATTTTCAGATCTTATATCCTAATCTTCATATTTAAGTGACACATCAGTCAAATCATGCAATTACTGCCTAGTAAATTGATGCCTTAGTCCTTCAAAGTCTGACAAAGATGTATAGCTAGTAATATACATAAATCCTTGGTCCCTTGCTGTTACCCAAAATTATGTTGATTTTCATCTCGCGCAAAAGTGACTAAAGCCCTCAAAATCCTAGCTTAAACCCTGCCCTGTAGTTATATGTACCACCTTAATGCGTAGATGAAGCCTTAAGTAAAATAGATTACTTTCAAGTCAAGATCACTCACTATTTTATGATTTAAATTTCAGACGAGATGAAAAACCTCCATTAAAAGAGTGTGTACGTCATTTTATTCGATGTTATGCTGTTAGGTCTGGACAGAATCCTACATGTCCTTGGGTAGTGGATAGCAATAAAGTTAAAGATTACAGTATTGCCAGTAAATTTGCAGATTTCCTTGTTTCTCCTTTGAAGGTAAGTACAATTTTAAGAATTTTGGTGTAAAAATATAATTAGACTGCTACCATCCAAAGGTTAGACTCAACCTAAGATAACGTTCTGTCAGATTAAACTTTGAATCTAATACTGATTAGGGATGTCACAATATCTTTCCCTATCCAACTTGCTCTGTTCTTTTAATGCCAGCATACATTCCCCTCCTTTATGTCAGGGCTGAAGAGACACTTCTTTAAAAGTTGATTGGTAGTGGTAAGAAATACAGCCTTGACATTTATAGGGAATAGTCAGGGCTATTCCCTTAAAATGTATGTGGGAGGGTAGGAAGGGACTTTCAAAATATCCCTTCAACCAAGAACCATTTTTTAGATAATTTTGCATAATGGTAATAGACGCATACTGAAAAAAGACCCATGACCCACATTCAATAATTAAACTTCCCTTCCTACCCTTCCACATACATTTTAATGGAATAGCCCTCAACATTTTATGCATGGTGGGACGAAATACAATATGCCTTCTGCCCCCCTTCTCCTACACTTATTTATGGTACAGCCCTCATGCTTGTTTACTTAAAACAAAAGCATCATTTTTGGGGAAATGATTCCATTCATGCAGTCAAAACTCTCATGTTACTGGCTTGATAGTTATCAATTTCCCAGACTTTATCATAACTTTTGATCAGAAAAAAACATAGTGCATTGAACACAACATTCTGTATATAACGTCCATGAACATTTCAAGAAATGTATCTATGAAATGAATACTCAGATATTCAAGTTACAAAATGATGTGTATTTGTATAACCATACATGTCAAGTACATAGATTGTGCATGGTGTTTAAAATAGTATCTGTTGTTAAAATAAACAATGAAATGTTTAAGTAATAAAACTGGAGTTATCTTCCTTTGTCCATTAATGACGAGGGATGAGTATTGAATTGCCTTCCAATGCTTAATATAATGCAATGTTTAATTTTAAGTCCCCAATGCAAAATCAATGCAATTTTTACCCTTCATTGCTAATAAGCACTTTGATTTTACAAGGTCATTTGTTTTTGAATGCTGATTTCTTTTTCAATGGAACAGCATTTATTTTTAAGGAAATATTTTTAAATGGTGATATATTTCAAAAGAAAAAATATATATATGTAGAAGCCATACAATTTTACAACTTAAATATTTCATGTTTAACAGATGGCAGAGGTAGCGAAGAGAGCCGAAGAGGAAATGTCAAGGAAACGGAAATCATCTTCACATGGTGGATCAGCCTCCAAAAAAGCAAAAATAGACAAAATATCGAAAAAAAATAGTGCTAAAAAAGACAATAAGAAACAATTGAAATTGACTGGATCACCCCTTAAGAAAAAACCTTCCAGTAAAAAGATTTCAGGTGCCGTTGTAGTGTCTGAATCCTCCAGTGAGGATGATACACCTTTATCTCAAAGAAGTTTATCACCCAAGAAGAAAAAGTCTCCGTCCAAAAAGGTCAAATCAGACAGAATTGTTGTTGATAGTGATTCAGACGATGAACCTTCATCCTCAAAGGAAAAGTCACCCAAGAAAAAGGCTCAGAAAAAAATTCCAAATGGAGATATTTCATCAGACAGTGATGAGGAATCTGTTCCACTCGCCAAAATTAAATCCAAGGTATGGTAGAAAATCTTCAGTCTTGATTAGGTCACCTTGGCCTATGGGTCATGTGATCATTTGCCATCACATGACATATGTTGTTGTTGTTGACATCGTTAACTTTTCACAAATCTTCTCTGAAACCACTGGACTAATTTCAAACAAACTTGGACTAAAAGATCTTTAGGTATATCTAGTTTAAAAAAAAATTGTTCCTGCCCATCAATCAACATGGCTGCCACTGCTGAGAAAAGAACATAAGAGTGAAATGCATTAATCCTTTTAATATCTAGAAAACCATAATGGATGAAGAAAATCTGACACAGATAAAAATGCTCAGATCTAATTATTTATCAAGATCTACCTTTATTCTCATTTCCACCAAAAATATCATCTGACACATTTACCTTTTTTTTAATGCAGGATTTTTTGTATTACCTTTAATTGAAGCATTAAGTTACAGACCATGACTGAAGTCTGGAGTATGTAAACTTTGTAAGAAAAGTGATTTATTTGTAGTTGATATAAGCCTTAATCTTAACAAATACATAATATGTAATACAAATGAAGGCTGTATGAAGTATAACAGAACAATCACACTAAAATGAAGCAACCTAAACCTAAAAACAGACACCAAGGTTTTAATGAAAATACTGATTTATATGTTCTAATCCGTATCTTAACATAATAAGTCATTATTTCTTTATACAGAGTATGAAACAGATGACTTTGTTTGACATGTCCAAGAAGAAAGGGATGAAAACACCGGAAAAGAAAAAATCAACACCAATCAAGAAAAAGTTTAAATCTCCACAAAAAGGAATGAGAACTCCAGATAAGAAACCCAAAGTTATGTCACCACCCAAAACCCCAGCGGTTGTTTCTAAGTTGGTGCTTGCCGTCAAAGCAAAAGATAAAGGAAAAATAAAAGGTTTACTAGAAACAGCATGTAAAGTCTTAACGCTCAAACAGAGAGGAAAGTTGCCTGTGTCTGTTAAAGATATGGTTGAAAGTAGTATAGCAAGGAGGGAAGAAAAACGCAAACTGTAAGTTCTAAAAATAAAAAGGGGTGTGTATTGTGGGTTTCTTTATGCTCATTTATCGATAATTTAAGAGAAATTTTGTAAATGACTGCTAAGTTGGTTAATAAGCCTTACATTTGTGCAATAACTAAAGTCAGATCTAATATAAAGGTCAACCTTAGGGCTATTCCATTAAAATGTATGTGGAAGGGTAGGAAGGGAAATTTATTAATGAACGTGGGTCATGGGTCTTTTTTCAGTATGCATCTATTACCATTATGCAAAATTATCTAAAAAATGGTTCTTGGTTGAAGGGATATTTTGAAAGTCCCTTCCTACCCTATAAAATACATTTTAATGGAATAGCCCTTAATAAGCAAAATCCGTCGTCTCATGTCACCTTTTCTTGTTCTGCTGTAATAACACTTATGCTGTTTGAAGGTCATCTCTTTTCTCTGCTCCTATGAAAGGATGACTTTAATAAGTTTGACTGTACATGTTCCCATATAGGCAAACTGAATTCACTGCAATAGCACACTGACATTGAAATCGAATTGGTATAAATGAATTTGATTTTTTGATCACTAGAAAAGTCTTCCTTTGTGTCCTTTGAATCAAAGATTTATGTTTGACAGTTATTCAACTGATTTCAGTTTTTGTCCCAAAAACATACACTTGTTTGCTGACTCCTAGGGTAGCTTGTATCCTTGTCATTTGAACTGTAGTGGATAGTTGTCTCAACGACAATCATAACATATCTCCTTATTTTTATAAATAGGTAAAAATAATTAATATTTATGCCCCCACCATAGCGGAGGGGGCATTAAGTTTTACTTGTCCCGAAATTGGTTTCCGTTCTCTAACTTTAGTTTGCATTAACCAAATGTTATGAAACTTATACACAATGCTTATTACCACAAAACGCAGATCATATTTTAAATTTGGGAGCGTCACTTTTACCGTTCTAGAGTTATGCCCCTTTACAAATGAAAGCATTGCTGAATTTTTCGTTTCCGTTCACTAACGTAAGTATGCCTCAACCAAATTTTATGAAACTTATGCACAATGCTTATTACCACAAAACTCAGATCAAGTACGAATTTAGGTAGCGTCACTTTTACCGTTCTTGAGTTATGTCCCTTTATTATGTTATATGCAAGCAGGGTGCATAATCTGTGTCCCATGGTCACATTTCCCATTTATTAGTCCCCTACCGACGAAGTTGAAAGGGACTTGAGGTTTGCACTCTGTCCGTCTGTCTGTCTGTCCATCTGTCAGTCCGGCAAATCAGTTTTCCACACTTTTTTCTTCGTGCTTGAAGATATTGATTTGTAATTTGGTATATAGAGTAATCATGACAAGTTACAGATCAAGTTCGAATTATGTTCCGGTCTGATGATTTTGTGCAGAGTTATGGTCCGTTGACTTAGAAAATTCACTCAAAGAATCAGTTTTCCGCACTTTTTTTTGTCATGAATGAAAATATTTTCCGGACTTTAAACATTGCTTTACCAACAATGTCCGTAAAATGTGTAAGGGTGTGTTAGAGAGCAGGAAACACAACTATATTTTTTGGCCTTATTTTCCTTCTAGTAAAAAAATCAAAAGTTGAAGTACTTAATAAAGGCTGGTAGAAAAGTACATAATCACAAATTTGAAATGGTTTGATGTGTTTTCTGATCAATTTGATTAGTAAACCAAGCACTTTAAAATTGAACTTTAAAAATGTATTAATAGGGATGCTATGACACCAGAGCAAAGAGAAGAATACCAGAAGCAAAAGAGACTAGCTCAAAAAAGAAAAAGACAAGAAGAATTGAAAGAAAAGAAAAAGGTTTGTTCAGAGTAAAATCATGAAAGTATAAGAACACACTGAATGTAGCATTAGCAATCTTAAGTTATGTGAAATTATTGAAGCAAAAATAATTTACATTGGGAAATCCTTATAATGCTGAACAATGCTGAAGTAAGAACAAAAATCTCCCCAAATTAATAGAAATTTAGTCTGATAGAAATGTTTTATCCAAAGCTTTATATATGGCACATGACAAAAGATTTATATGATTATGCCTGATGCAAAAAAAAATTATGCTGGAAAATATTTTGTTAGTCCAAAAATACAAATCTTTAACCTTGAAGCATGAATATTAAACGATAATTTGGTCTTGAAGGATTAGTTTTTGTACTTCATGGAAAAAATATTAGCAGATATCTGCATAAATTTGTTTATGCACATAAAATTTGTATGAATGGACACCTCTTTAAATGATACATACAAAAGTAACATTTTCAACATGACTTTTATAGGTAATTTTTAAGAGTTACTTAAGTAATAACCCTGACTGGTTAAGGAGTTAAAAGATTGTAGAGGGATGTTGAAAAAGGTTGATTGTTTTTTTAGCAGTTTACCTTTTTATCAATGTTCAGGGGCTATGATGTGGCAAGAAAAAAAATGTTGAATTTATATGTAGTCATAAGTCTTTGTGTTAATATATTGATATAGAAATTTGAAGATACAGAATTAGACCTAGAACCATTACCAGAGATGAAACTTGTGACGACACCTGATGGTTTACCCAATGAACTGTTTGGTGATGTTGCTATGGTTACAGAATTTATAAGCTGTTACCAAGGATTGTTGATACCAAACAAAGAATTTCCTGTTTCTGCAGGTAATTATAGGTTTCATAATGAGTGAGAATTGGATATCGCTTGATATCAACTCGAGTTATTTAATTTCAATATAATAATAAACGAGCCTTTGGCAAGTTTATTATTACTATTTAAATTAAATAACGAGAGTTGATATCAAGCGATATCCAATTCTCACAAGTTGTTAAACCTATTTCTATTATCATGCTTATGGTCAACACTCATTGTGTTTATAAAAAAAAAAATCTGTGAATCGTTGATCTAGTCTTTTGCACATACCAGTATGACGTCATATGTCCTGTTTTGATGTCAAACTTAAAACATCAGACATTTTAAAACTTTTTGTACGCTTCATATGTATTAAAAGTTGACCAAACGAATATTTTCAGGTAAAAAGTGTGAGTATTTTGTATATTATTGAAGAATCCACATATATGTCCGTTGCCATGGACGAAATAGACATCGTCTTAACCTTTGATGACCTAATGAATAGCCAATGAAAACGTTGTAATATCGTCTCATGATGCTGGATAAGCCAATCAAATTAACTCAGATTTTCGTATCACACTCCATGCAGTTTGATATGAAATATCTATTCATGCAAGAAATAGATAACAAGCCACAACCATAAGAGAAATATGTATCTTCTGTCCAAGAATGTTATCCATTAATATTGTGTGTTTCACATCATGTCGACAAAAGTAATCGGAAAGGAAAGTTCCATGTTTAGACTGTATAGTACATGTACATATGAAGTTTTTTTTTCATTCTGCATTTTAATTAAGTTCTAGATTGTGTTATATCAGATTATTTTTTTATTAAATGAAAGTATAAATTAATTTTGGCATAGGTTCAGATGAAAGACATCCTTAGTCCAGATCTACTTGATTCTTCAATGAACCTTTTGAAAAAATGTCTAAAAGACCTGATTAACTTCACAATTTCAATATTAAAATACAAGATTTAATTTAACCTTATAACTGTAATGAAGGTGGTAGTAGACCAATAAAAACAAAATATAAAACAACAATATTAGGTTATTGGTTTTATTTTAAAAAAATAAAAGAAAGAAGAAAAATAATTTTGAGTTCTAATCTTTTTCAGAAAAATTAATGCAGTCAATTGGGAGTGGCAAAGAAGGATTTTCTTACTTGTCTAAGATTCTGTCAATACTATTACAGACACTGTTACAAGACCAGATATCTGAGGTAATTCCTGAAACAAATGGGCTATACCATTAAAAAGAATAGGGGAGGGCAGGAAGGACAGTTTTATATTTAGACATGGGTTGTGTGTCATTTATAGTTGTATATCCATTTGAGGTATGCAAAATTTCTCAGAATATTTTGGTATTGGGGAGCTTTTTGAAGTCCCTTCCTACCCTTGCATACCCATTTGAATGGAAAAGCCCTAATTATTCTTTACAAAAAAAATAAAGGTTAATATCTTCTTTATACTTTCAAAGTCAACAGGTTATAAAACGGTATCAGGAGGGGGAATGAGTGGCTGGCTCTAATTTACTATCCAAACCTTGTCATGAAGATAAAATTTCTTCAAACTTGAACACCATGTGTAAATGTCACAATGTGTTGTTGGTCAGTGATTTATTTACACACCACACTAGTGGGTAATATTCCAGAGTGATTACTGGTGATATGTGTGTCGATCTACATGTATTATAATTTTAGGGCTGTTCCATTAAAACATACATGGTACCCAGGGAAGGCACTTTGAAAACAGATTGACCACCCAAAGAAACGATTTTAAGAGTCCAGCACACATTTTAAACTTGCACATCACAATATTTCACAACCACTCATATGGGCAAATTCAAGTTGCTTTCCCTGGGTCCCATGTATATTTTTATGGAACAGCCCATAAAATACATGTACTGTTATTTTAGATTTAATGTTTTTCATATTGTAAAAATTGTATGTCACAGGATATAAAGTTTTGCAAAAAATAAAAACTTGCATTTTATATTTGATAGCATTATTTGTGTGCACCTTTTTCTTAATATACAGTATGTAATCATCATTAAATAGCTGTAAAATTGCCCACAAAAATCATCTTACATTTGATCGTAAGTTCTGAAATGTCCATGACTTGCAAAGTACTTTTACCCATTAACAATTTTTGTGGAAAGAGACACTAGTTTGTAAAAACAATTTCAAAACCCCAAATAACACCCCCAGATTCTAAGTGAATCAATCAATGCTTACTTTTATTACCAGAACAACTATTGATGACTATGCATAACTCATTTCAAACGCTTCTTATAGAAAACATTTAATTATTTTTTTTATATTTCTTCAGGATTATCAGGAAATTAAAATTTCATTATCAGACATTCCTGTAAACTCCTATACAACGTCGGAACTTGTTCGTCTATGTCTGCGGAAACAGGATGTACAGGAGGATCATAACAGTGATAGCGATGATGAGGATAATAATGAAGACGAAGTGGTAGGTACATATAATTTACATTGTATATGTGTTCATTATGTGGTAGGGTAGAAATAAGGAGTAAGTATGAATATTAAGAGATCTGGGGTAAAAGTCAAAGAGACAGCATGGGCCGGTAAGAATAATATATGTTGGAAACTTGTATAAATGGGTTTGACTTAAAGTGCTTTAATATCTGAATTTGACAAATAATTTAAGGCATATTGCTATTCTACATTGGCTAGAGGTATAGGGGGAGGGTTGAGATCTAACAAAACATGTTTAACCCCTCCACATTTTTGAATCTGTCCCAAGTCAGTAGCCTCTGGCCTTTGTTAGTCTTGTATATTTATTATTTTTAGTTCATTTATATGTTTTGGAGTTTAGTGTGACGTCCATTTTCATTGAACTAGTACACATTTTTATACGACCGCAAAAAAATTTTGAGGTCGTATATTGGTATGACGTTGGCGTCGTCGTCGTCGTCGTCCGGCGTCGTCGTCCGAATACACAATGGTTTTCGCACTCTAACTTTAGTTTAAGTGAATGGATCTCTATGAAATTTTACCATAAGGTTCAATACCACAATAGGAAGGTGGGGATTGATTTTGGGGGTCATGGTACCAACAGTTAAGGAATTAGGGGCCAAAAAGGGGCCAAAAATAAGCATTTTTGTAACTTCCAGACATAACTTGTGTGTTAGCATATGGATCTCTTTGACATTGTACCACAAGATTCCATATCACAAAGGGTCAATGCTGGGATTGATTTTGGGGTTAATTGCCTCAAAATTTTAGGAATAAGGGGCCAAAAGGGGGCAAAAAACAAGCATTTTTCTAGTTTCATGACAATAACTTGTGTGTAAGTGTATGGATCTTTCTGAAATTTTACTACAAGGTTCCATTTTACAAAGGGAAAGCTGGAATTGAGTGTTGTGGTAATTGCCCAAAACGTTTAGTAATAAGGGGCCTAAAAAGGGGTTTAATATAAGCATTTTTTAGTTTCTAGACAATAACTTGTGTTCAAGTGTATGGATCTCTCTAAAATTGTATTACAAGGTACCATACCACAAAGGCAAGGCTGTTATTGAGCTTGGTTTGGGGGGAAAGGGGGTCGGGGGTGATGAATCATAAGGGGGGCGGGGGTCAAAAAAGGGGTAATTTTTTTTTTTCCTTTTTTTTTTGTTTAAAATTTTACATTTTAAGTTAGTTATTTTTTATCACGAAGAGAAAGTAGGAATTGAGTTTTGGGGTTAATTGCTCAAACATTTATGAATAAGGGGCCAAATATTGGTCGAAAATAAGGATTTTTTTAGTTTGCAACAAAAACTTGTGTTCAAGTGTATGGATCTCTGTGAAATTGTATTGCAATGTACCATACCACAAATTGAAGGTTGTGATTGAGGTGGGGGATTTTGAATCAAAAGGGGGTTGAAAAAATGTGTGGGGGGTAGGATTTTTTTTTTCCTTTTTTTTTCTTTAAAATTTTCCATTTAAAGATGGTTGTTTCAGATTTATATATGAAAGAAAATAATAATGATACGGTTATATATCATGAGGAATTGAAATTTAAAATTATGTATATTGGAAATTTAGGTTACATTGGAAAGTAATAATTGGCTTTGGGGGGGGGGGGGGGGGGGGGGTTATGGCTCTAATGTTTAAGGAATAAGGGGAAAAAAGGTTAAAAAACAAGGGTTTCCATTTTAATAGACAAATAATTGAGTAAAGAACATTATTTAAAAGCAGTGTAAGGTTGGTAATTCAAACTCATTTAAATATCTCATCTACACTGCTTTTAAATTATGTAAATTGGAAATTTGCCAATAACTTTATTGTTAATAAATGCATTGGAAATTTGCCAACAATTTTAGTGTAATAAACTTCATTGGAAATTTGCCAATATAAAATTTTGCTGATGAAGGTTTTTTGTTTACCTTTAGCCTTGACTATGAAGTCATTTTCTATTTTTATAGCCTTATGATGTAGTTGAATTATTTAATACTTTTATGATGTGTTTAAATGGGGTTTTATCATGTTTATGGTTGCAAATTTATTGTTTTAGTATAATAAACTCCATTTAAAATTTGCCAATAAAAAAAATTTTTGTTTATTTTTAGCTATGATTATGATGTCATTTTCTATTTTACTTTTATGGTTGCAAAGAAATTTTTATTTTTAGATATTACTGTTAAATGATGCTGATTAAGGTTTTTGCTATGTTTAGCCATGACTTTGATGTCATTTTCTATTTTAATATCTGTTATGATGTATTTAAATGGGCTTTTATGGTTACAAAGGAATTTTATTTTTAGATATTACTATAAAATGTTGCTGATGCTGATTAAGGATTTTGTTTATTTTTAGCCATGACTATGATGTCATTTTCTATTTTAATACCTTTATGATGTAATTTCCATTTTTAGATATTACTGTTAAATGATGCTGATTAAGGGTTTTTTGCTATGTTTAGCCATGACTATGATGTCATTTTCTATTTTAATATCTTTATGATGTATTTAAATGGGCTTTTATGGTTACAAAGGAATTTTATTTTTAGATATTACTTTAAATGTTGCTGATTAAGGATTTTTGTTTATTTTTAGCCATGACTATAATGTCACTTTCTATTTTAATACCTTTATGATGTATTTAAATGGGCTCCCATGTATTTAGATTTTTGATTATTTATACATGTTACCAAATTGGTCCACATTGAACAAAAACGGTCCAAATTTCAACTTTATTACATTACATCAAACATTGAATTCTACATATTCTTTGATATATTGAAATTAACAAACAATTTAGTTTATGGATATTCCACCATAATAGGTAAATTAAATTTTTTCCAGTTCTTACACCACATTCATCCTGTGTCAGAAACCTATGCTGTGTCAAATATTTAATGACAATCCAAAGTCATAGCTGTATCAAGCTTGAATTTTGTGTCCATACTTGCCCCAACTGTTCAGGGTTCGACCTCTGCGGTCGTATCAAGCTGCGCCCCAGCGAAGCATTTTATTGTTTAGTGGCCAGCTGAAGCTCGCCTCCGGGTGCGGGATTTTCTCGCTGTGTTGAAGACCCATTGGTGGCCTTCGGCTGTTTTCTGCTCTTTGGTCGGGTTGTTGTCTCTTTGACACATTCCCCATTTCCATTCTCAATTTTATTTGTATGTCAAGTTGAGATTGTGTACAATAAATGTTGGTTATTTCATTTTTGTCATATTTTTATGCCCCAGCCGCAGCTGAGGGAACATTTAGTTTTATCCTTGTATCTCCATACGCCCCAAAATTAGTTTCCATTCTCTAACTTTAGTTTGCCTCAACTAAATGTTATAAATCTTATACACAATGCTTATTACCACTAAACACAGATCAAGTTTGAATTTGGATGGCGTCACTTTCACTTTTCTTGAGTTATGTCCGTTTATAAATGGAAAAATTGCTAAATTTGTCGTTTCCACACACTCACTTTAGTTTGCCTCAACCAAATGTTATAAAACTTGTACACAATGCTTATTACCACCGAACACAGATCAAGTTTCGAATCTTGGTGGCATCACTTTTGGCGTTCTTGAGTAATGTCCCTTTGTAAATAAAAAAATTGAAGAATTTGCCGTATATTTTAAAGCAGGCGAAACTGTGTCCCATGGTCAAATTCTTTCTTTATTTTTATTTAGATTTAATTATTTAATTGAAGCCTCGAAATACATTGTTTCTCTGAATTTTAATTTTCTCATCAGCCTGAAGAAATCATCCAGTTATTAGAAAGCCAAGAATTGTATGATTTAGATGGTGAACAGAAAGTGAAGATTTTGAAAGGCCTTTGTCTACGTATCATGGGGACATATTCTGTACAGGATTACATGGAAGAAAAACAAAACGAAGCAACACAATTATGGTAAGTGTCACTTGTTCAGGTAATTGCTCCCGTTGGGCTCTCCCGGGAACATAGTTATTCTTTTTGTCTGTCTGATTCACAACAATGCTAGAGAGTTTGACAGAAAACTTTCATACTTGGATGGAGAGTTGTCTCATTGGCACTCATACCACATCTTCTTATTTACATTGGTTAAATTATTTGTCATCATATGCTCTTGACCAAACTTTAACATCATTATGGTTTGACTGTCGCTCTTTAATATAAATAAGAAGATGTGGTATGAGTGCCAATTAGACAACTCTCCATCCAAGTCACAATGTATAAAAAGTTAACAATTATAGGTCATAGTACAGCCTTCAACAAGGAGCCTTGGCTCACACTGAACAGCAAGCTATAAAGGGCCCCAAAATGACTAGTGTAAAACAATTCAAACAGGAAAACCTACAGTCTAATCTATATAAAAAAAACGAGAAACACCTATGAACCACCCCAACAAACGACAGCCACTGAACAACAGGCTCCTTCCTGACTCTGGACAGGTGCAAAAAATGCAGTGGGTTTAAACAGGCGCCAACCAAGTTCACATTAAATAGTTATTTATGATTGATAGAAGTATTTGGTAAGGCCCTTCTACATATCCTGACAGTCTCTGCAGACATTTTTATAATATTTGATCCTATATTTACATTATTTATACAAATATTTTAGTCCAGCCGAAAGAGACGCAAATTTATAAATTTTATGCATTAAGTACACTTGTCAAGAAATTTAGCTATAAGATGAATTCTGTTTATAAATAACAATTGTTTATTAAATTTTTCAGTCAGATTGTAGAGAAACTTGAATGCAAGAGACACCAATTTATGCCCAATTACATAATGTAAACACCTTTGGTCTCATTTCACCGAAATTATTGTCTGACTCTTTTGTTGTAATCTGCTGGATTTTTGGTTACTTCTAATAACTAAAGAATATCAACCATTCATGAAAGTTGTCATGCATATAGTTTAGTTTTTGGATGTTTTAGGAAAAAGAAAATGGCAGAACTGAAGAAGAAAAATGATAAACTGAGAAAAGAAAAAGAATTGAAGAAAGAAATGGGAGATAAATCAAAGCAGGGAGAAGAAAAGCCAGCAGATGATAAAGAAAAACCTACCTCTAAAGGTATGCCATCTTGACTTAATACAAATCATGACTCACTGTTATTCATGGGATACCAATATTCATGGGATACCAATATTCATGGATTTTGTGGGTAAAGGTGAACCACAAATTCAAAGGTCCAACAAAGTGCAAATTTTCAAGACTTGTATGCAGACCTTTGCAAAACCAAGAAATCAAATATCCACGAAAATACATCTTTTGCTCCATCTACAAAAAATGGTACCCACGAAAAGAAATGAATTTATTGTACATTGGTGATTTAACAATTTGAAAAATAATGATTTATTGTAAACAAATTTAGGGATCATAGATTTATTCTTACGAGGAAGCTCTGAGCATGCTCGGAGGATGCTCAGAGCTTTTTAAGTAGGCTCTTCTCAGTAGTTTATGTGACAATAATTATCATGATCCATTAAAATGTCAATCAAATCTATAGCACTTCTTTAATAAGGAAAGTAGAGCATTATAGAGGAAGCTCAATTAACACCTGTGTAAACATCTGGTCTATTCAAATACATTTTGCTTGAAATTTTACAAAACTATAAAATAGATGAGAAATTCTTTAATAGTACTGTACAATGCTTGGAAAGAATTATCAAGTCCTCACAGAAAGAAAATGTTTTTAAAACATTTTCTTAATAATTATTATTCTTTTTCAATACAAAAAAAATTATTAAATTTGATATCTAAAATATAAATATATTTTAGATTTATACTACAAAAGTCATCAAAGACACAAACTATGGTAACCAGGTTGTTGATTTATAACCATACTACCAAAACATAGTACATTCAGTTTCAAAAGGGTTGATTTGTTTCTTATATTGCATTTAATTTGACAGTTGTTGGAAATTAACCCTCCATTTCATTGCAGAAAAGTGTTTTTGAAACATAAACATGTATCGTGGGTGTTTCAAAGCGATAAAAAAAAATTATTTGGTGTTCTATACTATAAATATTTTAGAAATTTTAGGGGACATGGCTACTAAAGCTTGTAAAAAGGTAAAAAAAGGGGGAGAGAATTTGATTGGTTCACTTCTGGTGATGTTTACTTTCTTATATGCACTGAAAAGTTATGTTGTATTGTTACTATAGTACAGGACAGGATAAAACTTTACTCATGTCATGTAATTCTTTATTTAAAATATAGATAAATTCTGCACATTTTTTTTTTTAATTACCAATTAAACAAAGATTAATAAGGGAAAAAATAATTTTATGTTATATTTTCACTGAAGTACAGGACAGGATAAAACTTTACTCATGCCAAGTATTTCTTTATTTAAAACAAAGCCAAATCCGCACAATTTATAAAAATGCCAATTGAAGAGAGACGTACTAGAGGGAAAACAATGGTAGTATTACCCCCTCAACTTTTCCTAAAGTAGCCATATTTTCTATAAAAGAACTAAGTTTGCTATTTTTAAAAAAAACATATTACCATTGTTTAGTTAGAGCCATTACTTAAACAAGTAATTTTCAAAATTACCTATACAAGTTATGTTGAAAACGAGGCTGTTTCAAATATTACTTCTATATCATGAATAAGTAACTTCTGTTAATATTATTTTTATAGGTGTTCATTCATACAGGTTTTGCTAGCTTTAACAAATTTTTACAGACATCTGGTTTGTTTTCCTCCTGAAATATAAAACTATTTAAATCCTCCTAAAACACTAATTGCCTTTCTGATGCCACACTTCTTGGTCAAAGATTGGTCTCTTGGGGCTATCAAAATATCATTTTCCCTTAAAATCTTAGAGATAGACAGATATAAATAGATGGAACCTTGTGATTTAATTAAGACTTGAAGTTATTTATAATTTGTAATCTTAATCAAAAACAATTACATATGTTCCTTAAATAATTGTAAGTACTAAGTTTTTCAAAGATATATAAAATAATTCATAAAAGTAATATTTTTGTCATTATTTTTAAAGTAACCTCTCTATACTCATCTCAAATACTCAAATTGGACAAATACTTAATTGTATTTAATGAAATGATATAAAAAATCTTAAAAACTACATTTAGTCCATGCTTCTTTTGACATTTAAAATAACTATTGAGTTATCAAATAATTTTTAAAAACAAAAAATACCTATATACAAGTAATTAAAAAAAATAACTTGTTTAGTATCACCCCCTGACTGTTGTTTGTGTCGTGATAACTTTTCTGTAGCATATTATATAATATAAACTATATTTAAATCATATCATCTAATTATAAAATTTGAGAGTTTTTTTTTAAATCACTTTTACTTTTTGTGGAGACTTGAGATTTCTTTCCAAGCATTACACAGTACTGTTGAAGAATTTCTAATCTATTTAATAGTTTTGTAAAATTTCATGCACAATGTATTTAAATAGACCAGATGTTTACACAGGTGTTAATTGAGCTTCCTCTATAATGCTTTACTTTCCTTATTATAGAAGTGGTGTAGATTTGATTGACATCTTAATAGATCATGATAATTATTGTCACATAAACTGCTGAGAAGAGCTTACTTAAAAAGCTCCGAGCATCCTCCGAGCATGCTCGGAGCTTCCTCATAAGAATAAATCTATGATCCCTTAAGTAAGGTTTGTTTATCTATTATTTTTCTAATGATATAATGTTGGTATCTGTTCGATTTTCAATATGAAAGAAAGGTCTTGGTCATGTAGTGGAATCGTGCTCTCTTCATGTGCAGGTCTTTTGGGGTTCGATCCTGGCATGGTCAAAGTAAAGATTTAAAATTGGTAGTTCCTGTTTCCCCACTAAGTATACAGTTAGGGGTTAGATTAAAAAAAACTGGCCAGCTCATATGATAAATGATGTGTCCTTTTGGTATGACATGTCTTTGTACAAACTGTCACTTTGTGCACTGAACTCTTTTTAAAAGATTGCTCAACACATCAGTGAAGTGCAAAGCAGAGTTCACATTCATAACACATAAGCCTATTCTCAATTAAAGTATACACTTGCTCTTCCATCCTTCGACCAGTCACACACAACATATCACTTTATATAGTACTGATTTCCTTTGAGAATAATTTTGTCAAGAATGTCTTTATCACTTGGGACCAGCAGCTTGACTGTGATGAGTTGTAATATGAACATATTTTTGACCTGTTAGAAAACTACTTCCTGTTTGCAGATACTTTAATTTTTTTAATTCATGGAATGAATTAAGATCTATCAGACACCCACTTCCTGTTTTCCAATACTTTGAATTATAAGTAAGGGTATACTTAGCCAGACAACTGATTCATTCTTGTTTTATTTTTCAGATGTATTACTGACATCATTTTACGGGAAAGCCAGTGTCAATGGTGGAGACAGTTCTAAAGGGACCACACCTGACGTGTCCGCAGATGAAGGTACTGATGGTGGCGGTGACCAAAGTGACCTTGCCTCTGTTGTTAAACGACGAAGACTTTTGGCAAACCAGGCTGCAGCAGAGAAAGAAAAGAAGGACCAAGAAAGAAGAGAACAGTAAGATATAATTGATTCGTTGTTATTTTCACATGTTTTATAAGATTTATGTATATAAATTAAAGAGGATATGGATACATCAATGAAACAGCAATCCAACACACAAACAAACAAAAAGGCATCTGTGCCCAGACTTATTTGAAAACACATTTTGAATAACACTTGTCAGTAGACTTTATAATAATGTGAATTGGAAAGAGTTAACTAGTAACTTTGATACAGATGATATGATATCAAAAAGTGAGGTACGGAGTAATGGGAACTACTATTGCAAATTGTTTTGCCTATAAAAGTAAGAGAATGGAAAACGGTCATATACATTTTGTTACCACAAGTTTCATCAGAAGATGAATTTTGTATTTACACTTAATTATTGGAATGGCCACTATTAAAGCGTGTATGATTTACTAGTGTAATGGAAAAGAAAAGATACGATGCATCTATTCATGACACAAAATCACAACGTGCACATGAAAACACCAATTGCAAAAGAGCAATAATTTTATTGCTGTACTTTATCTCATAATCACACTGAGGCCTTGAAAATGTTGCAAAAATCTCACCTTGCTGCATGTTCCGGATGGTCCTTAGCACTGGTTTGAGCAAAATTCTTGGCTAGATTTTAATCATGCTACTACAACTGAGTTATGAAGAATGCAGCTGCTGATTTTAATCATGCTACTACAGCTGTGTTATGAAGAACACAGCTGCTGATTTTAATCATGCTTCTACAGCTGTGTTATGAAGAACACAGCTGCTGATTCTAATCATGCTACTACAACTGTGCTATGAAGAACACAGCTGCTGATTTTAATCATGCTACTACAACTGTGTTATGAAGATCACAGCTGATAGGCAATATCAATTAATTATAAATTATATCTGACAATGAAATAACAAAAACTGTTATAGATTGCCCAAGTTCATTTTAAAACACAGAAACAATACAAACACACAAGAGATGTTGTTAGCTAGAAATAAACATCAGCAAACTCGTATCTTTATTTCAACGTTTAACAATACTAGCATTCTGTCGTCTCACTGAAGGGCCTTTGTGGCCAAGTGGTCTAAGTAGTTCAACTACTGTATCAGTAGCCTGTCAACACAGAGGTTGCGAGTTTAAACCCTGTTTATGACTGGTGTGTTCAACTTAAATCTTAATTGACTATGATTGCCAGTTGTGGTTCTCTCTTGGTACTGCAGTTACCTCCATCAATAACAACTGACTGCCACGAAATAAGCAGAAGTGCTGAAAGTGGCGTTAAACACCAAAAATCAATCAATCAATCATCTCCAAGATGTAAAGAAAATAATTATATTTCAGAAAACAGAGAGAATATGAAGAATATATGGAACAGAAAGAAAGAATAGATTTGGAAAAGGCTTTTACTGTAAGTTTCTTATACCTGACTAAATTTGACACTTACATTTAGATATATAGACTTTTAAAATCAGATGACTAGTGATTCATGCATAGCAAAGGCTAACTTCTACAGGCACATGGTCTCTCTCCATTGAAGTCAGTCTATTTTCCTATATTTATCTGCTTACACCTGGATTTATGATTTCTAAGCTCATTTTGTATACTAAAAACACTGATTAAAGAAGCAATTTTGGTGCACACACAAAAAAAGATCGTTTGATAAAGTGAATACATCACTTTCATTATTTTTGTAGGTTTCATGTCTCTCCATTTTATTTATTGAGGAGACAGGCATATCTCAAAACGTTTGAATTTCGAGCTTCTGCTGCTAGTAATATATCTGAACTGAATTTCTGACAAAATCTTATGAAAACGTGTTGAAACCCACCTATCTTTTTAAAATCTAAAACCGTTTTATATAGTATCAAAGGCTATAAAAGTCTTAAACCAATTCATAAAGTAGCAAAACTAAAAGAATGGTATATTTTCTTTTACTTTTTTACAGGAAGGAATAGGAGCAGCTAAACATGTTTTAAGAGTTACACCAGTTGGAACTGACAGAAATCATAATAGATACTGGGTGTTTTCTAAAGCTACTCCTGGGATTTATATCGAGAAAGGTAATTATGAAATACATTTGTGAACTATACTTCAGCACTGTTCATTATTATCTATATGCTGCCACATGTTCGAGGGGACATTAAGGTTCTCCCTTACAGCAGAATGAAATTGAGTGTGTAGGTAAGGGTAGAATCTTTGGTTAGCTTGCTTGTTAGCTGAATTGTGAAGCCATTATTAGGTTATGTATACTACCCTCCTTTTGGAGTAGTCTAGTCCTACAGACAGATAGATTGGTTATCTGTCGGACTAGTCTACTCTTAAAGGAGGGTAGTTTACCTAACCTAATAATGACTTCACAGTTCAGCTAGCAAGCAAGATAACCAAAGATATTACCTTTACCTACACACTCAATGCATTCTACTGTAATCATCTGTACGTACGCCCCAAATTGGTTTCTGTTCTCTTACTTAAGTTTGCCTTGAATTAAGGTGGTGTCACTTCCAACATTCTTGAGTTTTGTCCCTTTATGAATGGCAACAAGTTCGAACTTGCCGTTTCCACACTCTTTCTTTACTTTGCCTCAACCAAATGTTATGAAACTTATACACAATGCTTTTTATAATACCACCAAACACAGATCAAGTTCAAATTTAGGTGACAGCACTTTCATCGTTATCAAGTTAACCCATTACTGTTTGTTATTGAACAATGAGAGCACTCCAAACCCTAAACAGTCTCTAATTTCAACATACAGGAACAAATGTATTAAGTTTCAAAGAAAAGATAACATCAGTAGGTTTGAATTAGTACATTCACTCTTGCATATTTAAAAGCAGGGGTATCTGTGTCCCATGGGCACATTCTTCTTTTATTTATTGAAGTGTGGGACAATAGAATCAAATTTTAATTATTCCATGGAAAAAATTATGTGAAATACTTTTTTGCCCAGATGACGGACAACCTATAAAAGGATTCTAAGGGCATTTGCTCTTATACTGTCATTCAACACCCACCACTTATACAGGGCTCAGGCTACCATGCGACTGGGGAGACAAAGTAGCTTTCCCAGCTGTCACTTTGCTTTGCCCGACCATCAAAAGGGAAATCTAGTCGCCCTGTTGTTTACGATACCCGGTTTCGTCATCGGCAATATTCAATTTTTACCAAGTCGATGAAACAGCAATTTTTCATTTAAAAGTAAAGAAATTCAAAGACATAAACGATTTATTTTCTTCAGAAAAGAGGTTAAAGCATTGATTTTAAAGTTGGTGGCATGTTATTTCATTAAAACAATTTTTTATCACTTCCGGGCATGTCCGGTACTTGTTACTCCAGAACTTACATCTTCTAAATTTCGGCAAAATAAGTTTGTTACTTCATTAGAACGTGATGAAATTTGCCTGAAGTAAATTTGTTACCAATTTATTGCACTAAAAACATCATATTCCTTTCCAAATAGCGTGTCAAACGTCGTTTATTTTTGTAAATTTTTCTTCGTCCGCCATTGAAATATTTGTAAACTACTGATCAGAACCGGACCAGCTATGACCGAAATCCGGATTCTTACGATAAAGACTACGGACGAATAAATGGCACAACTGACAGAGGAATATTGATCCCAAAAGAAAAAATTACGCATTCCACTCGCATAAACATACTTGTATATGCATTGTTTCAATTCATAAATTAAAATTGCTCATCTCTGGGACTATTATACTATGTCCAAGCTTAACTGTGTTAAATTTATATATCTTTTTAATGAGAAACACTGAATTTCATAAACATGATACATTTTAAGTTGAATTTTAGTTGATAAAGCAACTTTCTTTTCCTTTTTGATATGAACAAAATCTTTTTTTATTATTGCTAGATATTTAACTGTTTTTTTCTGACAAGAGGACTAAAATGATTGTGCAACTAGATATGATAAAATTAAACAACTTTGAATATTAACTGTTACTTTTATTGTATTTCTAGGTACAAATTAAACAATATGAAAAAATAAGATACATATGGCCCTTTGTTTTATAGTAAAAACCGATCATTGTAGCGCCGCGAGCGAACGAGCACTTCTCTTTCAAATCTCACCACTTCTCTCTCTCAGTTTCAAAAAGAGAAGTCACTTCTCCCTATGATTTTGAAGTAGTGTGAGCCCTGCTTATTCATCGTATAAGGTGCATTTCATTCCTTCAATACACCGATTTTATGAATAGCCTTGCAGATTTTTAATCATGAAATAAAATTTGTATGATTGAAACTTCTTTTCTTAATTCTAAAAAAATATAAGTAGATTCGTCAGTTAACAATTATGTTCAAACATGAAAGATTAATTGTTTTTAACCGGATTTTCGATGGAAATATCGGTTATTAAAATGGTTATATACGGCGGACGGCTGGGCGGTCCTGGCGGCTGCCAAACAGCATCAGCACAATAACATGAAAACGCTTTAACAAATTTTTTTCAAATTTAAATATGTTGTTTCCTGGGACTTAATGAAAGTCTCTATTAATTTTCAAGATTTTAGTATATCTCCTTTGTTATAGGGTTTATATAAAATTTATGTTGCATCAGCTTTATTTAGATAAAAATATATCATTTCAGGTTGGGTAACAGAAGACATAGAATACTGTTCTCAAAAGAACAAAAGTTCTGAATCTGATGAAGAATCATCTGACGAAGACAGAAGTAAATCACATGATGAAGAAATCACTTTTAAACCTCAGGCAGATGTCAGTGAAGAAAAAACGTAAGTTTTTTATAAATAAAGATCTGAACATGAAATTTCTGTTGAACGAGTAAACTAAACTTAACTGATATTAAAATTGGAATTTTAAGTCTGGATGCTGAGAAAAATGTTCTAACAAACATTCACACCAATTGGTATCCAAAATTATAAAAACACAAATTAAACAAAGGCCGTTAGTTTTCATCGTTTGAATTGTTTTACATTAGTCATTTTGGGACCTTTTATAGCTTGCAATGCGATATAGGTTTTTCTCATTGTTGAAGGTGGTACAGTGGCATTTAGTTGCTATCATTCTAAATCATTTGGTCTCTGGTGAAGAGTTGTCTCATTGACAATCATACCATGTCTCCTTATTATTTTTATAATACACATGAGTATGATAAAAATAATGCATGCATACTAACCCAATGATGAATATTAAGGATGTATTCCTCGGACGTTTCAGTATCGTAGAAATCTCGTTCTGGAATTATTTCCAAAACATGTGATACAAGTGGAAAATATTAATGAATTTAAAAAATATTATAATCGAAGTTAACTCTGTGAAAAAATTGTGTATTTACAATAAGTAGTTTTTGAGTAATAAAATTTTTAAATTTTTATAACCAGTCAGGTCAGTCTCATTAGCCAAAATGTTGAGAAAATGGGTGAGGGGTACAAGAAATGATTTTACCAGAAACATGTTCATCCAATATCAATTTTTTCTTTTCAAATTTCTTAGATATGTATTTTTTCAATCATTTATAACAAAGAAGTTGAAATAATATGCTTTTTGTTCTAAAAAAAATTGACAGCATGGTAAATTTGACACGAAAAAGCAACAAAATTTTATAAAACTTTCTTATATTAATACCTACCTATAGTTTTTTTAAGTTAAATTTATTCAGATTGGTCCACTTCATCTTTAGTGAAAGTATGAAAAAAAGTTTAATTGTGAAACTGTGATTTTTTTCATGCTATTAGCCCAAAAATGGGTAAAAATTGGCCGTAGCAAAAAAAGAAGAGTAAACCTAAAAATCAGGTTAAGAAAAAAAGTTTTATTCTAGAAATTTTTGGCTTCTCAGAGGTGTACATCCTTAACATCATATTAATATTCTACAAAGCAGTTTACAAATATTAGAATACAAGCAGTCCATGGCATGAATTATAGTTGAAAAAAAAAAAAAAATCTTTTACAGCAAACTGGTCTGACATAGATGATAGAAAAGTGACAAATTCAAGCTGTAACTTTTCTTATGTTGAACAAATAAAACTAAAACAATTTACTTCATTCCATTTCAGTGTTCCACATAATGGACAGAACTTATGGTTTACCTATAATACTTTGGCTGAAATTGATGAACTCTTGAAGAAACTGCATCCTCAAGGTTATAGAGAAAGTCAGTTGATTGAGGAGTTAAAGAAACGATATGACCATCTTTCAAAAGGATTAAATGGATCACAGCAACCAAAGAAGTAAGTTAAATAACTAAATTTTAAACCAGAAAATTGGATAAAATATTTAAGTCTGAACACAGGAGATGTGGTAAGAGAGAGTCTAAAGATACCAAAGGGGCATTCAAACTCATGTCAAAACTAAACTGACCACGCCATGGCAAAAAATGAAAAAAGACCCAAAAGACAAACAACCGTATACAAAACACAACATAGAAAACTAAAAGACTGAGCAACATGAACCCCACCAAAAACTAGGGGTGATCTCAGGTGCTCTGGAAGGGTAGCAGATCCTGCTCCACTATTTGAACCCTTCATGTTGCTCATGTAAGTTCAAGATAAAATTGCCAATGAGTATATATGTATATTGTTACATCTATGTTTTCTAGAGTGAAGACAGAAGGAGAGGAGGAGGAAGAAGAGGATTTAGTGAAGGCATTCAGGAAGGTAGGCTTATCTTCTCAACATGTGTAACCTTTTACTGATATATTTATTGAAATTTTTATTAGTCCCCTACCGATGCAGTTAAAGGGGACTAGGTTTGCACTCTGTCTGTCTGTCCATCAGTCAGTCCGGCAAATTATTTTTCCACACTTTTTTTCTTCGTGCTTAAAGATATTGATTTGATATTTGGTATATAGTTTTATCATGACAAGTTACAGATCAAGTTTGAATTTTGTTCCAGTCTGATAATTTTGTGCAGAGTTATGGTCCTTGGCATTAGAAAATTCACTCAAATATTCAGTTTTCCACACTTTCTTTTGTCATGCTTGAAGATATTGATTTGATAATTGGTACATTGTTTTATCATGACAAGTTACAGATCAAGTTCGAATTTTGTTCCGGTCTGATGATATGTGGAGAGTTATGGTCCTTGGAATTAGAAAATTCACTTAAATAATCAGTTTTTTCGTCATGCTTGAAGATATTGACTTGATATTTGTTATATAGTTTACACCATGACAAGTTATGGATCAAGTTAGCATTTTGTTCCAGTACAGTTAATTTTTAACCGGTAGGGGACTATGTATTGCCGTGCAATACTCTCAGAATGCTTGTTTACCATACAAAATATGCATCCATTTTGAAGATGTATTTTGTGAATATAACAAGTACTGATACATGAATTGTACCTTAGGGTTATTCCATTAGAATGGATGTGGGAGGGTAGTAAAGGACGTTTTATTTTTGGACATGGGTTAGGGGTCATTTACGGTTGTAACTTGTATGTCAATTTGATGCATGCAAAATTACACAAAGAAAGTGTGTTGGTTATGGGGAGATTTTGGAAGTCCCTTTCTACTCCCCACCCCCAACAATTTTTGCGAGTACTCAATCCCCCTCCTAATCTGGAAAGTAGGTGTAACAACACAACAAAACAACAAACTGTAAAAACCAGTTGGAAATGGCTTGACTCTTCAGATCTGCAAAAAGCACAAATACATGTAACTGATAAAAACACAAATACAAAAGTACAGGTCTTAGCTTCTTTGTTTAGGTGCACCATGAAATTAGTTTTACCTTTGCTTACTACACTATTTTGTTATCATTAGATTCTGTGGATTCCTTTATTTTGGTTGGTGCTAATTTTGTTGGGTTGAGGACAAATTTAATTTTCTAAGATTGATTTCATGGATTTGCCATATTTGCCTACACATGTTACAAGCCTGACATTTAAATGTGTGGTTTACCTTTACCAAGAAAATCCTCGAAAAATTGGTATCCCACGAATAATAATGAATCTATAGTAACTGCTATTTACGAAACCAATCAAGGTATTAAACAAGTAACGAAAGGATGATTAAAGAACTGGTTTATTGCTTTGTGTACTATATCTAATAAAAAATTAATGCTTCATCATGCAAACAAACTAAATTACATTTAAAGCACTTCGAACACACTCAAAGAGTTTAGCAGCAATTGATTTATACAAGTTTTGGAATAATTTTACAAAATATAGATTTTCATGTCATATTATTATTTCATTAGGAGTTATTAGAAACAGAAATCCGTTTGAAGAATGGCGGTTTAGGTGGAGTCCCAGACTTTGACTCTTGGGATGCAAGATTAGAAACTGCAACAGAAATAGCTGATTTTGTAAGTTTATTGTGACTCTTAAAATATTACCTTGTTCTAAATGCATGAAAATACGGCAAATTAGGAACTGTAAAAATATCAAAGTATGATTTCAGTATTGAATCTCTCATCTTTTGTATTACCCTTTTGTAGTAATAGCATACTTTCTACCAATGAAAAGCTTCAAAAAAAGTTTAGAATGTCTTTTGAATTTAATGTTAGGTGAAGACTGTAAGGAAAATTTCATATACATAATAATTTTGTGAGTTTTAAAAGAAGTTATATAATTAAATGTATGTGTTTTGAGTTTTAGGTTACTATGAGATAGGAACCATTTTTAACCCCCAAAACTCCCCACACTAAAAATTCTTAGATTTCAGAAATTTCAATCAACCACCAATTATTTTAATTCCATTTGATCACATATACAATTAATAGATATAAGAAGATGTGGTATGAGTGCCAATCAGACAAATCTCCATCCAAGTCAAAATTTATAAAAGTAAACCATTATAGGTCACAGTACGGTCTTCAACACGGAGCCTTGGCTCACACCGAACAGTAAGCTATAAAGGGCCCCAAAAATTACTAGTGTAAAACCATTCAAATGGGAAAACCAACGGTCTAATCTATATAAAAAATGAGAAACGAGAAACACTTATGAACCACATCAACAAACGACAACTACTGAACATCAGATTCCTGACTTAGGACAGGTGCAAACTAATGCAGCGGGTTTAAACGTTTTAATGGTACCAAACCTTCACCCTTTTTCTGAAACAATAGTGTAACCTTACAAAATAGAAAGACACACTATAAAATATCAACTGAAATAGCTTAACTCAATCAAAGGACATATTACCACCATTGAACATACACTGAATAAATAAATTAAGTCTGAAATACTCCTTAATTGAAGAATTGAATATTTCCACGAATTCATCTCTTGACATTTATAAAGCTTTATCCCTATATATAATCAGTTTTAATATACGTTTGTATTCCCAGGGTCAGCTCTTGATAGAATCACAAGAAAATATCTTGGAAAAATTTAGACAAGGAATGATGGCAAATAAAAAGAGGAGATCTAAAGTTACTGAGGTCAAAGGTGAAGAGGAAGAGGAGGAGGACCTTGATGACTCTAAAGGTCAGTGGGGGTTAAAAGGTCAAGTATACTGTTGACAAATGTATATTTCAAACCTAAAGTTCATCTTAAAAAAGATAATAAGCATGGAATAGAAACTCAATGCATTATTAATGATAGCAGTCTGGAATACAAATGTGATTTCAGGGTCAATTGAAAACTAAAATTTGTATTTTGGACGCAATATTAGTATGCTGTAATTCTTGAAATTGCAAAATAATCTCACATTACTGACAATTGTTCAAAAATCACAAAAATAAGCCCTAAAAAAAATTGAATTTACTGTATATACATGTATATACAATCCGTCAGATTTGCAGAATATGTGGTACAAAAGTATTAACAAAGAACAGAACTCAAAGGTAAATTTAAAAAAAGGGGAAATCCATAAAACCTATAAAAATCAAACGCTGGACTATACTAACCAACAGACCCAATAGAAAACTACTGCCAATGAGTGCTTGAATAGGAAAGATGATACTTATATTTTGTTTCATTTCCTTACAGAAGAAGAAACTGAAGTTGCAGGAGTAGTTAACTGGAGGGAGGCTGTGAAGAATTGTCCGACCATGTCTCGTTTACATGTACTGATGGGAATGTTAGACTCATGTATAAAGTGGGAGAAATCAGCGGAAAATGTGGTATGTAGTTTCTGTTCTATGTCTTAGTCACATTTTAATCATGGGATGGCAGTTCAAGATTTAAACTCATGGGTGGATTTGAGGCACTCAAATATTCAATTGTGAATGGTTGTATTTTCTTTTGAATTTGTGTTTATATCTGGAACTGCCCTTATGAATACCATATAATTGGGATAATTTGCAAACCCTGAAGTGAGTGAATACTATTGGACGCAGATTCAATATTTATTGAATATTATTTTACAGCTTTTCTTGTTAGATACTTTTTAAATTTTTAAGTTTGTTGCTAAAAAAGGAAATTTTAGATGTTATCGTATTGGTACTGCAGGAAATGAGAGTTCGTTAATGAGAATTACATATTTAATTATTTTGCATTTAGAAAATTAGTCCAAATAAAGCCATTCTTTTTCTTTTTAGAAATGTAAAATTTGCCGCAAGAAGACAGATGAATCTAAGTTATTGTTGTGTGATGAATGTAACCAGCCTTTCCATATGTTTTGTTTACGTCCTGCTCTGTTAGAGGTACCAGAAGAAGACTGGTTCTGTGCTGCATGTGCAGTAAGTTTGGGTATTTTATTTATTTAGTAATTATTCAGTACCTTTGATGTTATAAATCGTTTTGAAAGAAGAAAAAAACACCAGCCTTCTTATTAAACCAACCCCCTGCTCTGAAAGGGGGGGGGGGAATATATTGTTTTACCCCTGTCTCTCTGTAGGTCATATGTCCATCCATCCGTCCCATGAAATTTCTGCTGTATTTTTTTCAAGAACTTTGGATCAGAGCTTCCTGAAATTTGATATAATGCTTTACTGTGTGAAGTGTTTTCAGATTCATTGCTCCTCAACATCCTGTTTACCAAATACTTAAATATTCTAACACATATTGGCTATGTAAGAAATTTCTGTTTTGATCATGACACAGAAGATACTTGAGATCAGATACTTTAAATTACAGCTATTTGTATATATCATCTGAGCAGAGGTCACCACACCAGGCGAGGTGAGCGACCATGTTTCCCTAGGACTGCCCACTTCCCTCTAGAGAAGCTCCAGGAAGAAGTTTATGTTGCCTTCGATTTTCAGTAAAATTCCCCAATGTCGCCTCATGATTTTTGAAAAATTATAATTCCGAATGCACATGATTTCAATATACAACGAAATAAACATGTTCTACCTTAAACCATGGCTAAAATTATCTTTAATTATGACATATATATTGCCTAATAGTCAGGTGTCAAACTTTATTAGCTGTCAACCAGGTAATTTTAGGTCGGACCGACACCTGTACATATCATGTGGACAATTTAATGCAAGTAGAAACTTCAGGTTTATTTATCATGAATTGCAATCTATTTTATGAATAAAAATGCATGACTTTACCTTCAAACTGGATATCTATATCCAAAGTTAATCAATAAAAGAAGTAATCTTGCAACATAAATTCCATAAGCACATGTAAAAAATCTATTTATTACTGCTTCCTGTCATTTAGGCGGTAAAATAGGGAGATTTCATTGTTGACATTGAATAGGGTTTCTTATATAGATCTATAGACCTACAAATTAATAGATTTAGAAATTCTGTTTATCTGGATCATGACATACAAATATTTAGATTTGAATACAGTATTTAGTCTGTATCTAGACCCTAAATAAAAATTTTAAGATCAGGAAGGAAATGAGATAAAAATTATTTGAAAGTTAAGTCCTTAAAATATTTTTTTATTTGTTTTAAATCATTTTGAAATTAATTTTTTTTTGGAAGGGGGTGGGGGGGTCCTATGTTTTTGCTTTATTTGTTTCATTAAGCACAATCTTGGGCAAATCTATGCAGACTGGTTTGAAAAAGGCTTTGAGATGCAGCAAAATTTTATCAATGTGTACATTATTTTTCAATTCCTTCATCAATTCATTCAGACCACATGGCAAGGCAATAACAACTCAATAGTTGTTAAGCAAAAGGCTCCTAAAAATTACAAGACCGTAAAGATGCTGGGAAATTTAATTAAAAATAGCATTAATGTGATCCTTCATTTCTCCCTGAATTCTCCCTGTTGAGTCTTCACTTCTCCCTGTTTGGCTGCCAGGGAGAAGTCACTCCTCGCTAAATTTCTGAAGTGTGGTGACCCCTGCTGAGATAACAAATATGTTAGAGACTTTTAACCAGTTAATATAGTTTATGATCCATAATTTGGCAAGGCTGTTTCTGTAGTTTAAAATCTTGTGTTTTATATAATTCTCTGGACTCAGTCATAAAACTTTACTCAGTACTGAGTACAAAATTTGTTTTCAAAGCACAAAATCCAGTATTTTGATTGGTTCATTCCTGAGTCTGAGTACGATAATCATGCTTGAAATGTTTATGACTGCAAGGTCTGAATTCAATTCTATGTTTTTGTATATTTTAGCCTAAAGACCTGAGAAGGAAAGGGAAGGAAATGCCTGGAGATTCTGAGGTAAATTATTCATGATATTTTTGAAGATTTAGAAGTGCAGAAACCCATAACATGAATTTTTTTTTAATTAAAGAAAAATTGAGAAGAATATCACATTCTGTTGATTTGTATGACTCTTTATGGCGGCATAAATAGTTTGGCAAATTCCATGTAGATAATAACAAGAGCATTTAAAAGATTTAGATGCTAAAATCAAAATTGCTTACTCTGGTAAGGGTTGGTCCAGATTTAAAAATGCAAAGGGAGGATGGGAGACACTTAAATTTAAAAATTGTGGGTGATTGCTTTTTCTAGAGTTTTGGGATAAAAGTAAATTGAAAATTTAATATAATATGGGTAGTTAGGGTTTTAAAAAAGTCTGTCTCATTCTCCCATTTGTTTAGATTTGGTACATTTCTACAGATACGTTGATATTAAATATTGTCTAAGTACCAACTGATAAGGCAACACATTTGTATATAAGTCATATAACACTGTCAAATGGCAGTGAATTTGTTTCACACTGTAGTAATTTATATTGTTAATTTATCCATGTTAGCCCCAACAAAATCTGACATTGAATTGGATGGAGGAATTTGATTCAAAGCCTCTTTGGTAATAACTGTGGAACCAAAATGAATAGAAGGATTGGGCAAAGTATATCTTGTGTCATACCTTTTACCATTTGATTCGTAGAAAAATATACATGAACAATTTATTAATTTGCCTTTGGCGTTCATAGTAGCACAACTGAGATAATGTTTTGTTTCACTTATAATATCTACAAATTTACCATTCTAATGGTTACTTATCTTTTCATTAAGAATTGAATCCTCCTTTTATAATTTTATTGGGGTGTAAAAGCGTTAACCGAAGCACATTTTGCTCTTCATACTAAAAATGTGTGCATGATAAACGCTTTTACAACCCTATGAAATTATAAAAAGAAGCATTCAGTTCTTTTGATTACATTTTTATCCTGCAACCATGAAATTAAGAGTTATATCAAGCTTTTCTGTTGGTTTTGCTAGGAATTGTTTTAACATTGTCACGGATAGCATGTGCAGTCATAGCTGTTATATTTTATACGGTAATACAATTTGATATGGGAGTGCCTCATGATTGATGTCAACCAATCAAAATTACTTATTCTAATGAAACTTACATGTGATGTAATTATTGCAGGATGAAGAGGGCGACATTAAACATGAAAAAAATTGTATTGAATGTGGTGGTGATGAAGGACTAATATTCTGTTCTGAATGTCCATCAGCATATCATTTAGACTGTCATCATCCACCTCTCAGGAGAGAACCAAGGTATATATAATATCATTTAGACTGTCATCATCCACCTCTCAGGAGAGAACCAAGGTATATATAATATCATTTAGACTGTCATCATCCACCTCTCAGGAGAGAACCAAGGTATATATAACATATCATTTAGACTGTCATCATCCACCTCTCAGGAGAGAACCAAGGTAAATATAACATATCATTTAGACTGTCATCATCCACCTCTCAGGAGAGAACCAAGGTATATATAACATATCATTTAGACTGTCATCATCCACCTCTCAGGAGAGAACCAAGGTAAATATAACATATTTAGACTGTCATCATCCACCTCTCAGGAGAGAACCAAGGTAAATATAACATATCATTTAGACTGTCATCATCCACCTCTCAGGAGAGAACCAAGGTAAATATAACATATCATTTAGACTGTCATCATCCACCTCTCAGAAGAGAACCAAGGTATATATAACATATATGTCATTCATAATTTTATATCTTTTGAAGAGGGACCCCAGTAGTCCTGATCCCTTTAGCAGACTGCTTTCTTAACCTAATCTTGCTTCAAGTGGAAATAGTCTGAATGGGACATTGTATCAAGATATTCAATAAACATTCTTTGGTAACAGCTATTCAATTAAAATAGATGTGTGAGGGTAGGAACGGAAATCCAAAATCCGCCCACAACATACATACTTAGTGTTTTTTGCATGTAACAAATGGTCATACAAGCAGAAGTGATCAACAACCAATTTTGTACAAATAAAAGAGGAGGGATAATTCTTTGGCCCCTGATATTGTAAAAATATTATAACTACTGTCGATTTATTATTATTTGTGTGATTTTCTTGGATTTAGTGGGTAAAGGTGAACTGTAAATTCAAATATTCCACAAAGTACAAGTTATCTATAGGTTTGTATGCGGGTAGTAATCCCCTTTACTGTCAGTTGTCAAATGATAATTTTCGGCTACCGCTAGTGTCAAATTGTTTAAATTTTATAATGATTTGTCAAAGGTCTCAAATAATTATCTTTAACTTTATTTTTGAAAAGAATTTAACGTGATTTGTCAAAATCAGTCAATTTTTTATCATCATGCACCAAAAATTACCGTTAACGTCATTTGGCAAGATTTTTACTGTTATTCATCATTAAGGTACTGCCATTACGACCCTCTTATATGCAGACCATGGCAAAACCACAAAATCAAATATCAATGAAAAAAAATATTCTTTTCTCAAATGAACGAAAATTGTTTCCCACAAAAATAAATAAATCCACAGCACTCACGACTTTCAAAATTATGTTTATTTTATTGATAAATGAACAAGCAGATATAATCTGGACAATTTGGGGCAGAAAGGTCACCTGTGCTGTTGGTATGACAGGATTTGACCCTAATTTTGCGGCTCACTGAACATGGGAATTAAATAGGGTAAGCAAGGCATGGTGCTGATAGACAATTATTCTTGTTGGGTCTGTTTGATGACATCACAATATAATATTTCTTTTTTTTCAGAGGCAATTGGTCATGTAATGACTGTAAAGTTGGTATTAAAAGATCTTCTAGATGGCGCTCCCAGAAAAGAAATGCTCTCATAAACAAAAGAGGTAAGAGTATGCATTGAATATATTTAAACATACATGTACTGCAGCCCCTGCTGTGCGTCATAGCAACCACAGAAAGAGAATTTTAATAAGACGAAGTCTACACTTTGCCTACATGTATATCTTTTTAGATATGTTTTTGAATTATTAACATTCAATGTAATTTCTTAATCAGGCAATCTTGAGCACATTAATTTTGTATTTGACATTGGTCGTCAATGGCGAAAGCAACCATCTGTAACTTTACCTGCTGTGTTCTGAAAGACCTTTGGGAGAAAAGGTTCATCAAAATTCTGTTGTCATCTATGAAAGAATATATTTGGTCTGTAGCTTAATTAGGTTGTGTTGTAGCTTTTAAACAATTTTCACCATTGCCATGCAGGCACTTCCTGTTTGCTGGTAGTTCGAAACTTTATAAAACTAATTGTACACAGAAAAAATTTCTTTGTAAAAAAATATTCAGAAATAATTCTCAGAAGACTTAGTGATATGTAACTGTATATAGTAAATTCAGTAATTTAAAATGTAAACATATTCCAAGAATCATGAATTAAACAAAAAATGACAGCTAGAGGTTACCATACTGTCTTCAACAATGGTTTAATAGGTGCTATATACTATGGCAAGTTCTAATTTGCCAAAAGTCTTGTCAAGCTGTGCAAGAAAAATCAGATCAGTTTATTAAATGGTGATGAATTTTCAACTAAAATTAAATGTATGAGAGTAAAATTTGAGTGTTATTTATAATTTAAAAAGCTATTGTATCATTGTTATTATTAATAACTACAGCTGCACCTAAAAGAAAAAATTACAAAGAGTGGTCAACAGAAAATTCAGATGAGGAGTCAGAAGAAGAGGCTCCCAAAAGTGGGAGACGTGGCCGTGTTTCAAAACAAAATAAAGACACCTCCGATTCAGAAGAAGAAGCTCCAAGTAGAGGCAGACGTGGACGTGCAGCAAGACGGAAACAAGACAGTTCTGACACTGAAGAGGAGGCACCCTCTAGAGGGAGACGTGGACGACCAGCAAGAAGGAAGCAAGAGGACTCTGAAGAATCGGAAGAAGAAAGTGATGAGCCTCGTCCTAGTGGAAGGAAAGGCCGTATTTCTAGAAAACGCAGAGAAGATTCAGATGAATCTGAAGCTGAAACAAAGTCGTCTACACGGAGGTCAGATAGGGCTAGAAAAACTTATAAAGAGGACTCTGAATCTGATAGTGAATCAGAGGAAACCTCATCTCGAAAAAGAAAAAGAGGGAGGCCATCAAAGGGTAAAACAGAGGACTCTGATACGGAGGAAGATCAACCACCAACAAAGGCTGCTAGGAAGCCAAGACAACAAAGCTCATCAAGGTCAAAGAAAGGGCATACCTCTGCAAAAAATAGTCCAGTAATAGAAGAAAAGAAAGCTACATCCAGAAGAGCACCATCTGATTTATCTGTAAGTCTTTGCTATCAATGACTTGTTGTTCCGTATGTACAAAAAATCACTAGGCCTAAGCTTATGAATACTGTGGATTCATTTATTTTCGTTGGTACCAATATTTGTGGATTAAGGAAAACTTGCATGTTCGTGGGTATTTAAATTCGTGGTTTCGCCGAAGTCTGCATACAAGCCTATAGGAAATTTGTCATTCGTTGAACATTTAATTTCGTAGTTCACCTGTACCAATGAAATCCACGAAAAATGGTATCCCACGAATAATAATGAATCCACAGATTTGGCTAGACATATAGAAGTATGTAGAAGTATTTTCTTGAAATGAGCTTTATATAGCTGGTCAGTGCAAAGTTTATGTCTCAAACTATTCTCCAGTCTATTAAGTTGCATTCTATGTTTCATAATTTGTTGTATGTATTTGTTGATATGGATATTAGATTTTCCATTGTATTTGATCCAGTTCAAAGTAGGTTGATTGCGCCATGAAATTAATTTGATGAAGTTTGAGTGGACGTATTTTCTAGAAAATTCTTGTATTTTTATTAGATTGTAAGATCTGAGGAAGTTTTTTGGGAGGGTATGTTGTATAAATATCATGTATTCTAAAACTGCATCCTGTTAGTGTTTTGATACTTTGTGGCAGGGTGTTAAAATACCCATATCAACGGATATGAACGTAGATAACTTATATTGGTATTTTGTTCAAGAACCACATAAATATGTGCTACATTTATTTTATGCCAGATTTTCATTTCAAACTTTGGATGTATTCAATTATTAATAAAGATGAGCAGTTAAATGGAAGATGACATTTTTTATGCCCCACCTACGATAGTAATAGGGGCATTATGTTTTCTGGTCTGTGCGTCCGTTCGTTCATCCGTCCGTCTGTCTCGCTTCAGGTTCAAGTTTTTGGACAAGGTAGTTTTTGATGAAGTTGAAGTCCAATCAACTTGAAACTTAGTACACATGTTCCCTATGATATGATCTTTCTATTCATGCCAAATTAGAGTTTTGACCCCAATTTCACAGTCCACTGAACATAGAAAATGATAGTGCTAGTGGGGCATCCGTGTACTATGGACACTTTCTTGTTTTTCATTGATGTAGGGAGGTGTTTTTTGTAAATTCCTTCACTATATGGTTCTTTCAAGTTTTAACTGTATCTAAATAATTATGATGGTCAGTGGTTATTATACCCACTTCTAGATATTCCCGCTCAAGGAGTTGGGGCTATATTGCATTCCCCATGTTTGTCCGTCCGTCAATCAAATACTTTCATCACAATTTTCTCAGGTACTTCTGAACAAATAACTTCTCATTTTTTCAGCAGCTTGACAGTATTAAGTTGTTTTGTGAGTACCTTTCTGATTAGTCAGACACCCTTGGCCTGTTTACTGATGACCTTGTAGTTTTCAATATGTTGAATGAACTCAATATTTTTGTCGAAGATCTCATCACTCCGACTGAACAGAATGATTTCATATTTGGCCAGCATCTGGAGAGAGTTGAGATGTAACTCGCTTTTTGGATTTGTTAGACACCAACTTCCTGTTTTCCAATACTTTGAATAACAAGTAGGGGTATGTGCTCAGCAGGACAACGTATGCAACTTCCTGTTTAACTTTAACCCCACACACAGAGGGTGAAATAGTGAATGATGTACTGCAATTACAATTTCTTTTCGTCATTAACTGTCGTTTAATGTTACTTAATTTCTGTCTTTAGAAATAATTTGATATTTGTTTGGAACTATTAATGTTGAGTTGTAACCTGTAAGTAATATCACATCTGGTGGACAGTCACTTCCTGTTTTACGACACTGTGAAATTTTATAATACCCATTGCATGGAACTTTTCGTCAATGAAGCGCATATAATTTTCACAGCATCTCATGTAACTTCATGATGTTAGCTTAACTTTCTTCTGTTATTTTTTTAACAAAAGAAACATAGATGAAATATATATGTAGATGGGTCATACCATAAATAAAAACCATTAATTTGAATCTAGACATTTGAGGGTCAATATTTACATGCAGTTTATTTTCCTTTCAGATATGTGAACAGATCGTAGCTAATTTAATGAAACACAAGTCCTGTTGGCCATTCCTAAATCCAGTAAATAAAAAGGAGGTTTGTAATATAAATGCTCTATATGTCTTATGGCTTTTTGTGTTGTTGGGTTTGCTGTCTTCAGACATGTACCCAGTCTTGTTAATGATGTTTCCCAGGAGGATCCGTAACTTTTTTAGAAACACTTAAAAGTTTACTTAAGCAAAATGATGATTATCATATTGATTATTTGATGCTAGATTCAGCACCCTTGGCTATATCATGGAGGAAGCTGTAATACCTAGAAAGAACCTTGACCTTATCAAATATCACCTTCCTCACTACAAGTGAAAGAGACTCAGTGGCTAAATGTGTTAAGTAGTGTATCTACAGTGATTACTAGCCTGTCAAGATGAGGTTGTGAGTTTGAACATAGCTATTATACAATTTATTGACTTTTGATGAGGTTGATACATATAGATTCTACCACTGCATCGAGTGTGATACGATATTTATCCACTCGAGACAGTTAAATTTTCAAATTTAAAACGCGAGGCTCGCCGAGCGTTTTAAATATTTTAAATTTAACTGTCGAGAGTGGATAAATATCGTATTACACGAGGTTTGGTGGTGGAATCTGTTTCTCTAATGATTTTCAAACAATACGCAGGCAAATTCATTCCTTCTTTTCGAATGATCTGCAAAAAGATGTGTTCTTTCTATGTGACGTCATCAGGCATGGTCGCCTTTTTTCATGCCGTCACAATAGGAAATTCAGAGGAAAGCAAGAAAATTCGACGTCATAATCGGATTTTAACCAATGAAGAACTGAGATCAAACGAACCACACGTTGATTAAATTTTTTTTTATACAATGGGTGCAGAAAGGGATAAATTGATGAAGAATTAGAGAAAATGATTTATCAACCCAAGAGATATGATATTCATTGAGGTCAATGGTTCCAAATCTTACATGTACTCCAGCTTCTTGCACCAATAAAACTGGCCTCGTACAATAGCTGAAAGGAAAGTGTCTTTGACAAACCAAAAGTATTGCAACTTGACCATTTGAGTGTTTTACCCACGTTTCACATCTATAAAAACATTTATCAACTTTGTGCTTTATAGGTGCCAGACAAGTATGAGATTATAAAACACCCACTTGATTTCCAAATAGTGAAGGACAGATTATAGTGTCTAGTCTATGGCTCAAAACATCATTTCATAATGTATTGTTTTAAAATAAAATATTGCAATCAAGAACAAGTTTATTTGAAAACCATTCATAATCAACTTTGTGCTTTATAGGTGCCAGACTATTATGAGATTATAAAACACCCACTTGATTTCCAAATAGTAAAGGACAGATTACAGTGCCTTGTCTATGGCTCTGTAGAGGAATGTTTAGAAGACGTTAAAGTTGTTTTTAATAATTGTGAAACTTATAATCCGGTAAGTATATAATATTTCTTAAGAATTTTGTTTTATTTACTTAGTCCTCTTCCTTTTTATCTCCAACATTGATATATAAAGGGTTCATCTTTAAAAAAAAAAGTGGACCACACAAAATCTGTTTTGAAAGTGCATATTCTTTCAACATTACATATGACAAAAAATAGGTACATGATGAAAATCTGTTCATCAGGAGCATATATTCTTTCAACATTACACATGAACAAACATGTGCATATGGACATGATGGAAAACATATTCTTCAAAATTACACAGTTACATGTACATGATAAAAGGCATATTCTTTCAACATTACACATGACAAAACACAGGGACATAATAAACTGTACTTGGAACACAATATCAAAGAATTCTTACAGAAAGCAAGCTTAAAGTTTGGAATTCGGTGACACATTGAGAAATGACAACTCTAAATTAAGAAATCCTGTAAGATTGATTGGGGATTTATGTCAAGTTGCAAATATTACATGTATATTAAAGACAGAAACAGGAAAGTGAGATATGAACATACCCTTCATTGTGCTAGAGCAACTTTTCAGAAGTGAAGACTGGGTGAATATACCAAAATTAAGAACTCGAATTCAGATATCTGATACCTAAATGTATATGCAGATTTTCCTGAAATCGCAATGATAAATCTCACATTTTCATATCTTTTTCAAAAATTTCAAAGATTAAGGTGGTACATAACACTACAGGGAGATAACTCTGTAAAAATCAGCTGAATGTTTTAATCACGTTCTATTGTTAAGGAAATATTAAGCTTCTCAATGATCAAAATTAGTGTTTGTCAAACTGCTATGTATCCAATGAAATTTTTCCAATAAAGTGTGTGGTTCAAGTTTTTTGAAATTTTTATATTTTTGTCAAAGGGTCAAAGTAAATATTTTGTCAAAATTTTAGGAAAATTAAACGAGCCAAATTACTTTTGGTCAAGGCGTTTGGTAACACCTTAATGCCTGCAATGATTTATGAATTTGCTGTATTATATTTGACTTATCTCAATTTTCACTGAAATGTCCCTTGTGCAAAAGCAATATCATAATATCGACATTAACAATGAGTGTATATATTTCTACAGGAGGGCAGCGAGATACTAGAATGTATGAGGGAGGTAGAGGAATATTTCCGTGGACAGGTGGAAAAATATTTACCGCAAGTGCTGTACTATCGGAAAACTCTTACGAATGGACATTGATGAATTTTATTTTGTATTGGAATCCACCATTTTTTTTTAAACAGAAACTATAAAGGTTTATGTACTATGGATATTTAACATGTATGAAGTGTGTAAAGCTGTGATCCATGGCAAAAAGACCAGAAGTAGTGTCAGACTGACAATAAAATCATTTGCACATACGGTCAGTCGATTTAACAAACCTTGATTAATTGACATTCAAGTTAAAGGACAACTTAGCTTTAATTTGAGTTGTTTTTACAATAAACTTTTCACCAAAGTATAAGCAGTTGTAACTATTTCTATCAAACACCTTCATAATTGTTCAAAACCTTGTTCATCATTGTATGCTTGGTCAATGACATTTTTTTTAAAAAAGACCAAATTCTGGTAAAACGATATGTATAATAATGGACCCAGACTAGGTAAAGAGAAAATATTTTCTGACTTGTGGCCCAAATAAAAATTCATGACCAAGCAACCCTATAAATTTTGGGCGAGGACTAGAAACTAAAAAAAATAAATTTTTTGCTGAAAGGACAAAAAAAAATTGCATGAAGTCACCGGAATTGTAAGATTTATGTTCTTTAATTAGACAAAAAGTTTTTAAAAAACAGATTACATCTTTTGCTTGGATTGTTAACTATTTTGTGGCTTATATGTGACAAATATCATAAAAACATGTTGATGACTTACGCAAGAGTTATCTCCTTAAAATTAATCCCAAAGCCATGATTAAGAGCAATTTATTTAATGTTTTAACATTTTTCTTAGTTCACCTAGACCAATTTCATTTGAAGAGTTTAATAGATATATCCCTATACTCTATTTCAATAGTTTAGTCATATACATTTTGTTGATTTTATGGGTCATGTTTTCATAGTTGTTGTAAAATATTGTATTTTTCAGTTGTATGTATTGTTTTTAGTGATATGTAAATATTGTACAATCATGTGACTTTGATTTTTTTATGATATCATGTGACTGTTTTATGATGATATGTAATTGTATGATTTGAATTACAATTGATTGAAGTTTGCTATTTATTTTTTATTTGATTTTGTGTGCTATTAATTTAGTATGAAAATTTTAATTTTAGAAGGATCCTATCAGTGCTTTAAATTTTTATGAAATTTTGTCATGTTGAGCATGATTTGGGTAGTTGTTAATTTGTTCACCTATTATAAGATAATCAATTCTAATGTATGAAATGCTCAAATCTTTGAAAAGGTTAAGAGTTGTCTCTTTGATCCCAAAATTGTTTTAAATTTCCAAGAATTTTCGATAAATCTATTATTTTATGATTTTATGAATTTTAATGCATGTTTAATTAAATAAACTGTCTTTTGTGGTAGACTATCTCACAAAAAAAATAATTTTATTTTAATTTTTTAAGTGTTATATAAAATAAAAATAGAAATGATCGGTGAATACAAATTAAATTGAAAATATGTATTAATATATAAATATGATATCATCTATTTAAAGTAAAAGAAAAAACAAGATAACGGAGGATTGAGATGTTTTTTTTTTTTTGGGGGGGGGGGGGGGGGGGTCCTTAGTACTAAAAATAGAATATTTATTATCACCACGATAACTCTATGAATCAGAGATAACATGACTAAAGGTTTGCTCTTTGTGATTGATTATTTCCTAACCTAATGCATTATGGGTAATGGTTCCAGAAAATGTTGCGTTTTGTTTAGAAAAGTCTGAAACAATGGATGCTCAGTCTGAGGCATAAAAGTACTTTCATTTGATTTGAAATGTAAATGTAGTAAAATTTGTCTAAAGTGAAACTCTTCAGGTATAAAGTTCAGTGAGGTCAAGAAATGCTAAGGACTGTTCCATAATTAAAAGGGGAGGCAGTTTAATTAAAAGTTTGATGGGTGGTTGTATTTCTGACAATAGCTTTAAGAATTGTGTAGAAATAAATTTATGGATATTTTGTGGGTGTGTGGGTTCACAAATTATGCAACACCCTGTAATAATAGCAATTATTCATTGTATGCCCCTGTACAAAAGTTCAATTTAGACTTTCATGACTTTGACCAGCTTCAATTACTGAAAAATGTACTTATTCTGTTCATAATTCTGTTCATAATAGGCAGGTTTCAAAATTTATATGAAGGGGTTTCCTAATGACAAATTCACTGTTACATTTTTTAATTCAAACTATGTGACCGATCATTTCAAAATATGGAATATTTCCAAAGTAATAATTTTTACAATACAATATGACTAGGTAAATTTATAATTGTCTATTGATTTAACTTAATATTATATTAGCATTCTGATTGGATTATCAAAATCTTATCTATATTTCGAATGATTTTTGCAAATCTGATCAATGTTTTAATTGATTTAAAAAATCTAACATGTATTCTGATTGCTTAAATGTAATTCTGAACTGTATTCTGATTGGTTAAATCAAATTCTGAACTATATTCTGATTAGTTAAATCAAATTCTGAACTGTATTCTGATTGGTTAATCTAATTGTTATCAGAATTCTGATTGGTTTATTGACTGTTGTTGTCAGCTTCATTATGAAGTTAATCATATGTTCATTTATATGATGTAGTTATGGTAAATAAAAGACATAGTCTGTTGTCTGTCATGTTCATGTAATAAAATAGATGACATCATTTCTGTTTTTTATCATGTCAAAGACGGGACATATTGTGGTATACCAATGTCCATCAACACTTTGTATGATAACTCAAATTTGCTTTAACCGATTCTCATGTAATTTTAACTCAACATTAGTATTGCTGAACAAAGCTCCCTTTCGATTTTGAAAATTTCTTGTTTTGTTGTTCGAGAGTTATGGGACTTTAACCATTAACCAAAAAACTCTCATCACTACAAGTTTTAAGAAGGCCCTGGTTCAAGCATAATTCTTTGCTTTATGTCCATCACACTACATATGTGAGGGTCTGGATGGGTTTACAGAATAGAGAAAAATAGGTAAAAAAAATAAAAAGAATAATGGGGCACTAAAATATGAAGAATAGAGAATAATGGGCAAAATTTATAGATTAGAGTAAAAATGGTTTAAAAAATACACAATTGAAGGACCCCCATCCAGACCCTCATATGTGCATTTGAGAATATTGCTACAGGGAAAATGCTCCACACAATTTGTTAAAAGATATCTTGTATAAATATGAGTGATATAATTGCCAATGAACAAACTATACCAACATGGATGTAAACATCTACAGGCTACAGAATGGCCTTTAACAATGAGTAAAACACATGTTCTATAGAAGGCCCCTGGATGATTAAATGTGAAAAAAATTCAATAAATAAAAATTAATGGCTTGAATGAACCAATAACATTAACAGAAAAACAATCATGCATATGATGTGCTGTTACACCATTGTACCTGGTTAGGGGAGGGTTGTGCATTAACAAACTTGTTTAACCCCGCCAAATTCTTTGAGTGCCAGTCAGGAACCTGTAATTCAGTGGATGATGTTGTTTGGTTTGTTTTTGTTTTTTATAGCAGTTAAGCTGCCTTATGCGAGCACCCTAGATTTGTTTTCAACCCAATAAATGCTGAAATGCGTGCCATTGTTATTATCTAGCTGGCTATTATGTTATTTATAACTAATTGGACATTTTTTTAATACTTTTATTTCTGGAATACAAAAAATATGACCAGAAAAACCTTAAATGATCGTCGAACTACCCAAAACTTTTGAAGTTGCACATAGGAAGTAGTGCTCAATAGAAATCAGTACGTAGTTTATTATCCCCTGTGCTTTTGGCTACAATGTCAAAGAATAATTGTATGAAATATTTCATCGCCGAAAATCGGTAATTACAAGTCATTTATATTTCCCAAATGGCAAAATGCGCAGGAATATTGTTCATGTACAACATATCTCTATAATAGAGGAAATAAAGTTATATAAGTGGGCGGTAATTTTTAACTTATCTTGCTAAATAAGGTTGTTGTTATTTTATGAATGAAACGAGGTCATGAAACAGATGCGGAAATCGACGTTGATGGGATGTTTTAAGTAATGTGGCCAACTCGTCTCCGAGTCTAGTCAGACAGAATCCACTCAAACCGTCTAAGAAGACAACTTTGACCGTTTGTCAGATTTACTTAGGGTTTCATAAAATATTAGACTAACACGTCTAGCGGAGCCATTAATCTTTTGTTTGTGCATTGGGGTCTATTTAGGGGTATTTGGAGGGGCCTGAAGAAAGGAGGGGTTTACTATAGAACCCTATGGGATTTTATTAAGTCTCCCAAACGAAGTTTGGGAAGACTTATTGTTTTTGCTCAGTTATTATTATTATGTCACCCGATCGACAATGTCGGGTGACATATTGCTTTTCCTCCGTTTCTTTTTATTATTATTTTTCTTCCACCTATTTTGTCCGAAGCGTTTCTGGGAGTTTAGTGGACCAATCCTATTGAATGGTTAACATAATGAGGTCCACCATCTAAAGTTGTGCAGGACATCTTCGGAATTTTTAAAATGGCCACCGCTACCATGGAAACAGCACAAATGCGAAAAATAGGAAAGTGTTCCAAACTTAATGAAACTTTACAGAAATGATAATTGGCAGATGTGAATGTGTGATTTGACTTTGGAATTTCCAAAATGGCCACTGTTGCCATGGAAACCAGAGACAAAGTTTTAACATTGGACCCTACGGGAAAATTCTTTAAGTAGCATTTACTCACTTAACATGGTAGGTAAAATACCGTGATTCTTTCAGGGAATGTTCCCTGTCATGTGCCAATATGGCATCCATCTTTGAAATTTTGGAAACGATCACTGTTGCCATGGAAACTGCACAAATTCAAAAATGTCTAAAAATTTCAGAATGCTCCAAATTTACTGAAACTTGATATAAACGTTAACTGGCAAGTAAAGATGAGACTTTTGACATTGGAATTTCCAAAATGGCTCCTGTTGCCATGGAAACAGAAAAAATGTCAAAAATTTCAAAATGCTCTAAATGTTCTGAAAATTTATAGAAAGATGTATAGCAATATATTTATGTGCATGCACTGTTTTAAATGTTTCGAAATGGCTGCCGCTTAGTGGCAATTGCGGGCAGGGTGACATCCGCTATTGCTTGCAATGGCAAATCTAGTTATTATTCTTCTTCTTCTTCCTCTTCCTCTTCCTCTTCCGCCGCTTTTAAATTTGAACTTGTCCGCACCCGTTCTCCAAAACCGCTTGTCAGATTAACTTTGGGTTTCATAATATGTTAGACTAACATGTCTAGTGGTGAAATGGGGTTTATAAAGGGGTACTTTGAGGGGCAAAAAGAAAAGAGGGTTTTACTATAGAACCCTATGGGATTTTATTTTTTTTAATTTTCAAATGATTATAAATTTTGGAAACCGTTTGTGATAGACACAATCTTTTTAATTGAAAATGTTCTAAATGATAAAACCCATTAAATGAAATACAGGGTTAGTCCCCAGGGGTCACCCCCACCCCCTGCCATTTAAGAAAGTTCTAATACTTTGTAAGTGGTCAAGATCCCCACCCCTAAACCATATATATTCTGGTTTGTCATGCTAAGATGGTTTGAATGATATACAGGGTAAGTCCCCAAGGGTCATCCCGACCCCCTGCCATTTGAGAAAGTTCTAATATCTTGTAAATGGTCGAGATCCCCACCCCTAAACCATATATATTCTGGTTTGTCATGATAAAGCACATGAAATGAAATACAGGGTTAGTGTCCAGGGGTCACCCCCACCCCCTGCCATTTAAGAAAGTTCTAATACTTTGTAAGTGGTCAAGATCCCCACCCCTAAACCATATATATTCTGGTTTGTCATGCTAAGATGGTTTGAATTATATACAGGGTAAGTCCCCAGGGGTCATCCCGACCCCCTGCCATTTGAGAAAGTTCTAATATCTTCTAAATGGTTGAGATTCCCACCCCTAAACCATATATATTCTGGTTTGTCATGCTAAGATGGTTTGAATGTTATACATGGTTAGTCCCCAGGGGTCATCCAGACCCCCTGTCATTTGAGAAAGTTCTAATATCTTGTAAATGGTCGAGATCCCCACCCCTAAACCATATATATTCTGGTTTGTCATGACAAAGCACATCAAATGAAATACAAGGTTAGTCCCCAGGGGTCACCCCCACCCCATGCCATTTAAGAAAGTTCTAATATCTTGTAAGTGGTTAAGATCCCCACCCCTAAACCATATATATTCTGGTTTGTCATGTGAAGATGGTTTGAATGATATACAGGGTTAGTCGCCAGGGGTCATCTTGACCCCCTGTCATTTGAGAAAGTTCTAATATCTTGTAAATGGTCGAAATCCCCACCCCTAAACCATATATATTCCTGTTCGTCATGTCTCGAACATTTGAATGACTTATACGGTCAGTCCCCAGGGTTTCCCCCCACCCCCAATGTTCTAATATTTTGTAAATGGTCGAGATCCCCACCCCTAAACCATATGTATTCCTGTTCGTCAGGTCTCAAACATTTGAATGACGTATAGGGTCAGTCCCCAGGGGTTTCCCCCACCCCCAATGTTCTAGTATCTTGTAAATGGTCGAGATCCCCAAAACCATATATATTCTGGTTTGTCATGCCAAGATGATTTGAATGATATACAGGGTTAGTCCCCAGGCATCACTAATGCATATAACTTCACTGGACTTTGCCCAATGTCAGGCGACCCTGGGAATTACGAATTATGGAAGCTTCATTTGGGAGACTTCGTAACAGCATCCTGTTACAATCATTTCTTGTTTTTTTAAATTTTCAAATGACTATTTCTCGAAAAACAGTAAGTTATAGACACATGCAGTCTTCAGTAATGAGAACAAGACAATAAAAAAAATAAACCAAAATATAGGGTGAGTCCCTGGGGTTCATCCCAACCCCCTTCAATTTGAAAATGTACTTTTATCTTGTAAACTGTCGCGATCCCCACCCCTAAACAATATATATACTTGTATAGGACAACAAAAGAAATCAAATGAAAATAATTTGGGGGAGTCCCCGGTGTCGTCCCACCCCCTCCTGTTTGAGAACTTGGAAATGGTCGAGATCCCCACCCCTAAACTATATATATTCATGTATGGGACAATAAAACAAATCAAATGAAATATAGGGGGAGTCCCTGGGGTCACCCCACCCCCTCTTGAGTGAGAACTTGTAAACGATTGGGATCCGCACCCCTAAACCATATATATTCATGTATGGGACAATATAACAAATCAAATGAAATATATGGGGAGTCCCTGGGGTCACCCCAACCCCTCTTGTTTGAGAACTTGGAAATGGTTGTGATCCCCACCCCTAAACCATATACATTCATGTATGGGACACAATAAAACAAATCAAATGAAATATAAGGGAGTCCCTGGGGACACCCCACCCCCTCCTGTTTGAGAACTTGTAAACAGTCAAGATCCCCACCCCTAAACCATATTTATGCATGTATGGGACAATAAAACAAATCAAATGAAATATAGGGGAGTCCATGGGGACACCCCACCCCCTCTTGTTTGAAAACTTGTAAACAGTCAAGATCCCCACCCCTAAACCATATATATTCATGTATGTGACAATATAACAAATCAAATGAAATATTTGGGGAGTCCCTGGGGTCACCTGAGTATGGAGTAACATCATGCACTTTGGGTTGAAGATGGGGGTCATTTACATTGATATATGAGTTGCTTTTGAAAACCTTGATGAAATATTAATTAATTTGCCTTAATAACCAATTCATTTAATGAACATAAATGTACAATATAGGAATGTTTAATGTTTGTTCTTTGCCTTGGTTTTAGGTTAACTGCCTACAGCGCTTACAGTGCTTTGATTTTGTTTGTTTATTGGTTTGTCATAAATCAGGCAATGGATTTTCTGCTATGCATTGTTTCCCATTTTGTCATGTCCGCGGCTTCTCTAGTCCCTATATGGTATAGATTTTGCTCATTGTTTATGCCCAAAGACCTATAGTTGATTATATCCACATCATTTGGACTATGTTGGATAGTTGTCTCATTGGCAATCATACCACTCATATTATTATATGGCAAATGGAAACAAACAACTGAAGTTGAACTGCAGCATATTTTATAGCCCAGAAACTACTGTAAATTCAGAAATTATTGCGATTTTTCAAGAATGGACAAAATTGAGATTTATTATTGCGATATCATGAAAATCTGTATACAGATATATGTAACAGACATCAGAATGCGAGTTCTTATTATTGCGAGAGTCACCCAGTCGCATTATTCGCATTAATAAAAACCTCGCAATAATTTCTGAATTTACAGTAGGTTTGGAGAGGCATCTGGTGCAGTCTATTGCGATATAAATGATTAAATCAATGGCATAAATGATCTGGGTAAATGTACATGTACACAAATATAGCCAGTTTTTGCATTCACCCAATAAAATGGGTCTAAATCAAATCCTAATAACTAAAACTGTCCTAGGTTAGGGGAGGGGGGGGGGGTGCCAGGAAACATGTTAAACACCACCACATTCTGTATGTGCCTGTCCCAAAATCAGGAGCCAGCTGCTATTCAGTGGTTGTCATTTATTGCTGTTTATCATATTTTTTTTTACATAGCTTGCTGTGCAGAATGGGTTTTGCTCATTGTTAAAGGCCATACAGTGACCTATTAGATGCTAGAACTTTCTACGAGATTTGTTCTATGGTGAAGAGTTCTCTCATTGGCAATCATACCGCATCTTCCTAATGTTATAACAGTTTTGTTCTGATTAGACAGGTATAATGTTTACATAAATTGAATAACTTAACACCATTTATTTGTATGTCTTGACAAGGATTTGTATACATGTAGTATAGTCTTGATAAAAGATTAACTTTACACAGGTCTTTAGTTTCAGGAATGTTTGGTTTAGACATTTCCCCATGAAATACATTTTCTTTGCTTAGTTTCCATTTTATGAATTTTGTTTTGTGTTTGTGTAAGTCACCCACTGTGAATTCTTTTATTTTTGTTGTAATCAATTTTTTCTAGATTGAAATAAAACAGTATTTTCAAGAATACATGATCAAGTTCTTCTGCTAAAGTTTGAATACAAACCAGTAGGAAATTTGTAATTCATGGAAAATTTAAATTTGTGGTTCATGTTTACTCACGAAAGATAATTAATCAACAGTATGCCATCAGTTCTCTTTCAAAATGCTGAAACTCAGTAGATATCATAATAGTTTATGACACCTGCTAAATCACAGCAATGTAAATACCGGTAAATATATTATGTTTTTTTTTTCTCAATATAAACATGTCCACTGTTTAAGTACATGTATTTGTTATTATTAATGGTGAAAGAAATTGGTGAATTAAATATTTTTGTCGGTGTGAAATTTGTGTTGGCTTTAGCACCATTTAGGTACACATTGTTGCTTTGAAAACAAGTCTTGCTTCTGAAATATTTTTGTATTTGTAAGGATGAAAACAAACTAAATATTAATATATAAAATTGTAGTTTTTATTATAATTGCATATATAATATAAAATGTCTTGGAATGTACATATAGTATATAAAAAAAGATGAGGACGTAATATTATATATACACACCATATGAAATGCAACTTTACAAAATGCTATAAAAATAGATTTGAATCTATTTATAATTCATTCTCCGATATGTATATCATAATTAACGATAATCAAAAAGTTAAAATCATGAAATTATTTGTGTTGCAAACTGGTACCTTTTCTGTAAAAACTTCTTACAAATGACTGGTATCTAATCTGCTTAAAATTAATGGTACATTATCTGGTCAAAAAGTCCAATACATGTATATGATCGGTATTTAATATGGTGTCATGGTTTTCAAGTATGACCGTAGTACTGATACCTTATTTCGTAAATTTGGTTTATGCATGTAACACATATAGGTTACAAGAGCGCAATTATTCGTAATGCATTTTCCATAGGGTACCAGTGGTGTTCCACATTTTATTTCTAGAAGACTACACAAACTAGAAAAAAATGGGTAGCAGTTCCTGTTACTAGAATATCAGCTTTGTAAAAAAAAATATATATATATGGTCATGTGGCAAAAGTTGACTAAAAATGCAGTTGAAAAAAACATCTATTTTTTTCGCTGCAAGGAAAAGGCAATTTCTTAATGGCTCCTCCCTACATACTACACCTTGTAAAATATGAATGAAATTTTTTGATAATTTAAATCAAAATGATTATGCTTCGATTAAAAATAATTTCAACCCTTTATCATCCAATTAAAAGCTGCACTAGATTGTATTCTGAGTACCATCTTGGGGTAAAAATTGTGCTGGTAAAATGTTAACAAATAATTGGGCTCTTGTAACCTATATGTTGTATGAATGAGTTCTCCCAGTGTCATGTGTTCACCTTCTAGATCCATTGCTGATATGGTTTTATATTGAGTCATATTAGGAAGAAGTGGCTAAATAGTGAAAAACATAGAAAAATCTACCATTATAGAAAGAAGAGAAATATTTTTCTAAATTTTTTTTGGAATCCTGAAAATGAAAGGATGAAAACATGGTGTATTGGAACTCCAGTGGATATTCTTAGCTTGTAAGAATGACCATTCAGATTCTTTAAATGTATACCGTACATTAATTTAAATTTACTGATTAGCTTCCCAATTCTGGCACCAGATGACAAGTTTAATGGTAAAGATTCGCACACCTCAGATTTTTAAAACTCCCAGAAATTTTGCAAACTAGCTTCTTCTTGCAACCTTTTAAAAACCACTTAGTGGACACAACCAGTTATATTTCCTTTTCATGGTTTAAATTACGAACAAATATGTACAATAAAATATAAACAAATCAATAAAAATTAAATGGCACTTCTTGCTTATTCATAGAAATACATATTTACAAATCAGCTTACATTTATCCTGGAAAAGATAATGAAATTGCTATTTTGTCATTATATCCAATACCAAGAAATGTTTACAATCTGATCTATGAGTTTCTTTAAATGATTTCTGAGCAAATTAAATTTTACTTTATCAGTGGAGTTTTTTTTTGTTTTGTATAATGAGTTATTTCCCCTTTAAAATATAGAAAAAGTATGACTTATAATATGAAAACTGATAAACAATTTTTGATTCAAATAACATTATTATAGAAATACTTAATTCAAAATAACATATATATAATATATATATATATTGTGTAAATTATGTTCATAGCATAAAGGCACAATAAATCTGAATTTTTAGAGGAATAAAACTAAAAATTATCTTAATAATTTAAAAAAAAAAAAATCAAACTATATACCTATGATTTACTTGGATAAACTGGTACATTTTACATTATTCAAAATTTAACGACATCATGGTTTCATGATTATTATATATTTTTGAGAAAGTTTTTATACAAAATTAGACATTTTTTTTTTTACATCAAAGGAAAATTGCCAAGGTAGTGATGTTATTGCAATCAAAATATTTGAGCCTCTTTTTGGATCAGCAGTGTAAAAACTTCTCAAGAAAGTAGACATGCCCTAAAAACTCTTTTACAAATATATGGACCTTTTTCATTATGATTTTTAACTAATTTAGGATTTATTTTACTTCTGGCTGAACCAACTACTTATCTAAATGATTGTTTGAACTCTAAATGATGTTACTGCATGTTTTCTACTTAATCACTGGTCTGAGAAGAGTCAATTTCAAATTGGTCATAAGAAAAAAGGAAATTCTTAAAAACCTGACAAGTAAAAGTCATTTTTGTTTATTTCATGTAAAAAAATACAGAAATTTCAGTTTTCGTAAATTTGGCAATATTTTTCATTTTTGGGTTGAAATGTGGATTTTTGAAGAATCAAAAATGAACCATCAGAATTTGATGTTTATGATTCAAGAAATATTGTGTGAAAATATTGATTCTTTTTTTTAATCACTTTTTAAAAGTTATCTATTGTAACAATAGAAATAATAGAGGTGGAACCTTTCTTTTGTTATTGAGTATAGGTTAGTGAATATTTTTTAAATAAATCTTTTTTCGATAGTAATGAATATATGGTCACCCATGTAACACTATCTTAAAACACTGAAGGTCTTGGCTTGCTGTGAAAATTAGGCATCCTCAACACAAATATCTGAATAACAATTAATTTTGTGAATTTAATATTTATGAAAACCTGAGTAGTTGTCAGAATTAGGACAATTTCCACATGTACATTGTAAATTTGGGCACAAATTATCCTCTTCCCCCTAAATGAAATAACCCATTCTGTGTACTTAATAAACAATAAAAATCTATGATTTTATCTGCTTCTATCTACAACATTATGATCAATGAAGTTATAAACAAATGTGTCAATTTAAGATCTTTTCGACAAGAACACAGCCACTAGCATTGCTACAATGATTGATATTAAATTTGGCATGATAGTCCTTCCACTGTTACAACCATCAGAGCTGCATAGGCACTCAAAATAAAATCCTCCCGCTGATCTTTTCCAAAAACATCCATCTTTTTTACCAGGTCTTTTGACACAAAATCTTGATACAACTTGTACATCTGGAAAGAAAATATTCAGTTGATTTGATTTGATTTTTGGTGTTTTAACACCACTTTTAAGCACCGCTTTTGGGCTATTTCGTGGCGGCCAGTTTTTATTGGTGGAGGAAGCCGGAGCACCTTGAGAAAAACCACGACCTTCGATAGGAAAACTGACAATCCTAGTCAATTAAGATTGGAGTCGAGTGCACCCACCAGAGCGAGGTTCGAACTCACAACCTCAGTGTTGACTGGCTAGTGATTACAGTAGTAACTACTTAGACCACTCGGCCACCGAGGCCCCAAATATTCAGTTGAAAATCTACATACAAACATTTTATATCGAAGATAATTATTTGTTCAATATATTTCCTGTTATAACCTGTAATTTGTTAATAGTACCCTGCTTCTGCATGCTTCAATGCACAGCAATGACACACTTTTGGAATTTGGGAAATAAGGGGTGCAAAAGTGGGAATATGGGATATAGGGGTAAAAAAAAGTAGGATTTGGGAAAAAGAATGCAAAAAAAGTGGGAAATTGGAAAAATACAAAAAAGCTGGGATTTGGGAAATAAGCATACCTGTGTCTCCCCTCACAGATCTTGTAGTGATATCATTATAAAGAAAAGAATTACTATCAGACCATAGGTAGGGGATGTCCTAAATTTACAGAGAGGTCTGGACTTTTGTTCTTTGTTGAATGTTTCAATGTGACAATAATCCTTTTTGTGAAATGATTTAATACACCACACTGTGACACATATGACCCCTTCTTTTACCTTATAATAATAAGGAGATGTGGTATGATTACCAATGAGACAACTCTCCATCAAATACCAAAGTATCACTGTACGGCCTTCCAGATTGAGGAAAACCAATGGACATTCAACTATCTAAAGCCCAGTGTTTTCCCAGGCTATTCAAGCATTGCGGTACCGCAATGCAACTATCATGCCGCAACGCATAAATTTCGACCGCCATGCTTTCATCATTGCCGCAATGCATCCCGCTATGTGTGAAAATTATAACTATGTAAAATATTTATTATTGATATTTTGAAAGTAAAGTTACAAGTGACAACACTCCACAGGTGTTTTAAACTCATCCGACTGAATTGGATGCATCATGTCGCGCGTACTGGGATTTTACAACCTTCTTAATTAGTTGGTTATACATCAAGACTTCTGTTACATAATAGAAGTTGCCAGTTAGCTGATAAATAAATAGTCAGATTAATCCCCAATGCATATCTTTCTGTGCTAAATAAAAAGTTTAACATTTTCCAGTATAAATTTCACCTTAAAACGGGTGTTTGACATCGTTATTTTACTGTGATCTTTAAAAAGTAAAAATTTAAAATTTGGTATAGTTTCTGGTATTAAAAAATAAAACTAACATAATTTCACAGAGAATGGACAAAGCTTTTTTATTAATAAAGTTTCAGTTTTTTCATCAGCTATATTTACATCGATGAATTATTTTTTGATTGGTCACAACAACCAGTTATTTTTTAGATTAGTCGCGGTTGAATTATATCAAAGAATACACATCACCGCCACCGGGCCAAGAAAAAGATGTATCTTATGAAATATTTAAATGATTTGATAGAAAAACTTTCAAAACATACTTAGTTATTTACGGTAATATTGTTTTTAATAAAACTTGTGTTGTTCTTTTTTTATTTCAATGGGTCACATAAAGCATAAGTGTAGCGGATTCATTTGCCGTTTTTTACACAAGTGGGGCTAAATTTCTTTCACTTCAGCAAGATAGGATTTTTACAATTATGAAGCGTTATAAATAAATCGGACAGGGATGTATTTAAAAAAAATAGTTAATTGTCATGAAATAAAATGTCAGCTTATCTTCCAAACAGGTAATTGCCAAATATGTCATCCGTATGTCCGTATGTCAGGTATTCTTCATTGACGACTTCTGTAATTAACGCAAATAATTTTTTTTTATTGTTTCCTGTAAAATCTCTGTGAAGCAATGATGACATTCAAAGTTTTATTTAACAACTTGCTGTTGATGCTGAAACCATTCTATCAGCAAACTGAGGACACTGTTAGTGAAAGAATGTAAAGACATGACATTTAGGCAGACAATGAACAAAGTTGCCAGTCTTGGAACTTTGTATCCTTGTCTGTCTAAGTATGCAGCAATTGATCTTGTTTTGCCAGTTTCAACAGCTGATTGTGAAAGGTGTTTTTCATGTTCAAACAGAGTTAAAACACCTTTGAGAAACAGACTATGCCAAAAAGTGCTGAATTGCTTAATGCATATATCAATTGAAAGACCAAAGGAGGAGGATTTTGATTTTGAAAAATGTGTGGTGACCTTTGGAAAGTTGAAACAGAGGAAAATATCAAAAACATAATGTGTACATGGCATTAATTTGTAAATAACTATTGCAGACTGGATTATTTTTTTTATTGTTTATAAGGTCTTTCATTAATTCCTCTCATCTGTAATAAATACTTTAAAGTTCCATGACTTATATGAATTGCTGTACCTATAATAAAACAATTATATTGGTGTATGGTTTTAAACATATAAATTATGTTGTGTAACTAATCCTAAAAAAGAAGCGTTGTGCGCCGAGTTGCAAATTCACCATGGACCCACCATGCATGAAAAATTTTCTAGGGAAGACACTGAAGCCTATTATGTACCAAGTCAGACTATCTGGAACATGTTTTGTTAAATGTTATTTGTCTTAATTTTGTACTTTTTTTTCAAAGGTGTTTATTGTGTCTTTTGTACCTGTCACCAATATTTTTGACAATTCATGTTATTCTTTTTTAAGAGGGTTTTGGTGATGGTTTACAGAATAGAAAATAATGGACAAACAGTGCAGTATAAAGGGCGCAATAAAATAAAGAATAGAGAATAATGGGCAAAAAAGAGAAAAAAGACCTAAAAATTAGGTAGCTCCCTTATGTATTACATGGCATATTTTAACCCTGAATGTGTAATAAAATGTAATATTTATTTTTTCTTTTAAGCTTACCTCTCCATGTTCCTGTCACGTATCCAGAATCTGATAAATATTGTAAAGTTTTAAATTTTATACAATGGGTATAATCGTCACTACATTCTGACATTCCACCAATGTTGTTCATATCAGCCGGTGTGAACGGATCATTACATCTTTGATCATCTTTTGCTTGACATTCATAACATTGTAAACAGGTTACTGAAAAAAAGAATGTAAAGTTTACAAAATTGTCATAACCAGTATACTGCTCCATGGTAAAATAGAAGTAAATTATAATATTGTACAATTCATCTCAATTTTAAACCTTGCAATATATTCCATATCACACATTTATATATATATATGTATTTATTATATACATGATATACTTAGTAGTAAATACAGATAAATTGTATGTGTAATACAATCATTGGCAAGCGTGCTGTATCAGCCACCCGTGATGATATCGATATCAGCACGGTTGCAAAGGCTTTATCACACCTTTAATCTGTATGATGTCACGTCATCGATTGCAGTCACTGTTGCAGAGGCTTTATCAAACCCCCAATCTGTATGACGTCATGTCAAACCTATAATCTGTATGACGTCATTTCAAACCTCTTTATCTGTATGACATCATGTCACATAAAAAAACATAAACGTGAGGTACATATGTATATAATAAAGTGTATATGATATGGCTTTTTTCAATATCAAACACGGTATCAACCCTCAACCAATATAATCCCTCGAGCAGAGCTCTTGGGATTATATTGGTGTCTCAGGTTGATACGGATGTGATATTGTAAAAGCCATATGATATTCTCTATTTATTATATACTTAGTAGTAAATACAGATAAATTGTATGTGTAATACAATCATTGGCAAGCGTGCTGTATCAGCCAGCCATGATGATATCGATATCAGCACGGTTGCAAAGGCTTTATCACACCTTTAATCTGTATGATGTCACGTCATTGATTGCAGTCACTGTTGCAAAGGCTTTATCAAACCCCTAATCTGTATGACGTCATGTCAAACCTATAATCTGTATGACTTCATTTCAAACCTCCTTACCTGTATGACATCATGTCACATAAAAAACATCAACTGTATATGATATGGCTTTTTCAATATCACACACTGTATCAACCCTCAACCAATATAATCCCTTGAGCAGAGCTCTTGGGATTGAGCAGAGCTCTTGGGATTATATTGGTGTCTCGGGTTGATACAGATGTGATATTGAAAAAGCCATATGATATTCTCTATTTACATATTTAAATAGAAGGACATGCGTGCTATATGTCAATGACACAACTACCCAACAAAAAATAGAATAAACTGTTGACACAGAGATATGTCTCACCTGTCAGCAGCAATTTCAGAAAAAGACAATCTGATGGACAGCAATAGTGCTAATTAATTCAAAGTCGCTGGATCATGAACTTAAAGGGACAAAGCCTTGAAATAGTCCACAAACTGAGATGTATTGATAGTAATGCAACTTTACATAAATATCATTGTCTATCACAAGTAGTTCCTATCAAACTGATTTAAGCAGAAACCTCAACATTGAAAATTGCTAATTATTATAAGTCATTGGACTATGACGTATGAGGGCAAGCCCTCGAAATAGTCGTCAAAGTGATATGTACTGATAATAATGCACTTTTATTCAAAATATCATTGATCTATCACACTAGTTCCTATCTTACTGATTTAGACAGAAAACTAAACAATTGTTGACAACCGGCAAAGCAACACCTAGGTCTCGCCTTCCGAGACTTTTGTCACAGGTGAGACAAAACCAAAATACTTTTTAACAATCACTGAAAAGTCTGTCCTATGTTGTCTATTAAATTGGGTTTTCAATTTTAGGATCCATGTGTCTTAAACGCCTGTTGATCTGCAATTTTGATTTAGATTAGAAATGTATCAAAAATATAAACTCTAATTTTAACTGTGACTTTTGATTTTATTGTATTGAAAATTGAATTACAGTTAATTAATTCAGGTAATACATATACATCCTTACACAACCAAGTGACTTTAGTCTTATATCTTACTCCCAATATGTTATTCTGTTTTTCTGAGGGATCAATCTAGCAACTTAATTTCTGGAAAAGTAGATTCAAAAGTTGCTACTAAATATTTTGACCTAAACAAAAGCACTTTTCAATATTTTTGCTTAATTCAAAAATTAAGATTTTTTGCACTAAAAAACATTCAAAATGGGCTTCAATAGCCAGAATGGCTTATTATGAACCATTTGGGTAATTTTCCCCAACCTGTTAAACAATATAGATCATAACAAACAGGAAACAAAAGGACCAACATTTTTTTTTTTTACATGGACTCTCTGTAGTCAAAAGAATCTTTAAACTTAAATGATTATCATAAAGGAATATTTTACTAACATTAATTTTGCTCTCAGCTATAGAAAACTATACATTTTATTCCAAATTTGTTGACAACTTGTTTCAGATCAAAACCGGAAATGAATTTCTTACAGGTGTTTTATTGTTTTTTCGAAGTCGTTTGACTGTTTAAAGGATTTAGAAAAAAGATATTTCATATATCATGTTCAATTGACAAATCTTCCCGTGTATGTTGTAGTTAATCATATCCAGTTTTGAAATTCAAAGCACACCTGACGGGTCAGGTAAAAAAGGGGGGATGTAAACAATACGTCTTGGCGCCATTTTAAGAAGCTTTATACCACTATGTATCGTATATTTGACTTCTCAAACGTTTACCTTCGTTTATGTATATAAGCAGTAATAGAAATAAAGAAATCAACGTTTGATTTTCTGTCATTTTCGGTCCAATCTTCGAAATTTCATTACACCTGTGTTGTAAGCGACATCTGGCGATGAGTTATCTCCCCCTAGCATGACACAAATTTGACTCATTTGGAATTTTTCTTGTTATGTAATTGCAGGTTTCTCTGTGGCTATGTTTAAAAATTGTAAAATTGTTCGTAAAAAGTTTCATGCTCGGATTACCAATTCATATAGAAGAAGATGCATGTTTTATTTCCATTACATGGGCTTACAAATTAAAGAGCATAATACAATATAATTAAATTAAGACATTAATAAGATATACATACTGACACTGACAGATAAATCCAATTTTGGACCGACACTGCATGATTGGCAACGCAAATGATCCAAATTGGTTTCAGCGCAGATAAAATAACACAAACCAATAAATACTTGATCATGCTGATCCCAAATGAATTTAAAACAAATTCTCTTAGGGAGCCGGTTACACACAAGTTATAGACAATAATAGTTGTGTCTAAAAAGTTTCTACCAGGGGCACTCTCACATGTCAATTACATATCCTTAGCATTAAATTATATTGAAACATGCCATAGACTGCATGGGTTACACGTGTTACAGGTGCTTCAAGTTCATGTACTGATTTTTTTTATAATTTGATTTGTATACCTTTAGTTATTTCTCCGACCGATGGAGGTTAAAGGTTTGAGAACTAAAAAAATTAATTAACCAGGCTTAACCAGGAACATATATATTGATATACTGTTCCCAGGTTTAACACATCCACATGGTCGCCTGTCTGTCACAATTGAGTCAAGAACCTCGTCAGTGCGTGTTGTCCGTTTTATTGTATATTGAATGATCTTGAATGTGTTTTACGGTGGGTTATTAGCCTGACAATAATAAACATTTTTTAGACTCGAGCGATTCATGATATTATGTGATATATTAGTCCTGTCTACTGTTGAAGACCTATATTTCCATATGTATGCATGACCTCTTTTAATAGTTTATCATGAATATACTTTAAATTTTTTGTTTGTTTTTTTGTTTGTTTTTTTTTTTTGCTGTTCTTTACTGAGTTATATCCCACCACATCTCCTTTTTATATATATTATTGGCCAATTATAATCAAATTCTGAACAAATATCTTTGCATTATTCAAATAATCAAACAATACGAACTCAAAGGGTTGACTGGGGCAGTATTGTACCCTGGACTTCTCACCGCCGACCGTTAGACCCTCTGGGCATATAGGTCACATTGTGTAACAATGTTTAAATTGACACATGGACACATGGATCACATGCGCATGCCTTCCTTGTGTTGCGGTGTACTAGTACTAGTTCAGTGGCGGATCCAGAGGGGGGGTTCCAGGGGTTGGAACCCCCCTTTTTTTGACGATCAATGCATTTGAATGGGGACATATAGTTGGAACCCCCCTTTTATCCTGGGGTAAGAACCCCCCTTTTATAAATGGCTGGATCCGCCCCTGTAGTATCCATGTTTACCCCTTAATATACCTCTAAAAACCATATGTAGCAAAATAAATCTTTCAATAAAAAGGCATCATAATCGTAGCTGCTCAATCGTCACCCTGACCATCCGTCCCACTGCTATATCATGCGATATTAATATATTCTTGTATTGAATATAGGATCGTAGAACACAAGACACATATATCTAGTTCAATGTCTGACAAAAACTTACACACGGTTAAGAAAATATGTAAGAAAAGGAAATTGGATATGTATACTTACAATAAATCCAAGGCTTTCTTTCTCTATAAAGTTGCTCTGATATAAGTTCTGTTGTTCAAAATAAAGAAAAAGATACCAGCTTTCAGAAGTATAGACTATCGATGCAGTTTTGGCTTTATATACAGTTATGATTTTTAACATCCGCACTGTTGTCACAAAGAAAAAAAAATCGTAAACTAAACTTTTATCCTGCTTTTTACGCGTTAATGAATGATTTTTTTTTAAACCATTACAAAATAAAATCACAATAAATAAATTTGAAGAGTAAAGTGAAGGCTGCTACCACGTAAAAATTGTATCTCAGCTGTGTTCCCCTATTACAGAATTCTTCGTAACAATAGCACTGCTTCATATATCCACCAGCAGACGTCTTACCATAACACCCAGCACTCTTTTTGTACGAATTTCTGCGAACACATGTCTTTGATACTTTTTCCGTGTCTGAAATTATAAATTATAAATTAATAGTAATTTTCTCATGTCTAAAATTATACGAGGGTTAGGATGCGGTTTATATAATTACGTGATAGAGAATAATGGACCAAAAAAAAATAGAGAAAAATGGGCTAAAAATTAATGGATGGAGAATAAGGCGGTGCTAACATATAAAGAATAGAGAATAATTGGCCAAAAAATAAAGAATAGAGGAAAAAAGTAAACTGTCTACTCCAATCAATTAAGTCTTTAAAATGCTTTGTTATTATTTGATGTTCTAGTTAAATTGAAATTTTCATATGATTTATGATCACCTGTTCCTTCATAATATAAGTTCCAAATGAAAAAAGTATTCTGGAATTTCATTTCCACTGGAAAAAATATTACAGTATATGTTCCTAACGGAATGAATGGTATAGAATATTTTTCCAACAGAAACAGATATTATGACATTGTTTAGAACAAAGTTTCCAGTGGAACGTCTGTTAAGCGGAACAGCAACATATATGTTGGCTAGATATACTGTTCCCAGAGCGGAACAAATATCTCTTGGCTTTGAAAGTGAAAAAAAAATCTGTCAAAATATTACCTCTGTTCATAGAATACAGACTATATTTTCACACTACTACAATTTCAACATCAACCCTACAATTATGTAAAACTGCCAGTTGTTTCTCTCTATATTTTACAAAATGATCAGTAAAAGGGAGATAAGTTATGATACTTGCACAATGTCCCGTCCATCGACCAATCTGGGTTTTTTGTCTTTAATGAAAACTTGATCCTTCTTGCAAGTAAAATAGTAGATATAAGAGGGTCTGGATTTGGGAGGGGGTCTTCATTTCTGTATTCTTTAACAAAAATTTGCTATTTCTGTGAATAATACAAAAAAAAAATTAAATTGAGCTTTCTCAAAAATCTTGTTTACGCTTCTTTTTAACAATATTAAATTCATTATAAGTATTTTTTCAAATATTTTATTGCTACCAAAATTAGTTGATATAAATATTGACCATTGAAAGAGAAGTTATTTAAAAATCATTCCATAAATTTCAAGAGATGATAAACATTCCAATTTTCCACTAATTCTTTTACAGCAACTTTTAAATTTTAGAATTGTAGTTGTTTGTATTTTCTAAGAGGGCCAGCAAGTTCCACTTAAATGCGAAACGATTTTTATCCTCAGTTTAAGGTGTCGCACTCACGAAAACAAAGTTACAATTGAACACCAAAATTGTCTTTTTTTTTCCAGTTCCTTTATTCAAGGTCTTTCAGATATATTTTGTTCTGCAAATTGTCATATAAAGTAGACAATAAACAAAATCTGAACATTCTTTATGAAATTCAATTTCTTATTAAATTATGTTCATTGTTACATCCATAACTGGCTGACTGCACTCACTACATTCTTTTCGTTATCTTTTATATATTGAACTTAAACAATCAACGGATTCCGTTATCCTAATATGTGGTTGCACTAAGTTACGCTTATTAATAATAATAAGCAAAAATCAGTATTTTTTTTGTTAGGCTGTTTCTTTACAAAGGTGCTTAGAAAACAAAACTTGGTCATGTAGTTTTAGTTTCTTGCACACAGTTCTTTCATAAGATGAAATTCACTATAGCTAACTACCTGTATACAAGTAAAATAACTATTGCATATTGCTGTTATAATTTTGGTATAATTAAGGGAAGAGCGCATGTCCGGACAATGTAAACACAATTTTTCAAATTCGATCTTGGACAGCAACCTCTTAACTTTAGAATTAGTTGTTTTAATTTTTCAGGATGGTACAATGATTTGTATAGAATTATACAAATCCTTGGATGGTGCAATAAGTTTGCGCTAAAGGCATTAATGCTCCGAAAATTATAATCTTCTGTTTAAGGTCTCGTTTCCATGAGACTCGTCAAGTTGCATCAGAATCAAATTTGCTCAATATTCGTTCATTAATTCAAGATCTTTCAGAAGTTTATATTTCTTTGACTGCGAGTTGTCCTAAATAGTAGACTATACACAAAAAACGTTTTGTTTATTGTCTATACTATTTATGACAATTTACTTAGAAAAAAATACAAGCTATACTTACACCGAAATTTCCTCCAAGAATCATGCAGATGTGTTTTGGTATATGTCTTAAGGCAAGCAGAACAGTTGAATAATTGTCTGTCGGCCAAGTTACACTCGTCTCTAATACCTCGATGAAATACACCACACTGCCAACAGCCTATAGCTTCTGGAATGTATATAGAGAACAAAATTAACATATTGTGTCTAACAATACTGAAGGCATGGATAAAAATGTATAACAACGACATTGTACATTTTGGCTAGCTAAGGGTTACGATTTGAACCCTCCCTCAAAGAGAAGGGGACAGGATCGTAAACCCTTGATTAGCGAAGATGGACATTTTACAGCCGATTTCAATGAGTGTGTAGGCAAAGGTAATATCTTTGGTTAGCTTGCTTGCTAGCTGAACCGTGAAGTCATTGTTAGGTTAGGTAAACTACCCTCCTTTAAGAGTAGACTAGTCCGACAGATAACCAATCTATCTGTCTATAGGACTAGGCTACTTCGAACGGAGGGTAGTATACCATACCTAACAATGACTTCACGGTTCAGCTAGCAAGCACGCTAACCAAAGATATTACCTTTACTCATTGAAATCGGCTGTAATGAATCGCGGATGTTTGTTCCTAACGTTTGTACTTTCCTCAAATGCAAACACGTACTTTATTTGTCCTATATTTTTAAAACTTACATTTTCCCGTAAATCATTTCGAAATAATTTTTGTTTTGATATATCTTTAATACAAAAATGAAGAAATGGTTAAAGGAACAACCCCAAAATAAAAAAATAAGAAAACGTTAAACGCCAACACTTTAATAAACACAAAGCAATAAAATCGTTCATTGTTTTGTCTTTTCATGTTCTGGTTCCTTTTGTTTTTTGTTGTTTTGTTGTTTTGTTTTTTGTTTTCTGTTTTTTGTTTTGTGTCTTTATGTTTTCATCTTAAATCGTTTGATGTGTGACTGTCGTCAAGTTTAGTGCTTAACTGTTGAGTGTGTTTTTGTAGTTTTTGGCGTTTTACCATTTATATTTAGTGGTTGTCTATCTTTGTCCATATCTTTGTTTTTATTCTTGTTTACACCTTCGCCAAATTTATATCTTTATTTTTCATACAGTTTAACACTCATCTTATATGTAAAATACCCCCCCCCCCCCCTTTCCGCAAAAAAAAAAGAAAACAAACAAAAAATCAAAAAAACAAGTCAAAGAGATGCGAAGGATACCAAATGTCCCATTAAAACTCATAAGTCGAAAATAAACTGACAACGCCATTGCTAAAAAATAAAAAGGCAAAGAGACAAACAACAGTACACAACACAACATAGAAAACCAAAGACTGAGCAACATAATCCCCACTAAAAACTAGAGGTGATCTCAGGTCATCCGGAAGGGTAAGCAGATCCTGCTCCACTGATATCAATTTGAAAATAAGTAAATGGAAATAAGAAATGGCAAATTCAGAAATACGGGATAATGTCACAGTCGAATAATCACTTTTTAACTTGAATAATGAAACATAAACTATTTCATTATTCATTACTAAACATTGAAAACTAATGAATAATGATCTATTTCATTATTCAACGCAGCCCGTTTGTTTTCCTACATGTATGCATTGGTGTGACGTGGTCATGGGAAGCACGTACAGTTATGCAGGTTGGATTTTATTGTAACATGTAATATTGGCTTGAATGCCTTAAGTTTGTTATCAACCAATCAAAAGTACGGATTTTTATGAAACATACATGTAATGTAATTATTCACATTTAGTTACGAAAGTTATATCTAAAGACCGACATAGAGAAAAAGAATAAGAACTAGACAAAGTTTTGAGTGGAACAGGTAAAAGGCTTGAATAACCATAAATGTAGCTCAATAAGGGGGGCGCCCCATAAATCCACCTCTGTTGATAGGCAATAGGATGATATTAAAATATATTAATACGGACATGTGTATCAAAGAAAATCGATTCCAGCCTTATCTCCGTAACTATAATTCATCTGAACTGACTAAAATAAATGTATTTTAAGACACTATTCAACTGATAACCCATTCTAACACGTTTGTCATGTTTGTTAATTCATGTCCGGGTGACTGTACTGGGTGTGTAAAAAATGCAATTGAAAAGAACAAACATAGATAACACGTTTAATAAAGATAAATCAATAATATTGAGTCACAAGTTTAAAATTAAACAAATCGTAAAACATTTTGCTAGATATACTTAAACGTTGACTATGAAGTACAAAGTTCATTGACGATAGATAGATACATAAATAGTGGGGATTTGAAAGAGTATAATATCATGACAGCTCTAGAAAAAAAACTCATTTAAAAAAGAAAATTAAAATATCTTTAAAAAACTGCTGTTTATAGAGGGTGGTAAAAGGGGGGGGGGGGGGTGGGGGTGGGGGTGCTTGCACGGAAAAAACGTGAAATAAGACATAATTTCACGTTGAACGTGAAATAATTTCTGTCATTAACGTTGCACGAAAAATAAAGACTGTTGTGAACCTGAGTCACTGTCTTCTTGTATATATAAACTCTCTGTTTTAGTTGTTATTCCCGATTTAGTATACACATTTATGATGTAAATGGTTTACGGCTTTTAAAAAAGTATTTCTTGACGATCCCTGCCAAGTATTTGAATTTTATTTGAAAAATACCGAGAACGCAATATAAGCATTTGAAAATCACGATGCACGTAAAATTAAATATGCAGAACACGTTGAACGAGGCACCTGTCGTGCACGACTGAACGTTAAATAAAAAAGTAAAAACACGTTGAACGTGAAATAAAAAACGGCGATCACGTTGCACGAAAATAACCCTTTACCACCCTCTTTATAACCTCCAATTTCTCGGAGATGAAGTAAACGGCGTCGACGACACCGCGACTTAATAATAAATAATTTATTTCTCCTTTTTGCTTTGCATTTTAATAAGAAAAAATTGAAAAACACCGTTAAGCTTAGAAAAGTCGACAAGAGCAAAATATTTAATTTGTGAAAAAGGCTTTTTTTTTTTGGTCCAAAGTCTATCATATTCCTCATGATAACCATGTATACATACAGTCTGTTGACATATTCCTATCATTTTATTTTACAAAGTACTTAGGATTTTGTTCCCTGTATTCAAGAAAAAACCTCAAAAACTGTCAAAGTTGACTCGTCGTTCTGATACCGTTTTATTAATGAGGGGGGTCCCTGATTTCAGTAGTCTTTATTTTTTTCGCTCATTATTCTTTATCTTTAAAAATAATGGCTATTCTGTAATTATTAGATAAAACTGTATTCCGGACATTGTTCTTTTCTGAAATCTGTATATTTTTACCCGATTATTTAATTTTTGCTGTTATTCTTTATATTTTAGCACCCCATTATTCTCTATTCTTTATTTTTTTGCCCGCTATTCTCTATTCTATAAACCCCATCCACGCCCTCATTAATATGCAACGACGTTACTCAATCAACCAGATTATGTGTTACCGACATGATATCGCAAAACATTAAACACTACACATAAAGTATTTCTAACCAATTATGATTTTTTTCACTATAAGCATGATAAGTAAAAACATCCTTTTCCAGTCCGGGCTGAAATTACAATCGGTAAAATAGTTTGACGATTAATGCACGGGGCTATAAAGAAACGACTCTTATATTAAACCTCTCTTTTAAAGAAGTGATTTATTATGACAAGTCAATATAATACTAGACATAGTAGTTTGTCCCTAGTTAAAACTCGTTAGCAATAAAGTACGGAACCTTGTCCTCAAAGCGAGGCTAAAACCAGGTCAATATGTATGTCGTAGCTTTCTCCTTAAGGCCAAATGTCTGTTTGCTTTTTGTTTTTGTGATTTAGGATGAAGTTGCAGGCAACATGTTAATTTCATGTACTATAGATTCACTGTATTAGAATGTATATTGAAATATGTGTACTGTATTTGTTTCACCATGTCAGGGCCAAACTCTACACATTGTCAAATCTTACTGGAAATAGAATACATGTATAAGAGAGGTTTTATTATATACTAAAGATCGTATTTCACAATTTTACACATTTCCATGAATTGAAAAAAGTTATTCGGCGCTATATGTATACTATTGAATGCATTTTTAAACAGAAATTGCAAATTTAACATGTTTTTGTCAAATTTTACTTCGAACTGAGGACATCGCTATAACCACCATGATCTAATTTATATCCGAAATACAATACATAGCTTTTGGCTTCTAAAAATAATAAATGTTTTGGTTGACGATGTCCTAATTGTACATCTCTTGGATAAAAACAACAAATTTGCACAAACTTTCAAAATTGCGGGTTTTAGACATTCTTTAGGCGTTTATAATTTGATGACCTGTTTAGAAATAATCCAAAATATTGTTGGAACCTTTAAGAACACATACTTGGCTGTGATACTATGAATTTATGAATAGATTGAAAGACCTTTTGAAAATGGCCATGGTGTGAAATAATTTCAGGGGAAATTGGCCCTACTTCTTTATATAACAAAAATTCAGATCAAAAGGGTGAGCACATAAATGGAATAAAAAGAACTCTACTTTTACAACAGAGAGCAACACACTTTTTTCAAATTTAAAGGTACAAATAAAAGAATAAGAAGATGTGGTATGATTGCTAACGAGACAACTCTCCGCCACAGACCAAATGATATAGAAGTTAACAACTATTGGTCACCGTACGGTCTTCAACAATGAGCAAAACCCACACCGCATAGTAAGCTATAAAATACCCCAAAATGACAAACGTAGAACAATTCAAACGAGAAAACTAACTGCCTAATTTATGCACAAAACAGTAAACGAAAAACAAAATTAATGATATACAGCAACAAACGACAACCACTGAATTACAGGCTCCTGACTTAGGAAAAGTCGCGATCAAGTGATAAACACTTTGCCAAGCTTCATCTATTGTATGTAATTGCTGTTGATTTCCAACGCCAAAGGTAAAGTCATGTCAAAGGTTTTGATCAACCCAATACAGACTAATGGGTTTAAACTTTCTTTCTCCACTAACCCAAACCTTTAATACAAAGATACCTGGCTTATAATTTGGTACGTCAGACACGCGTTTCGTCTATATAAGGCTCATCAGTGGCGCTCGGATCAAAACAGTCGAAAGGTCAATTCAAATACGAAGTTGAAGAGCAGTAAAAACAGAAAATTCCCCAAAAAAACGTACCAAATACGACAAAAACATTCTATGCCTGGGGTGGGATAAAAACTCATGATTACAAACTTTAATTTTGGGGAAAGTTTTAAATTGTTGCCATTCTGTACTACATGTTTAAGATGATTATTTTAATGTATATACATACATAACATATAATATTAGACTACTAGTTTCTCGGTTTCAGAAACTTTGAAAAATACATTCTTTGCTGAAATATACTGTTTGAGAAAAGCTGAATAACTCAAGCACTTGTTCCGCAACATATTTGATTTAATGAATTCAACCAGTTTTAGTCGGCAAAGTCTATAACAATCTCGTTCATTATTGACTTAATAAAATATATGATTTATTAGCAGGTACTTCAAGAAATGAAACAGATGATTTATGAAGCAGTATTACGTAATCTATGATGTTCAACTTATTTATAAAAATAACACCATCATGCTTAAGTGCACTTCTTGGTAACAAAGCCCGGCAAAATAATAGGAGTATCTAAATGGTCACGTGGCATAATGGTACTCTTAAGCAGCCGACACAGAAAACGTGAATGAAGTCCATACAGTATGATAAAGTGAATTATTCGAAAAGACAATAAAACAGGGACTCTAGAGGAATGCTGTGTTTTAAGTATATAGGTCTTACTGAAGAGGACTAATGCATTTTTAGGTTATAGGCCTTGCCTACGTTTCAACACTTGACGATAGCAGAACACATTTAAAATTTTCGGTAAGTAATTTGTTATGGTAGGATAAAATTTCACAGAGGAAGTCGTTGTAACTTAAAAAAAAGATTTTCATATGCTCATCTGTCCTATTATAGTAACAATCAAATTAAACAAACTTGAATTATTTCA